CCACCGACAGGCAATTAAGTCCACATAAACAGAGCATGCAGAGTGCTGGCACCAGAGTAAGCCACACACACACACACACACACACACACACACACACACACAGAGGTTCAGTCAGCCTTCACCGCGTCCTGCCCCGTATCCATCAGCAGCAGACGAAGGCTAACCTGACAAACACCCAACACCACCCGCAGCTGACTGAGAGGAGAATTAAAGCAGCCGACGATGTGACAGAGCTAAAACGGTCCTCACACACACCGAGACATGAGAGAGAGAGAGAAAGAAAGAGAGAGAGAGAGGAGAGAGTAATCTATGAGGTTTCTATTTTGTTGTGCGTGTTACATCTGGTGTGAATAAAACGATCTACACTTGTAAATTTCAATGTAAAGACACACTGCAAAAACAACATTCATCACGATATTGATGGATAATTTACGTTAAGCCACAGAACAGAAAGTATGACCAGTTAGCGGACTGGTAACCTAAAGAGGTTCGAGCTCTTATGTTGTTTTAGATTCACATCAAATCTGGACTCTCAGCTCTAAACGGGCAAAATCATCCCTGAGATGATGCTGCTACAGCTAATCTATTTGCTGTCTGCTACTTCTTCTTTGTCTCTACTTAATTTAATGATGTGGCAGCCAACATATCTGCTAATATGAATAAGCGTACTGTAATGTAATTTCTTAACATCAGTCTAACTTTGACTGAAACCCAAACTTTTTGTGTTTTTGGTGCGAGAATAGAGGGATTAAGGGTGGTGCTTTAAAACTTTAGGTTTTACTTTGTGGCAGCCGCTGATGCTGTTAACAAAATCAAAAAATTCTCTGATCGTATGTTTCCTGTTCAATCGATATTAAACTGAGAAACAGAAGTTAGAAAAGCATCAGAGGGAATATTGAGTTTCTGTTAATTCATCTTACTTTGTATGGCTTTCATGACAATGATCAGTTTAGTCTAAAACATTTGTTTTTTACATGTTTAATAGACATTTAAATGTGGGGATTCCACAACTTTTGGAGCAAGCCCCCAGTGGACACATTAGGAACTGCAGTTTTGTATGCTTCCCACACTTCAAAGATAGATTGAAATCTATTTTTCTTTGTGAACCCTCCATCTTAGAAATCAGTCCCCTTATTTTGAAGCATCATCAGTAAATATTGATCATCATCGATGCCTCTTAACACTCCTAACAGAAAGATGATTAGCAGCTAGCGTTTAGCATGTTAGCCTGTGAATTAAAGTTACAACAATGGTTTCAGCAATCAGGCTAATTAGAGTTTCGTTAGCAAAACACCAAAAGAAACTGCATGGTTGTATGGTTGTCATTATAAATGAACGGTTTAGTCTAAAACATTTGTTTTTTACATGTTTAATAGACATTTAAATATGGGACTCAATGGGGATTCCTCAACTTTTGGAGCCAGCCCCTAGTGGACACATTAGGAACTGCAGTTTTTCACGCTTCCCACACATTAAAGATAGATGAAAGTCTATTTTCCTTTGTAAAGCCTTCATCTAAGTTATCAATCGCCTTCCTTTGAAGCATCCATCAGCAAATATTGATCATCATCAATGCCTCTTTACACTCCTTACTGAAAGATGATTAGCAGCTAGCGTTTAGCGTGTTAGTCTGTAAATTAAAGGAGTGATGACTGCGGAGACACGACATGTGCTGCAGCATTAGAGCGCTCCTTTACATTCACACCCACACTAAGAGGTTGATGAACGCAGCCGAGCAGCCGTGTCTCCTCCTGCTCATCTGTGGCCCGTGTTAATATGATTAGACTGGATTATGGTAATGTGCGGGGGGATCTGGTGGGTGTGGGGCGATGTTTTGCCGCTCTCGTTTCGGGGAATACTTAATTGGCTGGGTTGCTTTGATGTTGTGGTGATGAGAAGAGGGGGTTGGTGGGAACGGCTGGCGAAGGCGCCGAACGACTCGAGCCCGTTTTATTTTTGGCCTACGAGGGATTCAAGCCGGCGAGGGTGAGGAGAAAAGAAACCTGATGAAACCAAATAGAAAGGACGCAGATCTGGGGCTGCAGCACACACACGGGTAAGAGCTTCCTGAGTTCCCAGTGTGTTGATCTTGTGACCTCCTCACAATCAGAGCCAGCAGGTGTTCTGCCTGTGGAGTCCAAACACCTGCTGTGATATAGGGCTGTACAGACAGACCTACATACGTGTATTTACACATTAAATAAGTGTACGGGTGGCTGGTGAAAGTAGGCCAACTCTGTATGCAGCTGTGTGCACGGCTTGGCTCAAACAACATCCATGTTTCTGTTATCTTTACTTGAGAGTGATGAGGGTATAAATGTAGTAAAAGTTCATAATAATCGTAAGAATGGTCAATACAGGTAACAAAGTGCTTCACAATGATGTTAAAAACTAAACATATCATCACCCTGTCCTCTTTAGTTTCCTGTCTGGACCCTGGAACAGACAGGAAAGCACTACCAGAAGATCTCTGGGATAGAGGGAGAGGAGAGTCCATGATGGGTCTAAAAAAGGATTAAAATCTTGAAACAGATGATAGCAAAGGTAGAATATTAAAACCGAGGTGACATGAGTTCGTTTTGTGGTTCTAGTAAAAGCTGAGCAGCTTCGAACAATTTGAAGCCAGTGACAAGATTTTTGGTCGAGTAATCGAGGCAGGAGGATACGGACAGACGTAGAAGTTTCTCTAGATCCTTTACCAACCTTCGCTGGTTTCTAAACTGATAAGATCATAAAAGGATCCCGCTGCAAGTCCTGATCAAACGAAACACCAAAGTTTCTTTGCTGAGGATTCTTTCTAGATTTCTAGGACACAACTATGCGGGCAGGAGTCACAGAGTCGTGCGAAGTAAATTTTGTGTTTTTTGGGTCCAGTTGTGTGTTTTTTACGTGCTTCTAACTCAGTAGGTCCACGCGACACAAACTCAAAACTTCCTTACAAAACCACGGCCATTTGAAGGATTTTATAAACTCCCCCGGACAAGGCAGGACAGCCCCCCAAAAAGAGGGCATGTCTGGGTAAAAGAGGATGTATGGCCACCCTATTTCACTGTCTAAAATCATCACATCTAGAATCCACATTTGACTCTTATCTTACCAACAGAGTCCAACTTGTTGAGACTGAGAGGGTGTTGCAGAAACAGCGTTTACTGCCTGAAACTCTGTCGGTCTAACAGAGTGAGTGGATTTCACAGTAAGCTAGTGAATCAAACGTGAATTTTCAGAGCTCATATTGTAAACACGACTTTATTTGGTTGTGCAGAACAGCATTTTGAAACTCTATGATTACCATGACAACAACTTTACTGCCTCTCTCCATGCATCAACTCAGTGGAAGGGAAGCATTAAAGATACTGTGTGTATTAAACAATAGTTGAAATGCTCCCTTAGAGCAGGGACGGTGGCCTATGAGGACAAGAATCTCGTGTGAAAAAAGTAAAGACTGAGACAGATACTGATAAGTAAAAATCTTGCAATTTTATTTGCATATAAAGGCAGCTAAATATATCACAATGAACTGAAAGAGAGAACTAACATTTCCATGAAGAGGGTACAATCAGAGAAAAAGCGAGAGAGGAACAGAGCACAGAAAGAGCATTTACAGCGGCAGAGTTCAGACAACTATTGGCAACATTTTTTTTTTGTGCTAGCAAGATTGCGTTTACACACAGTGCAAAATTAGAAAAAAAAAAAAGCAATAAAACACAAATACTATCAGATTTACACTTTAAAGGACAACTTAACCATGTTTAGGCAGGTGTGTTGTTGGGAGCAAGCAGCACCTGTTGGATTGTGACTCTGACTAAACTTCCTCTCTCATCGAAAATTAACATTTACCCCAAAAAACATGAACGAAAGGTGGAGAAAAGATGTCCATCATACAGGTGCGTACAGAAAAAAAACTGCACCACGTTCTTTTTTCAAACACAACTTTTAGTACAGATGTTTTACAACATGAATATATAATATATATTTATATATTTTATACATACATTTTCCAAATTAGATCAGAAATCAGTACTGAGATGTTACAGAGTGAATTCTTTTCAGGGCTGTTTTTCTTTTTTTTTTTATCGCTTTCTGTCCCTGCGTCAGTCAGGTGTTGTTCTGCGGGGATGATGGGTAATAAATAAGGACTTTTCTCTGAGCTCGCAGAGAGTGGGGCTCTAGCTGAGAACATTAAAGCTAGTTTAAGGCAGCGTCCCTGTCAGCCAATAAGAAAAGAGGAACTGACGAGAAAAACAAAACAAAAAAAGAGCTAAACACAAAATATCCGATGATACAACATAAAACAATGGCAACCATCGTCCGGCCAATGCAAAAAAAACGAACAAAGAAATTGTACAAATTCACAAAGCATCATTTATCTTACAGATCTGACCAATATTTATCAAGAGCAAGATTGTTTAACCACAAAACCCCTCAGAAAGAAAGGAGAGTACCGGCGCAGCTCAGATTATTTTCACATTCCCCCCTCAGATTCTGGTTTTACCGCACGCTGCTGGACTCAGACTGTGACAGAATGCTACACCGCTCTACTACCTGTATGTAAACAAGCACAGATGATAGCTTTAATCCGGACTTAAGCGTTAAAATCAAGCGAAACAGGATTTACACGTTCAGGGAAAAACCGCTAAAAGAAAAAGAGGTGCTACTTTGTTCTCCTAAAAGTTCCTTATAGGAGCTTTAATGCTGTTATTTATTCAGTCTGTGAGTTAAAGTCAAAAATCTGAGAGGGGAACCTGCACTGTTGGCACTAAAAGGAAAAAATAAAACACCGGTATTCTCCTTTAACCCCCCCAGACAAACTCACCCTCCCCCACCCCAATGCCTCCGAATCTTCTCCACCTCGACAACAGCTTAGAGAAGATCAAAAGTTTGCAAAGAAACACTTAGAACTTTTTTTTTTTACTTGACATATTTATAGAAAAAATGTAGTTTCTCCGGCCCCCTGTGACCCCCCTCCCCCCTGCCCTCCCTGCCTCCCCCCTCCTCTGGTCTCAGGAGCTGGAGGGGTTGGGCAGGTCGAACACGATGGGGGGGTTTGTGGGCTGGAAGCTGACGGTGCAGGTCGACGCATTGATGAACGTCGTGTAGCCGTCCGTCATGATCCCGTAACCTGGAGAAGTAAAATAATCATTTCAACTCGGCGGTCAGGGGAACGTTTTTAAAATGACTTAAGATGATTTTTAATTCTTTTTATGTTCCCTCGGTCGAGAAATTTTCACTTTGACTCTCTAATTCAAGTATTTCCATGAGTTTAAAGAGTTAATGTACAACTCTGGATCCAAAAGATTTTGATTAATAGAGATTTTGATGGTTTGTTAACACTTTAAATCCTAAATTTGATTGAAAACAGTGCAAAGACAACATTAATTTTGACACTGAAACTTACACTGTTTTATTAAATTTTGAGTTAAATGTCGGCAACATGTTTTTTTTTAAAAGGTGAGTCGAAAACGCCTGCAGGAACATCTCCGAACTAATCAGGTTAAAATGCAACAAGGTCTCAACAAGGAGTTTAGATGTGAGTTTGTTCCCAGTGTCAGGAGTGCAGTGACTTCCACTACAGAGTTTTGTGTAAGTTAATGGTCTTGAGTGAAGCATATATTTTTCATTAGACTATAAATTCTTTTGGTTTTATGTATTTGATTGTACTGTTGATGCAATAATTTCAATTCATTTTTCTCATTTCTCACTTTTTTTTATCGTCAAGTTGATTTGTATTGGTTTTTGCTGGTTTTTATGTGTTTGTAAAGTCCTATCTAGGTGAACTGTACCTTCATGAATGCCTCCAAAGGCGTGAAGTTTGGGTCGGACTCTCTTCTGGACCGTGTTGAGCAGCTCCACACAGCCGACCCGCTGCAGCTCTTTCGGGACCCAGTCTCTGAAACCTGCAAAAACAATCAAGTCATAAACTTAGTTCCCCTAAAAACCTGCTGTGGTCTTAAAACAGTTGGTCTTAACCTCAAAAAACAAAAAAATCCAATTTTAAATTTTACCTTCTACAGATAGATTCATATCATAACAAGACACCTAAGGTAGGTCAGTGGTACATCGACATTATTAGAGTTTTTTTTATGGAAAGGTGCCAAATTAAAAGGAAATGACGACCCTTTTATGGACACACGACGGCCTTGAATGGATTGCTAAAAGTCTAAGTAAAATTTCTGACTAGTGATAAGAAATATTTCTTAATAGGTACAAGGACACTTATTTCTTTATTTGATGATAGGTTGTTGTTTTTTCTTGTTTTATTTAGTTTCTTTTCATTTTCTACTAATGATGTCTGCTTGTATGCATTGTTGATATTGAGAATAAAATAAAACCTGATAATTAAAAAGGATATGATGCGACACAATAAGGTTTGACGCGACACAACACAACATGATACGACACGATACATGTTGACACCTGACAATATGTGACTACATGAGAAGATCCGATATGTAAAGATACATATAGCTACCTAAAGATAGGTAACAATGTAAATAAGTAACAATGTAAATAAGTAATGATGTAATAAGAAAAGGGAACAATGTAAATAGGTAACAATGTAAAGGTTACAATGTAAATAGGTAACAAAGTAATAAAAATAGGTAACAATCTAAATAGGTATCAATGTAATAAAAATAGGTAACAACCTAATTAGGTAAGAATCTAAACAGGTAACAATGTAAATAAGTAACAACGTAAATGGGCAACGATGTAAAAAAGTAGCAATGTAAAAAAGGTAACGATGCAAAAAGGTAACAAAGTAATAAAAATAGGTAATGATGTGATCAAAATAGGAAACGATGTAATAAAAAAGGTAACAATGTAATAAAAAAAGGTAACAATGTAATAAAAATAGGGAACAATGTAAATAGGTAACAATGTAATAAAAATAGGGAACAATGTAAATAGGTAACAATGTAATATGATACAGCATGTTATGATACGAAACGACATGATACACTCTGGTATGTTATGATACATGACAAAATGATACATTAAGTTAGGATAATTAATTAAACTGTAATATATTTCAGAATCAATAGCTTGTCTTTCCTCAGCTCATCACTGTGAACCCTGAACATGAATTTAAAAAATCACTCATAAATGCTCATTTCGTTTTCTTCTCCCGGTCTCGCAGTGATCCAAACACGTCCTGGCAGACAAACACATCGTGTTATTAATAAATCTTCCACAGTCACGCAGCTCAGATTGTTTTTCCTATATAGTCTCCTCCACTTTAGGAGAGCCATCCCCTATCTCTGACCAACCCCCTCCTCCTTGCGGCCCCACGCTCCTCTCCTATGTTCTCTCTCCAATCGTTTGCAGCTCCTGTCACACTGGAGCAAAATCGAGTTTCCATGCAATCAAACAGCCACAGCGGCTGCCGCAGCAGCAACAGCAGCAACCCTCCGTAGGCGAGAGGGAGGAAATCACTCAATAAAGCCAGATGGAGAGCGAAAAAGGGAAAAACACGCTGGGAAAAACAAGCAGGGCTCAAACAACTGGAAGGAAAACTGAATCAGACTGGAATAAAAGAAAACCAAACAATATGAATTTCTTTCTCATGAAGTCAAACAAATATTGAATCAGAGGGTGTGTGAGTGTTTGCTCTAGATAAAAACTGCATGTGTGTCTGTGTGTGCTCTGTAAGTTCACACACACCTGCGCACACGGCCTGCTGCTGCAGCGCCTCCAGCGATTTCTTACAGATTTCGAATAATGAGGTACAAGCTCATTAGCTATGGTGATGAGGGGGGCTGTGATTGGTTAATTGGACTCACCGAGCGGAGGTCCGTGGGTCATCAGGATGTCGATGCCTTCGGGGACGAGGTTCCACTTATCCAGCAGAGACTGACCCCGGGGCAGGTTGAACCCCCAGCCGTTAAACCACGGAGTCCTGCAGAGACGGAGGGACAGAGATCACATTAACATCAAGCTCTGGGGGAACAGTTTAACATGATTATGGTTCCAGAAAAATCCATATCGGGGGCACAAATATGAGCTTTTTTCTGCCTGTAATTTTCAGACAGCTAGAGCAGAGAGGAGTCGGGTCAACTGCTTCAAATGCAGCATCTTCAGTCACAACATTTAACCCAAAGGCTTGAAAATAAACTGAATTTTTTTCTCATGACCAGGAGTCTTGTGCTGAGTTTGGAAAGAATATCAACATTTTGGCTAGAGAAAGAACTCAAGGCTGTACACACTTCAAGCACCCTACAAAATGACCCTGCAGGTGAAAGGAAGGTTTACACGGTGTCAAAAATATAACCTCTGGACGTGACGCTCCTTTAACACGACACATAAACTTGACTTTGAGACCTCAAGGAAAAGCTGTAGAGCTGGTTTTTGAGAGTATGTTTCCAGCAACTATCCAGAATTAAAGGGATGGTTTGTGTAATTTTCAAAAGCGGGCAGAGTTTATGTTGTCAGCAGAGGAAAAACATGAAGGATTTGAGAGGGTAAAGTACAGAAGAATCTCCAAAATGTCCAACATTATTGGGGACAAAGTTTCTGAAATTTAGCTAAACCAAGTGTCAGAGCTGATCCTGTCTGTCTGCAGCGGTCAATAACCGAGCGTCTGTGTTGGTCCTCGAGCTGTTTTCAGCATTGCCCGTGGGTTATACACCCGCTTCAGCTCAGCAAATACCTCACTTAAAAAGGAGGGTTTATTTAGTTAAGTTTATTTTTTCATTTATTTAGCCTTTCTTTAACCAGGTTAGTCTCATTGAGATTACAAATCTCTTTCGCTCAAGGGAAACCTGGCCAAGAGGCATAGTTCCTACACCAGATAATATCCACAACATTAAAACAATCTCACATAAACATTTACACATGGATGAGGTAAATTGTAATGATTTCACTAAAGTTTTAAATTCATTTAGTGTCACAAGAGCTTGAAGGCGAAGTTCAGACTGTACTTTGTTTCAGGTATTGGGTGCTGACAACCTAAACCCTTCTTGCCCAGTTCAGTTCTTACTTTGGGGACAACTGACAGTAGAGCATCCATAGAATGGAGATTGTAACTTCCATGACTTCTTGTTAAGAGACGAGACAAATATGACGGGATATTACTAGGGATGTGAATCTCAGCACTGAGGACGATTCGATACGCATCTCGATGCACTGCCAGCGATACGATACTTTAACGATACATGGAATTTTCTGGCGATACGATGCGATACGATTCACCCTCTTCACGATGCGATACGATACAATAATCATTTAGTTCAAATCAATGCGAACCGATACGATATGATGCAATTTGTTGCGATATGATGCAATTCAACATGATGCAAATAAGCAAAGAAAAAAAAAGAAATAAAAATAAAAGATGGAATTCAGTATGGTACTACAAAAAGGATTTGGCTTTATTCCTTAAAGGCACTTAGCAGTTAATTCAACAAAAGTGCTTTTTGTCTTTTTTCTATGCTCCTTCATTTTGTACAGTTACACAGATTAGACAGACCTCCTGCAACTGTTAAGGAATCTGAATCAATAAAATCAACAAAAAAAAAAAAAAAAAAAAAAAAGGATTCCAACCCCAACCCTACATCACACAAGTGCTCTATACTTGTTGGGTAATATTACAGTACACATTATTAAACAACTAATGCACTGCCTAACATGGTGCAAATAAACCATTCAATGGCCATACTACTGTCTGCCAAACCAATGTGCTAGAGTTGACTTTCTAACTGGCCACAAAATCAGTGATTTGAGTGAGTTCTGCAATAATAAAAGAGTAAAACAATTACACAATAATTACTTCTGTAAAAAGTACAGTAAACAGCAACAACAAAACACTCTCAATGAGTAACCTAAAGTGACACTTTCATCAGTGCAATCAATGTTAAGGGAGGGGAGGTGGCGTTAGACTTGTCGGTGATGTGGTGTACTCTTTTTAAGTGGGTCTGCATGTTTGTCGTGCCGCCGTTGTACGGCTTCTTAACGCGGCATTCTTTGCAAATGACGGACGTTTTGTCGAGCTTTCCGTCTTTCTTTGCAAATCCGTAGTGTTTCCAAACATATGATTTAAACGTAGCGGGTGCATTACATATAAACTCTTTCTCGCTGCTGCTCACTTGAATGTGGTCCATGCTGTTTTAGTAGTAGTGCATTGTATGTCCCTCACGGCTTCCGTCCGTATTCAATACAAAACGTGAAAAAATGATGGTGCATTCAATGCGCCTGGGAAACAGCAGATTGGGTGAAGTTTAACATGAATAAAACGGCGCTTGCATCGGATTTTACCGATACCCACAAACGCATCTAGATGAATCTAGATTTAACCCGTCAATTGCATCGATACCCAGTGAATGAGCCGACGCAGTCGCATCGCGCACATGCGCATCGATTGATATCGATTATTTTCCACACCCTTAGATATTACCCAGAATGGAGTGAGGCAAGTTTGCAAAAGAACAGTGCAAAGAAGAAAATTTCTGCTTTTCATTTCAAAGACCGACAATCAGTTGACTGTTTGTTCCTTTTCGGAGCGACCTAAAATGCGCAAATGAGGGCATGCATTTGTAAGACACTGCACACATGTTGCATATTTAATCCTAACTTCAGGACGGCACATATTGCAGATTGTTTTGCATTTTAACTCATCATCTTTTACATTTGAGCAGAATTTCTGGATGCATTTCTTTCTTTTCCTGTTCAGGTTTATTGATCGTGCACTTCTCTCTCTGGCACTTCCTTTGAACCTGCTGCTGTGACACCAGATCCCATGTTGATTTATCCTGAAACACTTAAAAACAGCTGTAACACAGACAGGATATCTAAACTCTGCAAACAAGCGTGATGTTGCAGGACTCGTGTCTGTTTTTAAACTTAAAGAGTCACGTTCACGTTTAACCAACTTTAGAGCCCCAAACTCTCAGACTGACTGTGCAGGTCTGCTGGTAAAGGAATAAAGAGTGAATTTCTAACAGCAGGGAGCCCCATCATGTGTCAAACCCCCCTATCCCCTCTGCTGCGCCCGCTCCAGATTGATTGACAGGAGACGGGCCACCTCCGGCAGCCTGGATGGGAGTCTGCAGCTCCAGGGTGACAGGCAGCATCTCAGCCTTCCCCAGCAGACACAAAGAAAGCTCGGATGTGGCTGAGTGGGAACGAGGGAGGGATGGATGGATGGATGGATGGATGGATGGAGGGGGATGAAAACAGATGGAGGAATAAAACGAAGCGTACAGAGGTTAGATACAGGAGCGGGGGGCAGTGGAAAAAGAAATGGAGTGGAGGCCGGTTGATAAATTGAGCCTTCATTTATCACAATAGTGGTAATGGCAGAAGAAGGCTGACAACAGGGGAAAAGAAGACAGATTATCACCACATAATACCTCAGTATATAAGCTGACCTGCTGCAACAAGCCAGAAAATAATCTTTTAATTTGAACTTGCAGCAGAGAGTCAGAATGAAAAGATGATTTTTCTCCCTCCCAGGTCACTTTGGGGCAGAGTTTGGGGCAGCATCCAGTCGTTTAGTGATGTTGCAGCGTTTGGTGTTTTGACCGAGGGGAAATCAGGCCTCCGCGAACATCAATAAGCTTTGTTACAGTGAGGGATGGATGCTCCTGCGCTGATCGATACTCGCTGTTCGACAGCGGGGCAGAGTGGGGCTAACAGGAGCCCGGCAAGACTCAAGATGTGTAAAACATGAGAGGCCGATCCCTCCTGGTTCATTTAAAAACACAACCAAGCTTTAAAGCAGCCTCGCGGACACACACACAAAAATCCCATCTATTCAGCGTGGAAGGAGAAAAGAGCATTATGGCGCTGCTGCGGCGGCTGAACCCGTTTGGGTCCGGTGCTCGGGCAGTATCGAGTGTTTCTGCGTCTGGATGAAAAAGCGTCAGACCTGGAGCTGGCTCTCTCTGTGATTTGCTCGCTCATTCGTCGCCTCGTTCTCTCGCTCGGTGGAGAGCTGAGAAATGAGGTTAAAAATGAAATGTGAGGAGCGTGCGGGGGAGTGAAGGCCACAGACTGAACTGATTAATTAGAACTAATCACACAAATCGCAGCTAATGGAAGTCTAATGGATTACTGGGAAGAATTCTCCGATGGAAATAGCCGCCACTGCTGCTGCAGGAGGAACATAGAGAGCAGTGAATCAGAGCGGAGCTGGTCTGGTCAGCCGGCTGCACATAAAAAGCACCAGCGGGGTATTTGTCTAACTCTAGTTTTGACTAATCGCCATGAGGCCAAACTTTGAAAAATGGCCGAATGCGTTTATCCTCTCTGTTCATGAAAAATAAATCGGGTCTTCTTGCAGCAGAAATAAATAAACAGCTGGAGCGTTGATTCGCCTCTGTGTTTCACATGTTTCTTCCTGAATACACACATTTATCTGCAGAGATGAAACATGACCCCGGACGTGCAGCAGCGCATCCAGAACCAGCCAAAAAGGTCCTGACTGAATGCAGAGCGCGGGGCTGCGACTCGAAGCCACAATGGCCCCATTGTCGGCTGTCTGCCTCTGAAATATACCTTCCATACAAGTGCATCTGTTAACCTCTGCAAAGATTAACGACACACTGGACACACAAAGGAGAGATTGTTCCCTGTGTGGCTGTGACACAGGTTTAATACTTTCATACTGCACTGCTCGCTGTGTGTGATTACCACGAAACCAAAAATTAACAATTGGATATGATACAAGCAAAAAATCAAACCTGTTCACATCCCCAGACAACTCCTGGGCACCAGAAACTCCTCTGTCTTTTTGGGATGTTCCTGTAATCTGATTCAGGGTTACTCTAACGTGACTCATTTCCTCATCATTAAAATATGAAGATAAATTGATAAATGACCAGTCTGAGGAAACAAACAGGAAACAGTCTGAATTGAGTCAATAAAGTCAAACTGGTTTTTCTAGTGGGGCTAACATCAGCAGAGCTCGCACCACCAGCCTTCAGTCTTAGTTTCAGAAAATGACAAGAGTGGGACTTTAGCTTGATGATGTGTTCGGCTAAAAAAAATCGAACTTTTTTAACGTCGATTAGAAAGAAGCAAGTGGGTCTTAAATGACGGCGCTGTTTTGTGTGAAAGATAGTTAGAGACGCCAAGACCCGCCTTACGTTGCTTCTGATTGGTTTATTTTGCGTGGTGCCTTCCGTGGTTGGTTAGATTTAGGCACAAAGGACTGATGGATTGGTTATCTCGGTCAGTCAATCAGAATTACTCAAACTATGGTAAGCCAAGTTTATTATCATGAAAAAAATACAAGCAGAGTATTGAATGGGAAAAATAAGCGTGAGAAATGTCAAGTGTGGCGTGTGATGTGGGAATGGGTCAAATTGTGTGACTGTGACACTCAAAGCGTGACGCTTGGCAGCTCTGCTACTTGCAGGTTGCACACATGCTACAAGCCGCCATCTGTTGTCTGTTCCTGTTTTTATCCGAGGAGTAGAGCATCATAGGGTTCAGTAGTGGTAACAAGTGGCATCATTCCAGCTTAGACACAAACATAGACTGTATATACTACAGACAACTTAGCTCCGCCTTCCATCATTATACGAATTTGAAGCCGTATTGCTCTCTGTATTTCCGGGATTTTCTCCACTTCCTAGAACCGCCACTCAGTAGCGTTGTACGTATTCAGCGGGAGAGTCGCTGTGATGACGCTCGGCTCATCATAACGTCGTACGCCCATAGGCTGTATCAAGTGTCAATCACAGAAAACATGAACCCCCTAATACCTTTTAAAAATGGAGCTGTACAGAAAAAAAAGGACTTGAGCATAAACAATCATCTCAACATCGCAACCAGGAGGAGAAAAATTATATTCTGTGTAATTAATTTCTAAAGTTTGTCCACAGCTCCATAAGGATTGCTGGAGGAGGCGGGATTTATGACCTATACTGCAGCCCGTCACCAGAGGGTGCTGTTCTCGCGATGGCTTCACCTAGCGAGGAGGCAGACGGCGGCCTTTCTATATACAGTCTATGGACACAACATGTGAATCAAGGCCTTCAGAAATATAAACATTAATAATTCGATTAAGGGATTAGTGAGGGGGCGGGGTTTATCCTTAAGTGGACTTAACTTGCATGACTCTAATGTCAATCATTGTGCAGATCAGGATTCAGGAAGAAGCATCCGGGTGATCTTTCTTTCTCTCTCATAACCTTCATTCAGTTTCAAATCAAAGAGCTTGATTGGCATGAAGCAAGAGAACCGAACAAACAACAGCAACAAGATCACAGAATAAGACTCTGTATATCCAGAGTCGATCAGTGAACGTCTCTTCGTCTCTCCCTTCTGTCTTCCAGTTTACTGAGAGCATCTTTACGAGACACCAAAAAGTCTTCTTCAGAGACGAACAAAATCCTACGCTTTTCTGCAGGTTTCTGCAAACTCAGACAGCATGATCATAATTTTTATCAGCTGAGCTTTCTCTCTCTTTTGAATACATCCCTAATGTCTCTCGACCACAGCTGCTCCGTCTCTTTTATTTGGGGTTGAAAATCAGACTTTGGGTCTATTTTTCTATAAAACCTCCTACACTTTTGAACACATTAACTGATACTGTGTTGTATAAAACTCTTGGCTTGGTTTGAAAATAGGTGCAAATCATCTGACATCCCCATTACCGTGTGTGTGTGAGTGTGTGTGTGTGAGTGTGTGTGTGTCTATTGTAAGCTAAGTGTACGCCCCACAGCTCCTGAGTTGGATGTGACTGCTGAGGAGAATGAAAGCTGCCAGTCTGTTCCCGACATGTATACTGTATACACCTTAACCTATTGTGTGTCTGCGTGTGTTTGCGAGTGTGAGAGCCCAGTCTTTGCCATGACATTCGCCATCTGGAAGGCGTCGCCGTGGCAACAAAGGAGAAGCGTCTGGAGGCAGGCACAGTGGGAAGTAAAGCGCAGCCACAGAAATAGAAGCAGAGGAGAGAAAAAAAAGGAGGAAGGAGGTGACGTTCGGAGAGAAAGAAGAAAAGAGTGAGGAGCTTTTTTTCTTTTTCTTCTTCTTTCTGCAGTAAACAACGAGGTGAGACCAGAAAAAAACTGAAAATTCGCCATCCTGATGTCATGCTGCGGTTCAAGAGGAGGAGCCGTTCAGGAGTTCTGGCACAAAACCTCCATAAAAAAAGAAAAAAAAAACAGCTTTAGCTGAAAATCAAAACAAAAAGCTGCATCAAAAAGTCTGCAGCCATGGTAACAGGAACATTTAATGATCCTCCACCTCCGTGGGGAATCAAACCGTGGAAACAGGTTAAAAAATCTGCAGCTCAGACTGGTAGAGGAGGTGAAGCAGACAGAAGCCATTTAGCCCCAGTGTGCAGAACGTCAATATTCAATTAGGCTGGTGGACATCATTAGGAGGACGGCGCAGCGTCTCTCTCTCTGGGCGTGACATTGCCTCTTAACCCCGCTGCTCCCCTAAACAGCGGTCTCTGGGTCCCCGAGCGCGCTGTGATACCAAGACAGCCCCCCAAATTACACAGACACACAAACTAGCTTAAAGCTCTGTGATACGTCTGCAGGAGATGAGGAAAAAATTAGCACTGTGGTGTTCTACTGGTCGTTTTTATTTTCTACATTTTTATTTCTCAGGTTTTTGGTCCTGCAGTCATTCCTCCTCCCTCTACAAAAACCTGCTCCTGAACTACACACACAGAAACACAGGTACCTTTATTTACCCTGTCCAGAGCAGACTGTTTACCAAACACACACAGCAGACCTTCAGTCCCCTCTGCTCGTGTCTCACTTAACATACAGCTGAGATCCTGGACCTGAGACTCTTCTTAAACATGTGAAGACAAACCGACAACATATATAACTACATTTATTAGGGCTGGGCGATATGGCCTCAAATCAATATCACGATACATTGATCAGTTCACCTCGATAACAATAAATGGACGATAACTACTCCACAAGCTGCTCACCCCCTCCCACATTAACTTCGTCTACTTCAGCCGCTCCAACTTTTGAACAGTCCTCCATCTCCTCACCTGTCTTTCTCTCTTTGTTATAGACTGGATGGGGTGGAGTCACGTCTCTGACATAGGACGGCGTCTTAAAGGGACATGAGACCATAGCCTACCTACACACATCCAAAACCAACTTTTATTTTATTTTTTTGACACTGGATATCCCGATATGGGCAAATTTCGGTATCAGTAAATTTTTTGTTTATTGTCCAGCCCTAACATTTATTTCTTCAGGGTTCCCACGCATCCTTGAAAGTCACAGAAAACACATGAAAATAAAAGAAAAGGCAAAATATCTCTGAAAATTTTGAGCTAAATTGATTAAGGACCTTGAAGACAGCAAGTGATAGTTTATGGACAGTATGAAGAAAAATCTTAATTTACAAAACTGATTACTTTAAAGCTCCTGTCAGAAATAATTGTTTACATAAATTCTGGCGCCCCCTGTGGACTAAGCAGGCTTTGTCTATCTTTATCATACATGTATAAATTAGAGTTTTTGTTTTGACTTTCAATGGTCAACTAAAAAGTAAAATAAACTATCAGTCTCTCAAATGGTCTGATTTGCTTTTGTGTATTTTAAAAAGACATTAGCATGATTTTAAGTTGATTTCATAAACTCCTCACCGGAGACTCAACGTAGTGATGCCTGAGCATGATTTGTTCTGATCTTAACCGCTAAACTGTGACTGAAATAATCCTGGAAAGTCCTTGAAAAGGGTCCTCAGATGAGTAAAAACCCTGAGCTGTCTGTTTTGGTCATGGAATTGCAGACATCAATATTTGTTTTGAGATATCCCTAAAGAAAAGGAATATATGTTCTTCTTTTCTTGTCTCTAAGGTTGTGAGTCCGCTTCGTCTCTTATCTTTAAGTCCTCACATCCTTGTTGTTAAATCCAAAGTTCGCTGACATGATCTATAATCACTGAAAACACTCAGAAGTGAAGGAAAAATGTAGAAACATGAACTTCTCACAGTCTCTTCTCTGTGAGCGTGTTGGGTCGGTGTGCAGACTCACACACATAAACACAGACAGACATGTCCCTGCAGGGCGAAACACAAAACTCTGTGAGTGTGTGTGTAAGTGTGTGTGTTAGAGCTGAGATAAGATCGAAACATGTCTCAGGTAAAGTATGATCCTGCACCTAAAAGCCAGAGAACAAGTGCACCCTGGGATATCGGCGGGCACTGAACACATGGAGGCAAGAACAAGCTGCACCGTGACCAGCACAGAGATAACACCAGGGAGACAGAGTGTGTGTGCGTAAGAGTGCGTGTGTGTGTGTGCAGGTCCAGTGATCCATCGTGTCTGACCTCTGAGTCAGAGCGGCCCGGGGTCAGCGGGGGGAGGGGCCTCATTGATCAACCTGTCAGAACCAATGAGGAGGGCCATGTTAATGGGACTTTTATAAGCCCCGCGGGACGCACCACCTGACACTCAGGGCTGTATGAGTATGTGCAAAGCGGAGTGCGTACCCCGCCTCTGTGTGTGTGCATGTGTGTGTGTGAGTGTGTGTGTGTAATCCCAGGGCCCAGGTAGCCTTATTAAAAGGAGCCAAGTGGAGACTCTGGCTGGGTTTTGACAAATGGCCTCTCAACACCAAGGCCACCTTTGCAAACTTTGGGGACGAGGTAGAAGGCGAAGTCACAAGGGTGAAGGGGCCGCGTGTTTGTGTGTGTGTGTAGGAGTGTGTGTTTGTGTGTGTCTGCTCCGGCCTAGCACTAATAACCTGTGCCCAGTGACTGATGGAGTGTAGAATGGATTAATCTCACTGCCGTCATGTTGCCGAGCTCAGAGGCGCTAAGGGTTAGCCACCAGACTTAGCCCGCTTAGGAAGGGCTAGCACCATGGGGACAGGCTAAGTTCACACACACACACACACACAAACACATAAATATACACACACTCATATACACACAAACTCTCTCCCCAGGGTTCGTCTCCTCGCTGAGACGCAGCCAGCTGCAGTTTGACCTGCCGGGCCGATAATGTAAAACAACCGCTGCATCAGCCAGAAGACATCTCGCAGCAAACACAGCTGCTTCAGAGCAAACACACACACACACACACACACACACACACACACACACACACACACACACACACACACACACACACACACACACACACACACACAGTCTGGTCTATGTGCACATGGAGTCAGAGAGACGAGGAGTGGAAAGAGCAAAAAAAAAAAAAAAAAAAAAAAAGAGGGCAAATGACCTCACATCATAGTCGCGGCGTTTGGAGTGTGTCCATCTGAGAGACTCACACACACACATGCACGACCTCAAAGGCGGGAGATACACCGGATTAACGAGAGCATCAAAGACGACATGAACTGATACTGCCGGTCTGGAGGTAGAGAGATCACTCTACAGCGCAAAGACCCCTTTTCACTTAGAGAACCCCCACCCACCCACCCAGGTGTGTCCCTGTAAATTCAAGTTCAGCATCAAACCTGGTTCATTTTCAGCTCGGCCCAGACCATCAGGGTAAAATTATAGACACCAAATTAGGAGCGTAAGGAGCACGGATATCCAACCTAAAACTAACTTCGCCGCAGAATTTACATCAAACACATTTGTTGCCCTGGCTAATATTTTAATGCGCACGTGTGCCCCTAAATACATTTTACAATTCGCACACATCTATTTTTAGTCACAAATGTGGGTGAAACGTTCGCACTGTCGAGTCCTGTGTCAAATTCCACGGCTTCTGCATGTTTCAACAAGTCAAATTTGAGACTTTTTGAAGACCATAATGAAACAACTTAAGATCCATTTTACATCCATACTTGCAAAAAAAATAAAAAGACATGAAGGGAAATCGGAACATTTGAAATAAACTTCAAATCAGTCTTTATCTGTAAGTAACATTAACACATTTTTAAGACCTTTCAAGCTTGTATTTTAGACATTTTATGAGGTTTTAAGAGAATTTTAGAAATTTTAAGGCCTTAAATTCAAACTATTGGACTTTAGAAGTTTTTAAGACGCAGCAGAAACTCTGAATTCGAATTCAGCACCACAGTTTTCACTGAGACTAGACCTCTTTAAACTGGAGGTGTGAATGAATGAATGAATGAATGGGTGAATGTAGAGCTGGTACCCTGCTGCCTGCGGCTGTAACAGGTGGGGTTTGGGAGGAGCAGCTCTGTGTTGTGGGAACACGGATGTGTCGACATGTGAACATGGAATCTAAACACTTTGAAATATGGATCTGGAAGCTGGGAGGAAACTGGAGACCAGACTCATAATGAGCTGGGGAATCAGGGTCCTATTCAACGAGCCTGTAGGGGGATGGGGGCAGGGGCCGAGACCCATTCAACCTGCACCCAGACACTGGGACAAGGGTCTCATTACCCTCCTTCAGCCCCGACCTCCGTGAACTTGATCCTGGAGAACAATGTAAGAGGGGGGGAGGGTAGAGGGAGGATAACATCTCTGGGAAATAAGTGAGCGCTCCTCAGCGACAAAAAACGACAGGCTGGGTTTCATTTCCCAGATCTGCTCCAAGGACCCGAGCAGCCGCCTCTTTTCCTCTCCTGCTGGTTTCAGGGAGGACGAGCTGATCTGAAAAATCAAATGAAGGCGATTCGTTACACAGGCGTGTCTTTGAAAGCTGGACTCTCTCGCTGCTTTTCTTCCCGAGCACAAAGGCCACAGCTCCAGGTCTGCCAGTTAATTAAAAAAAAATATCCCAAAAAGCTGTTTGAACATTTCAAACCTTCATTTTTTGACATGTAATACCCGGAGCAGAAAAGAGATGAAAGAAAATTATCAAAAAAAGGGATTATTGTGAGTTTAAGCCTCTGCCACACATTGTGCAGGTTTGGGCTCAACACTGAAGGTCTGCACATCTTCACGCTTAAACAGAACTTCACAGAGAGAAAGAAAGAAAAACCAAAACAAATTGAGGTGGTTCGACATAAATTAGCCTGAAGCACCAGGTTTTTCAAACTTCAGATATTTGTTACTGTAACAAAAAAAGTCAGAGTGGAGTGGTCAGAGTGGTGCCTAGACTCATTCTTCTCACTTCACATTTCACTCTCTCCAACTTCAGAGAAAGAAACTTCACAGTTAAGTTAGCCTTCACTACTTTTATTCAGAGGAAGAAACACTTTGAAACAACACTGCTATGCTGTTGTTATCTCTTGTAACAGAGGGTAAAAACATTTCTCACAATCACTCATATTTCTGTTTTTGCTTTGTCCTCAAGTTTGGTCCGAGATAAGCTGCGACTGAATCAACTGATATCAAAAACCTCCAGTCCAAAAGTTAACAGCAGAAAAACGAGGGTATGAAGGACGTCTTTTACTCTTGTAAGAGAACATAATATCCATTTCAGTATTATGATGCCTCCTTTTATTCCCCTCTTATTTCTTAAGGTACTTACGAGATCCTACAGGAGGGCCAAAGAGAGAGGTGAGTAGGAAATGTCCCCGACTGCTGCTTTGGTGAAGACACAGTTATTTTTTTTTTTCAAAGCTAGGAAAGAAACTGCAAAGACACTGAGACGTGTCCATGTAAGTCCATATACTTGGCGGCCAACGGATTTTTGTTTTCGATTGAAAAACAAAATAACCAGAAGGGAAACGGGAAACCAAAAACAAACCGTTTTTCATTTTGATCATAAAGATCGAAGAATGGAAAACCGGCTCACCATTTGACTTTGTGTGATGTGGCTTTCGAAAATCAAAATACGTGTGTGAAAATCTTGTGTTTTAAGTTTCATTCACTTTTTTTGTTGTGACCTGGAAGTTGTGACTTGGAGTGAGAGGCTCTCATCAACACAGATAGACGACACTTGCCAGTGAGCTGCTCCAGCACAGTGGTGTCGTGCCTTTGTGGCAGCCATCTTAGTGTGGGCAATGTTCCCATGAAAGGCATTAGATGTACATGGAAGTCAAAACTTCCGCGTCACAACAAAAAAGTGAATGACACTTTAAACACAAGATTTTTATATTTTGATCTTCCATTTCTGTTTAAAGCCACATCACAGAAAGTCAAATACCGAGTTGGTAATTCTTTTCTCCGATTTTTATTTTTCTGATTATTTTTGTTTTTTCATTTGAAAACAAAAATACGTTGGCCGCCGAGTACATGGACCCATATACTGATTTAGTTTTAGATTTTTTCTGATCATAAACTCCTAAAAACTTAAAGCTTAAATTCTCACCCTGACTTCTTTTTGAATTTTCACTGCCAGCCTTCTTGGAAAAATTTCAGAATGAGCAGGAAATATTGAAGAAAATTGAGGAACAGGTGCAAACCTGCAAGAGGATGAAGAAAAATATCCGAGATTGAAGGAGGAGAATCAAGAACAGCAAAGATGTCTTTCCTTCAAATACACATAAAAGGTCTCTGATGCGTTGTGCGCTCCAATATCGCCAACATTGCTTTGTGGCTTTCAGAGCCTGTTTTTGACGCCGTTATCCTTCCTCCTGAGGCTTGTTTCTTGGCCCCCAGACCACTCATCCTACAGAGATGACACCATGCTTTCAGGGACATGTGTGAACAAGTAACTCTAGAAATTACTGGTATCTTTTAAGGAAAGTGATTTACGATTTTAGACTGACATCTCACAGCCCGAGCCAGTGGATTTGTTCTTATCTCACAACTATCAACGCCATGAACACTGTTGAATGAAGTAATGCTACATGTAGTATTTTGTAGAGACATCTAAAAAGAAATACTGGTGACCAACAGTGCCCTTATCAATCAATTCCGCTGATTGAGAGTCAAAAAAATGACTGAACTGCTTTGGTTTCATCGGTATTCGTCTGCTCTGCAGGCTGGAAATAACTTTCCCTTGGAGGATTGTGAGAAAGAAAGCAGCAGGCTCTCACAGACTCCTGTCAAAAGACCAGGAGCACACCCTGCCTTGTCCCGACATGACAGGCAAACCAGTCTTTACCGTGGGGGTCGAAGGTCGGAGGGGGAGTACGAGGAGGGGGTGTGAAAGGCAACAGGAAGGGCCACGGGGTCAAGCTGGTGCAGATACATGGCACTCTATCCGTGGTCATTGTCTCGACCTTACAGCGAGTGGATGCTGGCGGGGGCAGAGAGACGCAGGGGCAACAATAGACACAGGAAAACACACAAACTGGCTTTGTTAGTTTCATGGCTTTGTATACAAAGAGCCGGAACAGACGGAGCAAAACACACACACACACACACATACACACACACAAGGCTGAAGAGGACGGCCTGTACCGAGACGCAAACACGAAGACAAACATGAGGTGTGTTTGAAATGTGATTCTGTGCAAAAAGTAATTTCACAAGAACTGGAAATGAATCAGAGTTTGATCATTTCAAATGAAGGATTTTCCTTTAATTCACTCTCCATGTTTTGAGTCTTCTGTTTACTGCTTGACTGACACCGATCACTGCAAAGGTCACGGTTTTCCCACCTTTTATTTACGACACTACATCCTCACTGACACCTGGGTGTTACTACCACCCACATCGGGTGTCTAAATCCAGCCGGCAGAGATAAGCAGAGCCCTGTCCTTGCTACTGAAGCTGTGCAGAGGTCAGCAGGAAGGAAAGGGAGCACTGCAGGACGATGTGAATGCTATCACTGCCGAGCAGAAACAAATAGGGAGGCTGCCTTTCTGTTTATGGAGCTGTCGTAACCGTGGTGATTGATGGCTCACTACAGACAGTCCACGTCTGTGAGTGTTTCTGTAAGGATTGCTGGGTAAGAAAACCTAAGCTGTTTTCTCATAAGAGCCTGATCTGGTTCTCAGAACTGAGGGATCCTCTGAAAAAGTCTGGTCCGAGTGAAGGATGGAGCCTCGGTACAGCTTGTAAAAGAACGAACCTTCACACTGTTGATGAAGACAAAGGCTGGTCCAATATATGAGGTTGTCCTGTGAACATTCAGGTACTTGGATTGTTCAATGGGAAGCTTGATGACACTTTATTCCCAATGAAACCATTGGGTTTCAGTAAGAATGACCCTGGACTTTGCCTGTGTAAATTTAACCCAATACTTATCAATCAATCAATCAGCTGATTACCGTAAAATCTGGAGTCTGAGTTGCACCGTTTTAGAGGCACAGTTCATTTTTTGGGGGTCACCATGGATTAGGGTGACCATATTCTGAATCCCCAAAAAGAGGACACGACTTCGCGGGGGCAGTCACAGGGTCGCACATTTCAAATTTTGAGTTTTTCGAGTCTGGTCGAGTGTTTTTTTACACGCTTCTAACTCAGTAAGTCCACGTGACACAAACCCCATCCAAACCCCAGACATTTGAAGGATTTTATAAACTCCTCCAGACAGCCTCCAAAAAAGAGGACATGTGCGGGTAAAAGAGGACGTATGGTCACCCTACCATGGATAAAAAGGTTCTGCACCAAGACTTCAATTGCATTCAGCAATGTGCCGTATCTGTGCATCTGTGTAGCACTTTCTATCAAAACTGAGCAATGAATTGGATTTCACAGTGTGTGCATGAAAAGCCAAGGGACCGAATGACCGGCTTTTTGGTTGAGGCTTGTGTGTGTAGACGTAGACCGCTGTGTGTTGCCATCCTGTGGTCGTTACTGAAGTTGGTATAACTAGAGAAGCAAGCAGTTGGCAACAATTATCTCTCGAGGGATGATACGGTATGTTTTACGTGACTTTATCTCATGCCTTTCACATGCCGGAGTTTAAGAGGCAGGTACTTTGCAAAGATCTGGACATTTGAGGATGTGACCAATAGCGAAATATTTCTGTATCGTTTTATTTCTGCATCATTTTAGCAAAACTTCAACAAAGCCGAGGCAGACTTAAAGGTCCTCGGCAAATAAGAAGCATTTTATTTAAACTCCAATTAACACAAGAGTGGCTGAACTTGTGTTGATGCAATTATGGACAAATTTTGACTGCAGGTCATCTTATTATATAACATCATCTTTATTTCGACCTTTTATACCTAAACGCTGTGAAGGCTCCTGTGAGTTAAAGGTGTTTTGGATCGAAAATCAAACCTTTCTGTCACCTTAAGAACATTTTCCATTTTCCCGGCACTCTGCGGTCATTTCTTGTCCCTATTTGTGCAGCCAAAATTCCCAGTTTGGATCCAAAATGTGTCAAATTGCAAAAGAGAGACTCGTACTGCAGTTGTTTTGTGACTTTGAGGGAATTGGGAAGCATGTCTGCAGATTTAGGGGGAAGGTAAGAAGGAGCTTTGAGTCTGATTACGAGCGATGCAGGCTTAATCAAACGATCCAGCACAGTGGGGGGCACAGGGGAGTCCAGAAGAGCCCAGAGCTAACCAGATGTCTCCGACACGAGGAGGGATACATGACATGAGGAGGCTGCTCGAGGCTATAAAATGCAATCACAATCCCCTGGAAGGGAGCCCGAGATGGCTCAGCTACCAGCCGGAGAGCAAAGGCGATCTGTCAGCAGACGGTCCCCTGCTCTCCTCCTGAACCCGACCTGAGGCTGCCTGCTCATTCAACAGAGACGCTGCTTTAAACTCCAGGTTTCCTACGATTTCACACGGCAGTCCTGGTCACAAAGGAGTCGCATGTATGTCTCTGACATCTGAATCTGCCCATCTGTTTGTTTTGACTCGGCTCTGTTTGTGCTGGTGTGTAAACTGGCAGATCCCGGGCACAGCGGGACTTCATCTTGTTTTCCGTCCCATGCTGAGTCTCACGCTATGAGGGGATAAATATTTGAAAGGCAGAGGAAGCCCTGCGTCCCCAGTTGCTGTGGCCTGAGGTGTAGCAGCCCTACATTAGCTGCACCTTATAGCACGAGTGACTCTTTTTTTTTGCTGCCTAAACATAGATTTCAGCTCACAGCCCACCTTTCTGTCCTTGCCATTATTCTCTATAGAGTTTGGTGTGAAAGGTCACCAACCTAAGTGCTGGCACAGCTGAAGCTCAGATGAATTAGTAATACCATCGGCGACAACATGTCTGGATACGACTGCAGAGATACTAAGTGCTGGAGGGTCTTTGATAGAGAGAAAAGAGGTGCAAGCTCCACTGAGTTTTCTGGCAAGTTTCAGAAAAAGGGAAACATTAATGATTGACGACGAAGGAGAGAAAAGGAGAACGAGGAGCTAAGAGCTCAATCAGACTCTTCAAGGTGTTGCGTTCTGCAGATGGCGTCGTCTAAAAGCAGCTCAGACGTAAAGCCTGGTCGCCTGTATAACCTATATCTCAGCGTGGTGAAGACTGCACTGTTGAGGACTCTGTGAATCCATTATGAAACCATTTGAGTGGACACCACTACTTTCGAGGCTTGGGTGGCTTGGTTCAACGATAAGGAGCTGCAGTATTTTAGACAATGGTGTTTTTCTAACATCGTGGCACCAGTGTGGGTAAGGCCGCTTCCTGTTTCTGAATCACAACGCAAGAAAACAGCTAGATAAAGACATTTAGTTACCTCAACCCCGGCCAACACCGACAGTGAGAACAAAGCTCTTGCATAACCAACCTTTTATGGTCCTTTATAACGTCAAGACTTCAACTTGACGATGTCACTATTTAGTCCAAAATACTGCTGACCACATCACCCTAATCATGGCGTCCCTCCACTGGCTTCCTGTTCATGTTAGAATTAATTTAAAAATTGTATTGTTTGGTTTTTAATCTTTAAATGGATCAGCACCACAGTACATCACTGACCTCTAAAATGATTACACCCCCACACGTTCCTTGAGGTCTGCTGATCAGCTCCAACTCGTGGTACCTAAAACTCAATTTGGTACTCGTGGTACCAAATTGAGGAACGAATTGCCACTCGAGATTAAAACATCGTCCACTCTTTCTACTTTTAAATCACGTCTTCAAACTCATTTTTATTCCTTGGCTTTTAGCTCAGCATGAGAGTTGTGTGATCTCTGTCCTTTTATGTCTTTTACGGTCCCTTTATCACCTTTATTTCTTTTATGCTTTTGTGTTTTTATTTCACTTATTTCATTTCATTTTAAAAGCTTCTTACCTGCTTTTATTTATTTCATCTTAATGTTTTCAGCATTGTCTGTTTTTTTAATTTTATTGTGCAGCACTTTGGTAGATTTGAATGTTTTTAAAATGTGCTATATAAATAAAGCAGATTGGATTGGATAAAGGGCCCCTGATTAATCGATTAATGGTCAGAAATTTCAGGGTTTTAGTCGACCAAGAATTTCTTTGTTTGATTACAGCCCTAGTACTAATTCAGTTTTACAAGTATTAGAGCATTAATAACAAGATTATTCTGAATTTAAGTTTTTTTATGATAGTCCTAATGCCTCAGATGTCCTCCTATAGTTTGGAGAACTCGAGGGGAAATCCTGCAGTGGAAAGGCTGCTTTATATGTCAAATATTTGCCAGATAGATAATATTTTTATCACTTGGGTAGCAGTAAAATTTTACAGCCCTTCACGAGGTGATTCTTCTCACCTTCCTGCAGATTCCCACTTTTGGTGCATTGCTGATGTTACTCCTGCAGATACATTTTAACCTCAGTCCCTGCACCTTTGACAGATCGTGGACAAATTGACGGCCAAACAATGTGGGATGATTCTGAGCGGCGTGGAAACTACTTATTACCACACGCTCACCTTCCCCATCGATCGCTAAGCCATTCATTATCAAGGTGACTAACCTGCACAGCCATTAGCTGCAGAGCTATTCATACCCTGTTAGTTAGTGCAGGTATGCAGTTAACGGGCATTGTGTCATTAATTCTGCAGGTACAAAGGGAGACGTGACCCTGTTTTCAGAGAGCTGTGCTGAGTCGGTGCACCGCCAACACACAGCCTGCGTGAGTTTAACGGGCCTCATAGGGGAAAGAGACTTACAGTGTGTTTACACAGAGGCATCTCTGAGCTAGTATTAATAATAGAGCCACTTAGCATTCAGAGGCACCGGTCTCAGCCACGCTGTTTGTTTCACAGGTCATTAAATTTATGCCGCAGCCCTAATGTTCATTACAGCAGCAAACTGGCCAGGGGTCTGTAACACTCGCTCACTGTCTTTAATCCCCCGCTGTATTCCTCACACCGGCTCTCTTTTCATCCCTCGCTCATTCTCCCTCTCTCTCATCTCAGTCCATTTGCTCGACAACAATCTTTCCCTGCTTTAATTAAAAGGATTGCAGCAGTGTGTCCGGCAGGTTTCTGCTGTTTTTTCCCCCTCGTTGTCCGTACTTCTCCACCAGCCGAAAAGCATCATTTTAATCACACGCTTGGACAAACATTTAAAGGTGGAAGAAATGGTGGTGTGTTTTTTTTTTTTTTTTTGTAAAGAGGAGCGTCACCTTTCAGAGGTGTAGCTGGCTGCACAAAGCTGCTACTGCTAGGAGGGAAGTTTTTACCAGTTTCACCTTCATAAAGCGATGCTGGCAAGAGGAAGCTGATCCCTGCTCAAGCTGAAACAGGCTGGAGGTCAACAAGACAGACAAAAGACACACAATGTGAAAACTCGTTAAGGTTTTATAGCGTAGACGAGACCAGACGACAGCAGGGATTTCTCAAAGCGACCATGGAAATGTAAAGTTTATACTCGCAAAATCCTCCCTCTCAATTTTTACATTACTTTCACATAACCTCACAATACATGAAAGCAGTGCAAACAGGAGAAACAAGCAAAACACGCAGTCCTGACAGGGGGGCAAACTTAATACCCCAACAGTTTAACATGCAAACACAGTAAATCAACACCGCACTGATTCACGTTGCAGCCACAAACAGCAGCTCGGTCCCACGGGCTCCAACCGCCCACCAATCCCTTCATTATTCCTTAATGCGACTGATTATTCTCTGTAGAAAGGAAAAAGGGAAAACAGTGCGGCGCAGTCCTACAGGAGAAAACACAAACACTTTAAGGAGCGAGCAAACACTCTGTTTAATCTAATTAATCCTCTTGGAAATGTAGCGCACTTTGAAGGCCGACCGTGCAGCCGCTGGAGGAAACAAACAGCAATTGGACCGCAGAGGAAAACTTCAATTACTCCTTACTGGAAGAAGTTTGGAGGGTCAGATAACATAACGCTTAATGCAACACGTCCTTGAGGAGCAAGATTTCCAAACTAACTTTAAATCGAAACAGGCAGACACTCCCATTCAACGGTTTTTAGATAGAATCATACCTCACTACATCTTATGCAATCTAGAGCGAAGTTCATCTAAGGTAACACACTGAGCGGGCGATAATACACTCTTGGAAGCTAACACTTTTTAAGCTAATGCCTCCAAACTATCACCCTGTTATCAAGGAATCCCTGGATGTCCTTCGCATATGAGAACTGTTCATCCAATGGGCTTCAGCTGAACTGTGATTTGCAGAAGTTCAACAACACCTGGAGACAACCAATCAGTCACAACGTTGTGAGCATTTGCCAAATATGGTGTAGGCCCATCTCTACTCAGGAAAACAAAAACCTGATGAGTCACCGTGTGCTGTGGTATCTGGCCCCAAGATCCAAATCAGCAGATCCTTTTAAGTTCTGCTGAAACTGTGAGGTGGAAGTTCTGTTAGACTTCACTCCTGGTGCGTTTCCACAGAGGGGTCTGGTTCAGATCAGAAAAGTTCAGTTCGGCAGACCCGGGTTTTCCCTGCACTTTTTCACCAACATCGTCAAACTAACATTTGCCAAAGGCATTTAAAGTCTCATTATGGATGATCAGTCCATTGGCTGGGGTAACATTATAGAGCAGGCAAAGCCAAATGCTAAATCAGCTAAACGGTTGATAAAAATGGTATCAATCGCAATACTCACTGTTTTACAAAATCTAAAAAAACCGCAATAATATCATATCGTGGTAATATTGTATCATGATAATATCGCATTGTGGTAATATTGTATCGTGGCCCAAGTATCGTGTTAATATTGTATCATGATAATATCGCATCGTGATGACATTGTATCGTGGCCCAAGTATTGCAATAATATCGTATCCTGATGATATTGTATCGTGGCCCAAGTGTCATGGTAATATCGTATCGTGATAATATCGTATTTTGGGGCCACTGGTGATTCCCAACCCTAGTATCAGCCCTTCAAACCCCTTACGAATCTTACCCTACCCAGGGACTTCACGACGGACTTACGAGTCCATTCTCAAAAAATGAATAAACTCTCTCAACAAACATTAATATGAACTGTATTAAACAAATGGAATCAGAATCAATAAATTCCAAATGGTATCTAAAACCACTGATGAGAAACTCATGAACTGGATCTATTCTCTTTATTTCTGTGTTTCCTGTCATTAGAAACATCTGTCGCCCCCCTCTGCCAGTGCGGCCTCGCTCCCAGTGTTCTCGCTGAAGGATCAGAGGCTCTGCAGAGCGTCCAGTCGTGTGGCTCCCTAATTAAAGCTGACGCTGCCACTGAAGCCCGCCAGCCCCGGGGGTTAAAGGTCACCACGCAGCCACTGACACAAGCAGGTAGCCAGCCACTGTGAAATAAGCTGAAAGACAAGTCCCCACCACCACCACCATCACCGACGGCCCCTCCCCCGCCTCCTTAACCTGCTCCTGCTTTCCTCCCGTCGTCCTCCAATCCCCCCTCTTCCTCTTCGCTCCAAGTTTAGTCCTGACAAGAAAAAAAGATCCCGCCTCTACACATTTATCCACTCAATGACATGAGAGTAAGAATGGGGACAGAAAAGAAAAGAAGAAAAGAGGGAGGGGAGGAAGAGGAAAGGCTTTCAAAAACCAGCAGCACAACATCTATAGGAAACTCGCACTTCAGAGCCCTTTTCAGCGCGATGAAAGAGCGGGAACACTGCGGCGAAGGCTGAGGCCGTCATCAAGGGCCAAACATGTCACTGCAAAAAGGAAATATAGCTGGTGGAGAAATTAACTTCCTTGTATGCCTCTCTTATCAATGATTCTTCATGTACAAAAGCGCACTGTTGACCTTTACATGTCCGTCCTTTAAGAACAAAGTGAAACCGGACCTTGGTGGTTTTTCTCGCAGAATAAGGAGAGAAAAAAAAGGTCTTAGAGGATGCTGGTGTTGAGGTAGAGAGAAACTATGCTGAAGAAAGCCATTTATCATGATCACAAGAAAAGAAAAAAAAAGGTCTCAACCCAAGTGAAAAAGAGTCCCTTCATGTGTCTTGGTCAAGTGCGAGTGAACCGAAGCTTGTAAATAGACGTCACGCAGACTCAGAGGTCTCTTGTTTACAGGTCAGAGCTGTAGCAGCACATCGACCCCGAGGTCAGACTCTGAAGGCTGCAGAGGAGGCGAATCAACAGCGCAGACACTGCAAGTTCATCCACAGTATTTTCAGCCTTTATTTGGTGCTACTCAGCTTTCTGAACACGAGGAACTGCCGGTCGTCAGATGTCAAACACCCACCTCTTCTCCCTCTTGCCCCGACACCCTCAAGCTTTGGGTTTCTTTCCTTCATTTGATGCATTTAAATGCTCTCTCTTTCTCTCTTAACAAACTGTGCTGATATTTATCTTCTATTTTGATGCAGACCCACTCAGACGGGCATGCTACTTCTGAGAATAATCCAGCTGCATGTGTAACTTACGTTTTCCAGAAGTACTTGGTATTAGTTGCGCAGATGATGTCAGTTTAAAGCAATCTAACTATGGCGTTTAAATCAGCAGCCTAGAAATTAATAGTTAAATTAAGTGTGCAGTATTTAATGTAATTCTACTGTGGTATCGAGACCGTAACGACACTTATATAACCTTAAATAATCGTGTCATAAAGACCAAAATTAGCCAAAGTTGTTTTTTCACACTTCCACATCAATGATGGAAACTAAACCAGGTGACAACATGCACAGTTTATGGAAACTAACATCAAAATAGTCAGATATTCACCTGATACATCAGGACTTTAAAAAGATACTGACCAAAATTCATACCGTATTAACCCTAATATACGGTGGGCTGTTTTTACTTTGCTTATTATGTTATATATAGCATAATACTGTTGTGTTTTCAATATCAGCCCTTAACATAAAGTGGTGCGATGAAGGGACTTGCTCCAAAATCCACTCTCTTCGTGAGACAGGTGAAGATTGGTGTATTTTCAGAGACTGTCCAGATCCAATTATATTTAATTTAAAAGATTATTTAAGGATCAGTGTGAGTTATCGAGACCTAAAGCCAACTTGAGATTTTCTCTAGCTTACAATTAAACACTTGAATATCTTGCATTTCGTCATCATTCTAGAGTCTAATAATCTGATCAGGTTTACTTCACAGACTTAAATCAGCTCCATGTTGAATATCTGGCTGGCACAGTTCAACAGTGCAACCGTTTCACTCGCATTTGCAACTAAAAATAGATGTGTGCGAATTGTTAAATGTATTTAGGGGCACATGTGCGCACAAAAAAAAATTAGCCGAGGCAACAAATGTTTTTTTTCATGTAAATACCGTGGTGAAGTTAGTTTTAGGTTGGATATTCAACGGACATTCACGGCTGATCTACCGATGTCTTCTCACTCTCCATAACCGGGAATAACAACAGCAGTGCGATTAAATCTACTCGGCACCCTCACTGTCAACGTCGGGTGTTAAATAAGGGGCCGTCAATAAATTGCCAATGTTCTCAAAAAAGGCTGTTTTCCTTCAAAAGCTTCCATGTCGTGACCAAAAGACCTAAAATTGATTTCAAATAATAGTACTTGTGTCGACCAATAAGACAAACATTATTTGATCAATTTCCAAGTTCTTTGTGTGCTTCTTACTTTAATTAAAAGTTAAAGAAGTTAGTGTCAAGCCCTGGCTGGTTTGGTCTGATTTTGTGTTATCACCAACTACATTCACATCATAACACTGTACTCCACTGTTTGCACGAGCTAAGATTAAAAACTTTAGATCATAATAAAATTTTGGTTTTATCAGAAGTTTAGGAGACTGATTTTTGTTGCCAACTCACATTACATCCACTCTGATGAAAATTGTCTCTTGGAGTTAAATAGCTTCAGAAGTTGTTCGGCATCAGGCCAGTATCAGCGCCCACACATACAGAGTTTTTATGCATATTCTGTTATTTTCCATATGTATAAAAGGATGAGAGCAATCTGTTTGTCGAACTGCATCCTCATCACAAGGCCATCAACATCTCTGACGAAGCTCTCGCTCTCTCTGCAACACAGACAGACACAAGCACAGACATGCAAACCGACAGGAACAATTACCGCCCAGCCGGAGGCCCCGTGTGTGTACTGTAACCACACGCTGTCCACACCGTCAGGGACAAACAGATCTGACCTCAGAGCAGCGCCGACAGTCTGCCGCGCAACTCGAGAGCAGAAACACACCTCCAGCTGAAACACAGCTGTCTCTCTCCATTACCTCACATTATTACATTTATCCACAGAGCGCCTCGCACTTAAAAGCAGAAACTGAGCCCACATACACAGATTTAAGACTTGAAATTATTCATCTTTTAATCACTCCCAGAGCAGGAGGTCAAATATGCACAAAGGTGACATTTACAGCCATGAAAATACGTGTTTACACTAGAGGAGACACAGCGGCCTTCGAATCAATACAGTCCAAAATCCTGACAAGAGGTTTTGTTCCCAAATCGATAGCAAACTAAATGACTAATCTTTCTCTTAATGGATCCGCCACAAGTGTCAGAAAACGTCAACTCAATTCTCAAAGTGGTTTTGATTTAAAATGAAGAGGGACAAAGCAGATAAAACAAAACAGCCGATAGATTTCTTTAGTCTATTAATGAAGTGGGAGTTAACGCCGAAGAAAATCTCCACCATCCTCGCAGATTTCAGAACCGAATTTTCTCTTGCAACCAGACTGTGGATGTCAGCAGCTGATTATTCAGAGTATTGTCTTTGTCAGATGGATAATTCACAGGTATGTGGCTCAGAACTAAAAACTACATAAGGGGGCAATCTGAGGGTGGAGGTCAAGACTGATGAGCTGCTAATCTGAGCTTCTATCAAGTTATGCAGTTTGCTCTTGTTTTGCATCTGATTGGGGAGATGAGCTGTTAGCATCTCCACTGGCCTCATAGAGATTATGAGCTGAAGGGTTAAATTATGGCTGGACGATAAACCGAAAATTTGCAAATACCGAAAATTATGACAATAACTGATGTCATTTTGCCCATATCGGTATATTTGGTGTCAAAAAACTATGTATATAAAACTTGGTTTTGGATGTGTGTAGGTAGGCTTTGGTCTCATGTCCCTTTGAGACGCTGTCCTACGTTGGAGATGTGACTCCACCCCATCGCAGCTGAAGTAGACAGAGTTAATGTTTGAGGGGGTGAGCAGCTTGTGGAGTAGTTATCGTTCATCTATCGTTATCGAGGTGAACTGCTCAATATATTGTGATATTGATTTGAGGTCATATCGCCCTGCCCTAGGTTAAATCAAACCTCACCAACACTTGATCAATGTGGGGTAATAACTAATCAAACCGGGTTACTGTCCTGTTGGTTGCAGCACGCTGGATCCAGAGCCGTGTTTTGGCTGTGTCAGCCCTTTCCGCCCAGGCTCGTGGTGTTTGATGGAGCTGCCGGCCGTCGTCTGGCAGACCTCTGGCTGCCCGGCCGGTGACTGATGCACACGAGGCCGCCGAGGGGAGCTTTATTAAACGACGCCGAGAACCAATCAGTCTCCCTCTGACATATTGGGGGCTAACCTTGGAGTGGGGGTGGGGGGAGGTGGAGAGGTACTGTGAAACATTTTGTCAATCTGTTTCGACCTCATGATTTTAATGCAAGAACGTTTTTTTTTTCACTTACATTATGCTGCAAATTTAACATTTGCTGCATTGTGGAAGTTTCAGAGCTGTTTGTGTGTTTTGCATGTTTGTGTGTGTATGTTTGTGTGCGTGTGTGCAGGGTGAGTCATTTAGCAGGGAACTCAGCGAGCCGTCATGCTGCAGAGAGCGAGGGCGCCATGATAAATCCATCACTTTACCCTCTCATTCACTCCTCTGACACACACTGGGGAAACTTTGAACACACACACACACACACACACACACACACATAAACACAGTATACACTACAGCTGCAGACTCACAAGAACTTACTGCCCCCTCTCTCCTCCTCCTCCGCCTCCCTAAGCCTTCATCACCTGGCTCCATACAGTCTGAACCTCCCCGCATCTGTAACCTGACGACCACCTGCAGCTGCACCAGCACCCATGGGTGCAGCAGGCCAGGCCAAGAATAACAACAACAGAGTTTACGCATACACACATATGTGCGCACACACATAAAACCACACAGAGGGGGCGTTCATCATAACCGGCCCCCGCTGACAGATGCTTGACGACTTCTATTTGATGCCTCATTAAGTAAAGGTGTCACATTTTAACGTCGATAAATCATTATCTCATTAATTCTCGAACGTTACTGTAATTAATTTCACAGCTGACGACTGAAAACATTTCATTTCAAAACAAGTTTTTCTAGGAAAACCAAATATGAAAAATACCTCCTCCGCTGAGCACTTTTTAATTTCCATGATTAATAATATGAAAAACTTTCCAACAAACGGAGCTGGAAAGAAATTAAACAGCAAATTTAAACTGCATGAAAAAAAAGGCTCATTACTTTGGAAACTTGTTGGGCTGATGTGGTTTAAATCTGCCTCATGATGGTTGTATTTAAACCTCGAATAAAATCCAGATTACATTTAAAGTAATGTATGGATTTTTAAGGCAAGGCAAGATTATTTGTACAGCACCATTCATACACAGGGCAATTAAAAGTGCTTTACAGATGCAAAAAATACTTAAAAAGAAATAAAAAAGAGAGGTTAAAACGATTTTAAATCAAAAAGACAAAAACAAGTTTAAATCAAAAAAGACATAAAATGATTTAAAGTCAAGGAAACAGATATATATATATATATATATTTTTGTCTGTTCTGTTTGTGCCCTGATCATTTATGGAAAACCGTCCTTTCTGTTAGCTCTTTTTTTTTTACAAAAAATAAGCTGAGAGAAAAAAAGTGGGCAAAAAAAAAAAAACAAGTTCAAATGAAGACAGATGGTAACTTTTTATTAAGGCTGTTGCAGGTAATTTTTCTGGCATTTAACGGCTTGTTTCTGCAACATTGTGCATCTTCAAAAGGAAAAACTAAAAGGACGTTAAACTTTGTGGTAAAATATTTGTGCATCACATATACAATCAGCGAAAAGTACTTAAAATATAAAAAAAGTGGAAAAAGTACTTTAAAAGAGTTCAGAAAACGTGTCTTTGCCCTAAATTTTCCGTCACTATCAGACATTTTTGTTTATAAAAAGTAAAAAGAACCAAACTTTGTCTTTATGAAAACTTTACTTTTTTACTTTTTTTTCCTACCATCCAGAAAGTTCCAGAAAAAAAAAACCTCTGCAGTGAGAAGAGACGAGGGCACAGCAGCCATGAAGCCCTTGACTTCTTGGTGACGGACATTTGTCAGGACCCATTACCTCATCGGAGGTACCGCTGCCATGTGCTCACGCTCTGACTGAGGAAACAGAGTGTGTGCGTGTGTGTGTGTGTGGCGGGCAGACAGCCAACACAAACTGACAGAGGCTGGCGCCGGCCAAGAGGTGACTTAGGGGTGATTAAGCTAAAAGCAGCCGAGACAAATGTCAGATCTCAGTGACACAGACGAATGTAAACAACGTGCTGCTGTTAAAAAATTCTTAAAATATTCACTTTATCAAATTAAAGCCGTTCAAACACACCAAAGTCCTTCCATCGATGTGCGGTCAGTGCTGTTAATTTACTCCTCTATCATTCTGGGAAGAATCTTCTGGAAGTGTCTCAAATTTGAGTTTGACGACTAAGAAACAGGCTATAAATTCATATTCATACAACTTGAGGAATAATTTATACAACATCTAAAGAGACCAGCTCCTTTAAATCCAAAACCTGCTGACTTTTTTCATATTAGTTAAATCCCTCTTCAACCATACAGAGATCTGCTATGAACCACGATAAACAGCATTCAGAGACTGCAGCCTTTGATCTGATGTGTGCATTTACAAAACTGTTGAAGTTTCTGAACTATAAGAAAATAGCTTTTATTCAGATTGTCAAGAGAAAAAGAAATGGTGTTAAACTTTTTAAAAGTAAACGTCAGACTCTCTTTGTAGTGCAGCTTCTGATCGTATGCTATTTCATCCTCTGGATCATAAATTCTCACTCTTGAATCTTTTAGCGTGTTTTTATTGATCTCTCTGCTGCGTCTTTCTTTTCTCTGTTTTATCTTTCCTCATTATCTCTCTCTTGATTCTCTACATAAGTGAAATGTTGCATTCATTAAAACAGGGTTTCTATACAGTTGGAATTTCCATTCCCTACCTTTTGGAAATACCTACTTTACTATTTTAGACAACAGTATTTCAGAACCGTGGTAATAGTCTGAAAACATAAATATTTTTTTAAAAGGACTTTACTAATGTCCTTAAGAAACTTTTAAGCTTCAGCATTGACTTTTGAAAATTGACTTTTGAAAGCTTGTTCAGAGTGCGTCCACATACTTTTGGCCACATTGTGCGGACTGTTTTAAAAGATGAGGAGAGAGACGGCGCACCTCAAAGATCTGTGCCCTCTCTGTAATGAAAACACGCGAGGCTAAAGATGCTGCTATTCAGACATCACTACAGAGAGAGTATCACTCTCTCTTACTCCCCATTCTCTCTCTCTCTCTTTTACTCACACTCGCTAAAACACACACACACACACACACGGCTGACCTTTACAGTGAAAAATGAATACATGAATAAAATAAAATCTGCAAATGACAAATCTGCATTTGGCCCTCGAGGTTCCCCCCCTGAGCTGAGCTTCAGAGAGTCAAATGAGGGCAGTCGGATTTAATCTGCCGCCTTTGGGACACACACACACGCACACACACACACACACACACACACACACACACACACACACACACACACACACACACACACACACACACACACACACACACACACACACACACACACACACACAAACTCGCAGTAAAGCCAGCAGACTTACTGGCTTCTGCGTAAACCAACAAACACTGATTGCCTTTTATTTTTGGTGATGCTTGAAGAAAGTGATGAAGATGCAGCAAGTGGATGAAATAAAGAGGAGATGGAGATTTAACGAGGAAGAAGAGATGGAGGGGAAATCAAGGGTTGGGGGAGAATTACAAGAGATCAAAAAATAAAAGGGGGACAAACTGACCTACGACAGAAAAAGAGAGGAGCCGGGGTGACGAGAGGAGAGTCCCCCAGGCTTAGGAGGAGAGGGAGGGCAGGACCAGTGGAACTGAGGAGGGGAGGCAGCAGAGGGAGCAGCAACAGCTTGACCTCCGACCGAGGAGTTAAGTTGTGGTCAAGTCCAGAATCACAAAACAGGTTAATCCCTCCAGAGAGAAAAAAAGAGAGGGAGCGACTCCCCCCATTGTCTCCCCTCCTCTCTCTCCCCTCCTTTCCTCTCAGCCGGTAACTCTTCTGGTCTGAATCAGTCAGCAGAGCTTATCAGGGTGGGTTAAAGCAGCAGGATTCCTTACATATCTAGAAACAGGCTGCCATCACTCCCTCTGCACAGACGTCTAACCTGAGAGTGAGTGAGTGAGCTGCGGTTGATTTTGATGCTTTTTTAATGATTCCTGATGAAATAAAGATCTCAGCTGAGGAGAAAAATCAGGAGTCTAAAACTGCTTTTACCACCAACACTCCTGTTGGTGGTAAACCGAGAGGAAATGGGTCCAGGTCCTGTAGCTTTTAAATGTTGGTTAATAAACTGATTGAGTGTATAAGACAGAGGATAAATAAACTGTGTCAACCTCTCGTCCTGTTATAACCTTTTAATGTCAAATAATCAGAGTTTTTTTAGATTTAAAGCTAAAGTCATTAAACTTCGGAAAGACTGGATCAACTTTTTTTTTTACCATCTACAAAAGGCAAAGAGCGGGAGATGAATATCCTGCATTAAAACTACAGATCAGAGAAGGAGATTAAAAAGAAGATTGAGGACAGGGCGGAGAGGAACTCTGGAGTCGAACTTTGTTTTAGGAGTGTTGCTGTGAGCAGAAACTCAAAGAGAGGACCGAGAGACCTTCAGCTCAGAGACTGAAGGGGGTTTGATTGACACGAAGCAGGAGGCTGCGCTCTGTCAGTTAGTGGGTGTGTGTGACAGAGTGTGTGTGTGTGTGTGTGTGTGTGTGTGAGACGAGGAGGTTCAGGTATTTGCTCTGTTGAGCATCTGTCATTAAACTGCGTGTGTTGTGTGTCTTTCATGGTAGGCTGCTCGCAGATTTACTCTCCAACAGCAGAAAGGTCTTGTAATATTTAATATATATGTGCAGCAAGTATGATCGTGTCCGCCTTTATTAGACGCCACAAGAATCCGACAGATTCAGCGTTTGCCGACCTTCGAATGAGGAGAGTTAGCGATGTGGTGTCTGTGCTGGAGGGCGGAGCACAGACACAAAGAGATGCGTTTTTTTGCATTAACGAAGGTTCGTTTATACGTTTTTAAGAGCTTAACTGCAGTGAAACCGTCAAACTAGAACTTCTCAGTTATGCAGCTTTTTAACGCTATTCCCCCTGATCGCTGGCTTCATTTCAGAGGAGCAGAGCGAGACTGCAACTCAAGAAAAACTTCCAAGTTTTCACATGTTTGTCAATCAAAGCACAACTAAACAGTTTGAATCAGGGCTACAAAATTAATCCATTTTAAATCATAATTAGATTATTTGATTATGACGATGTTAAAAAAATTAAAATCGTCAAATCGATTTTCCTCTCTCTCATGTCTTGTGCCTCCAGACCACCGTAGGCTCCCCCTTCCTGCGGGAGCGCTCCCTAGTTCCCACACACACCAGTATAAACAAACATGGCGTTTGGAAAAGAAGGCGATAATTTCGTGGCTAAATAGGACAAGGGCAAGTCAGTCGTGTGGAATTGGTACGGCTTCGCAGTTTCAGACGAAGAGCAAATTCAGGAGTAAATGCAAACGTTTTTTGTCGTATCTGTGTTTCATCCACACAGAAACGGCGTCTCAGGTGACAGTAAACGTTACTTTTTGAAAACGGGTCCGAGAGTGCATAAATTTGTAAACGACTACCATTTCATCTCCTTGTGGATGTCTATCTGCATCTCTGGAAACGATCATGTGACACACAGTGTAACTTTTATGGCGCCTGCTCGCGTCCGGCCAAAACAACCTTTTCACGCGTGCTCTGTACACTTTTTCTATCTTTTGTGCATTTCCTCGGAAGCGTTACAGCGCCACTTACTGGCTTGGCATTTGCGCTCTATTGTTTTCAGTGGTTTTGTTTTGAGATATAATAGAAAAGTTATTTTTAAAGTGAAGTTTTCACTAAATAAAAAATCTAAAATCGAGTTTTCAGGGAAAATAATCAGGATTTTATTTTTGGCCAATCATGCAGCCCTAGTTTGAGTTAATACAAAAATTGTCAATTTGAGAGCTGTGAAAAGTTCACCAAAGTCAAACGACAAAGCTCAAACTGTTATAAGGGAAAGACGAACTTGACAACACTTGATGAGGCTCCTTTTCATGATGTAAGTGAGCGAGGATTTCTTCAGGTCCTGAAAATTAAATAAACATGTTGGTGAATTTCAAAAAGTCTACATCGTATAGCTCTGAATAAAAGTGAGGGGATAACTGTATTTATTTCATTACGATCATGAAAAAGCCACAAGCTCTGATGTTTTCAGGGTCTTTCACACGCGCATTTGCTTTTTTCTTTTGTGTAAATTTCATCTCTTGGGGTTTGAATATTCATCAAAACCTGGATAGCGAGCAGGAAAACGCCGTGGCCTTGGATTCTTAGAAACGGTGAGAAGTGTAATCACTTAGACTCTTAATCAGCCGCTTAATTAATCATGAAACAGTCTTTATTAGCCGCAGCCTTGGAAACTTTTAATTCCTCCTCCTTTCAAACTATTCAAATCATCTATTCATTCTGATAACGAGAGCTCAAGGATATCTGATTACAAAAGGCCGTCATTTATTCAAGATGTTTATGTTGCTGCTAAAGAGTCGACTCGGTTATATTTGCATCTTAATTCAACCTGGAAATGGAAAGAGTTTAAATTAGAGAGAGCCAACAGTGAGATTACGTCTCTTTGCAGCTGTTTCTCATCTCTGAAGAGTTTTTTCGTTTCAGGAGGAAATGAAAGAATAACTGACATTTCTGACTAATGCAGCTTCATAAAGGCTGTGTGATTCGGACAACTCAATAAAATGGGACCCACTACAGACGCCTGAGCATAAAAAAAAAACTACAAGTAAGGCAAGAAGTTTGACCAGTTTCGTAATAAATCTTATCCCTGATTATTTTCCTTGGTGTAAATCACAGTTTGAGGAGATTTCAAACATCGAGGGCGATTTCACCTTCAGCGCTGAAGCTCTTTTCTTTTTTAATTCAGATACTCTTGTGAGATTAATTAACAGAGACAACTTGTTGGCGCAATTTCAGTGTGAGCACATGTTTAAGGAACCAAAAAGTGTGTCTGTGAGAGAGAGAGAGAGGGAGAGGGAGAGGGGAGCTCAGCCTGGTTGAAATCCACCTCGATCCCCGAAGAGTCGGTTCAGAGGAGGCTTTACTTCCTCCGTTTCTGAAGATAAAACGTTGAAATGTTTGGCGTGGGAAAGAGCAGATTTTTCATCTTTGATAGCATGTGGGAGCACGATTGGTCGGACTGGCTGATATGGATTTTTCTGGACAAACAGCACGGCGAACGAAGAGTTCCTCGGAGAAAAATCAAAACATTTCCCTGCTGCAGCAACATCTCTCTGCATCGAAGCGTCTTTCTATTAATAAGACCTTTAAATACAGATGTTTAAATGATGGATTGATTTATAATAAGGGAGGAGGAGGAGGAGCGCCGTGTTGTTAAAGTGTCACAGGCTCTGTCAGGTCTTCCTTCGATTTTGTGCAGATAAAAATCTGCAGAGTCACTGATGGAGTTATAAACCTGCTGCTTCTTCTGGCTCTGGGAATGAAAGTCTGGCTGATGCAGCAGCGTTTGTGCATCAGTCATTTATTTCACTAAACGCTGAAGAAGAAGAGCTACAAAAGAAGAATAAAGTCCTGTGCTGGCTGTAATATCAGTTTCATGGGCTTCTGTGGGCTGCATTTCTCCATTTAAAGTGAATTTTTCTGTAAATCCTCACTTACAGAGTGGCTGACAGCTTTAAAATAAAGAAATTATATTCATTTCAAGTAGAAAGATGCAGATTTTTATTAGAATCGAAAGCAGAACTCATTTTTGTTTCTGTTGATGTGTCAGTCTGAGGTGGACGAGCGAAATTTGATCTAAAACGCTCATATCAGACATTTTTACAAAACAGTAGGACCCTAAAACTTTCATTGTTAGTCTTGTACACTATTTTACTATCAAATGTTTCCTAAATCTTGAACACGAGTGTTACTGAAGTTTGTGAAACTCTCTGATTTTACTCAACAGTGTGTAATGTTACTTATCTTAATGCTGTAAATTTAACACACTGACACAGTAAGAGACATTTCTGCAGTTTATACCAACAAGTCAGTGTATTTCCTTGTTGTTGAAACTGTAATTCAAATTCCAACTGCAAGTAAACTGACATTAACGAAGCGAGCAGCACCGGCCTCTTAATGCAGGTTAACATCCACAGACCTGTTCTGATTACAAACTGTTGCAAACAACCGAAACCCCAAACAACAAGATCAGAATCTCTATCAGATCCCTGCTTGTTTACACTTAGGTAGTAGAGCCCTGTAGCACTAAAGGAGTAGCCTCACAGGATGTAGTTAGTGCTCCTGTGTAGCATCAAGAAAACTCTGTGTGTGAAACTCAAACATTCCTCGCAGGAAAGGTTCCTTATCTGGTCCCAGGACGCAGGATCATATCAATCTTTCCAGACTTGTTTGCACTTTTAGGTGCAAACAAGTCTGACTGACCCGACTGACCAAACTGGAGGTTGACCTAAACCTCCCGCCCTTCACAAATGGTCAAATTGGAGAACAGAGACAGAGTTTTTATTACCTTTCAAACTGACTCCATCACTGACATCTAAATGATCATTAACACCTCACACGGGGCACCAAAATAAAATGTCGCGATTTGAATTAAAAATGTCATAATTTAAGATTATTATCAAATATTAATCTTAGGAAATTTATGATAAATTCATGTCGCTACAACAGGTACGACACAAAAATTAGACCTCTTCAGTTATACTAGTATTAATACTTTATTAAACCAACTAGTAAATCTGATGAAGTGAGGATGACGACTAAAAACAGGTCAGCCTGTACTCATACACTCCCAGAGTGATGTTAGAGTCGTGTATTTCAGATTTTACCCACAGAAACTCTCCATCAGCAAAATAAAGCACTGTCAAATAAATCCACAAGGATCAGACCTCACAAGTCAAAGCTATGATGATTTATCTTTGTAGGCTTGTCGTTTTGGAGGAGCTGTCTTAAATGACTTGTAGTGCAGTATTTGGTGGATTTGAGGTATTTTACAAACAGAAATGTATTAATCCATTTAATGCATGAGTAAAATATAAATACACCTGCTGCATTTGACCTTTTCCATGACTCTGGGAATGTTTCTGACACACCTGATGCAAAAGCTCCGCTCGTTTGCTTTGGGACAGGCTGCGCTGCGAGTCTTGGTGAAGGTAAATTGTCCCTCTGAATATGTACACATATGCACAGTTATGATTAGCTGGACCAACCTGTAACCTTACTTCACAGCAGACTTCAGCAGTGTTTATCAGGTGGTCGTTACACGCAACACTTCCCGACTGATGCTGTCCGTCCCAGTCTGCAGCGGCAGCAGCAGCAGAGTGCTGAGGGCTCAAAGGAGCTCGGCCACCCAGGCGGCGAGCTGGTGATCTGTTGATGAAGTGAGGGGTCACTGCAGGGCTAAGTGAGACCTCACACTGGACAAGCAGGCCAGACCTGGGGCCATGGTGCCATATGGGTGTGAAGGAGGTGAGGAAACCGGGTAGAAGTAGACAAGTGGGGGCCCGCCAAGCTGTCCACTCCACCTCTCATGAGACCCCCAGCTGTCACAACAGACACTTACCAGCACTCACACTAAACAGCCACCAGGGAGAGGGGGGCAGCATCCTTCCTCTCTCAGACAGAGGGATGAAGAAGAGACGATAATCTCTTCTTCCTGCTGCTGTGATGAGGGAGGAATGCTGGGTTTCTGCACCCTCCTCTCACGCCCCGCCGCTGTCCTCCGCCACTTCTGAGGCCAGGCTGAAAACCTGCTAATTATAGCCGCCAGAGGAGGAAGGTGTGACCTAAATAGCTATTTTAAGTCTGGAGCAGAGCTGTGAGAACCTCAGTGAGAGCAGAGGGAGTCACAGCAGGATGGAGGAAGTTTCAGCCTCAACCGTCACACAACAAAACACACACAGCTGCAGAGCGGGCCAGGCGAGGTCAGACTGAGAGGCTGTTCAAACACGGAGAGAGAGAGAGGACACGAGTTCACTGTGAACTGCAAAGTCTGATCTCAGATCAGAGCACAGATACATTAGACACATCCAGAGTTATGAGCATCAGGCTGAGGAGACGACTCCTACTGCGGAGTTCAGAAAACATGAGCGATGTCGGCGACTTCTGACAATAATTAGTTTGACTGAAGTTGATCTATTAACCCTTTAATGACTATTTATAGTTGCCAGTGGAAACTGTAAATAGTTCTGGTAACACAAATCAAAATCAAATCCTTGAATTTCAAACATTTCATGGATCAACCGGGAAACAAAATTGTGCTTTGAAAAGAAAAACACAAAAAAAAGAAGTCTAACATTTACCTGATCATAACATTTACCTTTATATTTGCTTTCTACCAAATTAAAGCTGATAAATTATTTTGGGTTGTTTTAAATCCACACAAAACATTTGGTTTATTTCCTTTCAGCTTTTTAAGAAACAGCCGTTTGTTTCGCTGTTAAACTTTGATGGGCAGACTTAAGTTATGATGAGCGATAAAAATCAAACAGAAAATTAAAAGGGGCTGTCGCTCTACAACACAAGTTTCCAACAGGCTTTAAAAACCTGCGACTCCTGTGACGTAAGTATCCGAAGTAACCACAGAGAAAACAGAGAAACAGCAGCTATGCAATTAGATTAACCATGAGGTAACAACTGCTGAAGGAGACAAACTTTGTGTGCTCAAATTGGCTGAAGTACCACCGACATTAATGAATATAAGGATGCTCTTGATAAACTGACCTTCTCCACAAACCTGCTCTGATTGCTCCAAACTAAAACCACATTTAAGACACTGTTTTCGCTCAGTTAGAGGAGCTGGTATGTAGAGTGCATGATTCATGTGTCATCCTTCAACATTTCTTCTGAGCTGTCCTCTTGAATAAAGGTAAAATGCCTAAAGCAGCACTTATAGTAAGAAAAATTCTTAGTAGCCGGACATGAAACACTTTTGTACTTTCTTATAAAAATGTGACAAAACCCTGTCAGAAAAAAAAAAAAAAATCACATTTCTTGCTACAATTCCAGTTCTTTAATTGACTTTCCTAGAGGTATGAAATGATAATAAAAGTATTAACACATATGGACGCTTTTTGTTTCAAATCTCAGCATGTTTGCTTTATTGATATCACCTGTTTAATGTTTGTTTGTATATCTGATATTTACATTTGTGAGAATTAGACAGTGACGGTAGTAAAAACTAACTCCAAAACTGTGGATCTGTGCATATTTCCACAGTAGATGTTTGTTTGATATCTTGTAAAAACGGCAGATATTAATCCTGCTTTTAAACTGAGCAGAAATCAAACCCCTCAGACTGCTTTCCTCCAGATTCACTTTTTATAACGAAGCTTTAAAATAACTATTTCTTCAAGTTTAGGACTCCATGGGCTCAATTTCAAACAAAAATTCTGATAATCTTCCAAATTTCTGAATAAATTTGCTTAAAAAATGAGTATAAATGAAGGATATTGCGAGCTCTGGAAAAGCATCGTCCCTTATTACAGCTGATTATATTTGTACGTTGAGTTTGAGCGCTCCTTCAGCACTCCTCACACTTCTCACTTTCACACTCCTTCCACCTTCCTCAGAGGAAAAGGAGCACGCAGCAGATATTCCACAAACACACTCTCCTCCTCCCCACTCGCTCGCTTGCTTTCTTTCCACACCTGAGAGCCTATTGACAGAGAGTCCCGGTAACACGCGTATCACTTAACCCCGTGTCAAAACACCGCTGTAACGTAAGCCCGGGGAGCAGGCGAAGGTCTCGAGCTCATAAAGGAGCGTGCGAGCTGGGAATAGCGCCCTGTGCGAAGGCGAGGGAGAGGCCCCCTCTGTGAGAGCACACTGAGTACAGAGATACTGCAGGGTGGGAGCTGGAAAACTGCCCGACGCTGACAGAGGAGACCGAGACACACCTTTACCTCGGGGATCCAAAAATGTGACTCAGCACTTCTGACAGACAAGACATGAGCCAAGTTTGAGCACTCACCATGGCGTCCCGTATATCCGGAATCCCTTTATGGTGACGTCCGAGTCTTGCAGGTACACACAGTTTGTGAGCAGCGACTGGACATTGTCAAAGTCCTCTGGTTTGAGTTTGGACACTGAGGGGAATCGGTAGTAATCCTGCTTGACCAGCTCGGCCATAAAGTCCTTATCGAAGGTCAGCTCGTGGTTGCCGGCGATCACCACCTTGAACTCGTACGGGAGGCCGCCTACAGACGAGAGGGAGGAAAACACAGGAGAGGGTTTAGTTTGCATGCATCTGAAATATCCAACAGTTTTGTTTGTTTTTTTCACGTGTTTTTTCTGCACACAAGCAAGAACAACAAAACCAGAGTTCGCTGGCGGCGGATTTGCATCTGTTGACTCTGTGCTTGTGGAAACAAAACAACAGAGGAAACAAGGCAAATGTATTCAAAGAGCATGTTTCTGCAATCGAGCATTTCAAGATGCTTCACGCAAAAAGTTTAATGACAAAAAAAAGGAAAGACAAGTTTTATTAGACGATGTTTAAAATGATGTAAACCATCAGAAGATGCTGCGACTGATCTGGTTTGAATCTCTGACCTCTACTTTGCAAGAAAAGCAAATGAAACAATCATCAGAGCAAGTGGCCAAAAGACTCCAGGTCAGTGTTTAAAGGATAAAACATGAGAATCATATACAGGTCTTGATTTTGAAGGCGTCAGCACCCCGAGTCTAGGATTGGGCGATTTAGCAAAAAAAAAATGTCTGATCTCGATTATTATCACAATTTTAATTTTTTAAACTGCCAGTTTTAAAGCATCTGAACTAAAAACTATAGAAACAAGAGACAGTTTATTATCACTACAAAGTATATAAAGTATATTCAATAAGATAAACAGAAAAATATTTACAGAAGTGGAGAAGGAAAAGCTCGACTCTGATTGGCTGTCGTCACGCACATTTTCCCATTGTCTGATCGAGTAAATATGCTCACAGCTGATCACCGTGATCGAACTGAAATTTATCACGATCACATAATTGCCCAGTCCTACCTGAGTCTGCACAATGTTTGGCATTTTGGTGCTGGAATTAATACAACATCAGGGGGAAAAGGGAAAAGATTGATCCAGTTTGGTTTTAATGTGGTCATTAAATCTGAAAATTAACACTTAGGCCATCCTCTAACTACAGAAGCAGTTTTATAACCTTGTATTGAATCCTAGAGTGTGTTCAATCTGCTGAATCTTGTCAGTCAAAGGTCCAATTAGGAGTTTCTTTTTACATTTCTGAAGCAGAATGAAATCTAAATTGATGCATATTCACGTCGAGAGCATGAGCGAAATGATTGAGGATTTTTATATCCTTATTTTAATGTGTGTTACTTGTGTTAGCTGAGTAGCTGAAAGAATCCTGTAAGTTTTTAAAATCCTGAATCTTTGCTCTTATCACCGGATCCACATTTTTATAACACTGCTTCAGTGTTATGAGTCTGTCCTCATATTTTGCACCTTCAGCAAACACTCCTCCAGTCGCTCCCCTCACCTCACCTCAAGCACAGATCAGGATCAGAGTGAAGAAAAGACTCAGGTCGGTGGAGAGAGAGAAAAAAATACCTTCAATTCAGGCAGTCAAAGAGGTTACAACCACATCTGACTGCTCCATTTGACCTCAGCGGGCCACCGTCCATCTCTGCAGCAGAGAGAAGCATGAACCTGAACTAAATAGAGAGGAACATCTATTACGATTCTCATCCCCTCATCTTTCAACTTCTGCTCTGCCCTTTTCTCTCTCCTCTGTCTGGGTGATTTGTACCGGTTCCCCTTCGCCATCAAGAAACTGACTTTCTGCTTTATTCCAGCCGATTGAACGCTCAGCCACAGAGTGGGGCCTTCATCAGCCTCCATTCTCTATATGTGTCGCTATTTTTAAAGGGCCTGTGATTTGGTTCCAGTTTTCCTCTCTTTTTGGGTCTGTTCTGTGAGTTCTGCACCGACTTATCTTCAGGGTTATATATGTACAGTTAGCTGGACTAAAGCCACGAGAAGAATAGATGCTGCTGCAGCTCTACTTTGCTTCAAATATTGAGCATTTTCTGAGTCAATCTATTATGTATATGGTCTGAAAAAACGACAAAAACAAAGACAGAAACTGGCGAAATAAAGTGGTGGAGTCAACATATCAAAGCCCAAAGACTTAGTCTGTACTTTCTAAAACAATGACTCAAAAGTTGTTGATTTTTATTGGTGATAAATCCTCTTTTAGGCTGAGTTTTATCCTATTTTGCACATTTCTCCTTTAGAAATAACACTATAACTTTTTTCTTCATCCTTTAGTTTTTTTTTGTGTTTCTGCTGCTGTAAACTTTGAACTTCCCCCCCGTGGGCCTAATAAAGCAATATTTGATCTTATCTTAGATCTGTGTGTGTTTAAGTGTTTGGCCATTAGCAGACGACTCAGTGTTATTTTAAAGATGTCATAACTGATACTTTAATATTTTTGGACATCACCTTTAAGAGTCGAGTTAAAAACATCTCATCCCCTGATGTGGCCTTTTCATAATAAAGGCACTCTAGGGGACTTTTATTGTGAAGAGTATCTTGGGAATTACAGGTTTATGTGTTGATTTAAGAATAAAAAAGGGTTTTATCAAAAGCAGTGTTTTCAATCTTTAAAAAAAAACAATACAAGAACTTTATTGATCCCGAGAGGGAGTTCTGTTTGTCTGAAATCTATGTCTGGAATTTGTTTGGACTTATTGGTCGATATGTGCTGAGTCGACCAAAATTCTGATTGGTCGACTCGATTTTTTTCCACGTCAATTTACAGTCTTTGGTTAATTTCATCAGGAGGAACGTACAAAGTGTTAATGGGGGGGTTTTCAGAGTTCGCCTGTTTCACCCTTGTTTTCACCATTTTTGATTCGTCCAACTCACTGGAGACCGGCTGGAGACTATGTTTTTTTAGCATTTTGTGTTTAATTGTCTTGTAGTGCTGATTCAATAGATTTTAACCTCACCGGGCCGCATCGTTCCCCGCCACAGAAGGGTTTGCCATCAGTGTCGGAAACATTCCTCCCGATTAGTCAATTTTTGGTTGAAAATTTCAGGGTTTTAGTCGACCGAGAATTTCTTATGTTGATTACAGCCCTATTACAAGTGCCTCAGGATGCCGAGTCTGTATTCTTGCGATTGTTTCGTCGAGAACATCACACTGAACTTCAGCCGTTGCCTTGGGTGTAGAGGAGGCAAGTCAACCCAACTTAGCCACTGAGCATTTTCTATGTAAACATTAACATCAGCAGTCAGCCAGCGTGCTAATCTGCACTGCGGCATCACCCTTCTCCTTTGGGTCACAGCATCACCGTAATGCTTCCAGAAACATATTCTCAGGGTTAGCACCACGTCGCCCACCTTGACAGGTAGAATATTTCACCATGTAACGCATTTTAAAAAAATCTCCTGAACTTGTAACCTCATAAAAAGTCATGATGGCTCTACAGATTCAAAGGTGAGACTCTTACATCCACCTGCGACTCCGGGTTTGACCGGGACAAAGGGATTCAGCTCAGGTGCTTTTGTCCTCACGCTCCTTTGACCAGCAGCAGCGGCAGAGGGTTATGATACATGGCAGGAGGGCAAATTGAATAAAACGCTGAATAAAGAATCCAATATAAGCTATTAGCTGGATAAGAAAAGGCTTTTGGCTGGAGACAGAGGTTGAAAGAGAAGATGTAAGCGCTCTGCTCAATTTTGCAGCGGTCCACTTCACAATTGGAAATAAAACCAATAGAAACTGAAAAGAATATAAATTCAGTCAAGATACGGCGGCTGGATGCAGATAATAAAAAACCTTAGTGTATCTGTCGAGTGTGTGTGTGTGTGTGTGTTCTCTAATGCTGAAAATGAAAGAATCATGGTTCCCCCGGTCTACAGGTTTCATTCCCGCTCCTCTAAATTAGCTCTCGTCGCATCTCAGGATCATAAATTTCAGTCTAACCTTATATGAGAGCGCCGTCTCTCAGTCCCACAGCTCTCTAACTGGATCACACATCCATTTACACACACACATGCGCACACACACAGACACACAACCTAAAGCGAATCATCCTCTCCACCACCAGCAGGCAGGGAAAAAGGTGGGGAAAACATAATTACCATCAAACAACTCCACCTCCATTACTCTGCTGGGAATTTCTTCTGCTTTTTATTGCTGCTCTGATACATCTTACTGAGGGCTGCTGGAGTGATACACCACGATTTATTCTCTATTCTTTGCCCACAAACAGGCAGCGTGAAAAACTCTGAAGAACAAGAGCGATGTGAGCTGAGAAATGGTTTGTCGTTCCTCTCATGAAGGCGGACGTGCATTTGTGTAAGTTTGAACAACAGAAAAAAAAACTCGTACTGAAGGAAATCACAGAAATCAGCTTCTCTCATCTGAAGGAAATATATTCTGAGGTGCTTTAAATTAAAAATAAAAACATGAATGAATTTCCATCCTCATCAAATGATACCCTGAGGAAACATGATGGAAACCCAAGTCAACACGTGCCAATTAGTGAAGAAGCCAAGAGTGCATGATGGTTCAAAAATATTCAAGTACAGGTGAAACAGAAACACTCAAGAGGTGAAATTATTCATCTGAAAAGAGCTTGGAGATTCAACTGAACTCATACAAACAAACTATACAAACTTTTCAACAACTAAATAATTTGCAAAAGTGTGAACGTAAAAAGTAACCGGATATCTAGGGCTGAAACGATTCCTCGAGAACCTTGATTACAAAAAAGGATCGAAGAACAATAGTACTTGTTTATTAGCTCAAATTGTCACTGTTTTGCACAGATTATTTTCATTTTTCGTCACCACGGTAGAAGGAGGAGTAAGCGTGGTTTTGGTTTTGTGGAGTGGAAAAAATAAATGATGAGAGGGGAAAACGAGAAAAACACAAAAAGCCACAATGAAAGAAAAAAAATAAAATAAAACAGGTTTCTTCACCTCCCTTATTGTTCTGGTTTCAGGCATTAAAAACAAGGACATAAAAATTGTTGCTCTTGTTGCTGATAATCATGTTTATCTTTAAACATCATGGATAGGCATCAATGGACAGCATCATAAAACCCCTCACAGGAGCTTTAATTAAAACTCGCCGCTCATGCGTTGTGTTAAAGTTGCAGCACGCTCTCCTACAGCTGGTTAATGGTCTGCTCTCCTCTTTACTGTGAATGTAAACCAGTGTCTTATAGAGCATTTTTATTTATGATGGATACAGATCAATCAGCTGATTTACAATCAGAGATTACAGTGACATACTGTTTGGACTGCAGAGACATAAGTCTAAAAAAACGTACCCATGATTTGGTCCCGATCAAAAACAGGGAACTAAAAATGAAAGTACTAAAAATACCGTCGAAGAGAAGGAAGTGACCGAAACCATTAGAGATCAGCAGCTCTCACTGATGCAGCTCTCATAAATATATAATCAGCTCCTTTATCCACACACACATTACACAACTTCCCATGGAAACACACACACGGGCTACAGAGGCTTATGGAGGCAGTTTAAAGGAGCAGATCAGAGTCGCTGTTTCTCATCAGACAGGCTGGGTCAGGGGAAACTCGTCCCTCTGCATCGATCTCCAATGATCCCCATCAACAGGCCAAAACCTCAGTCGATAGCTCCGACAAACTGCTGCCTCCTGAGGCTGAGAGGAGCCGACAGAGGAGGTAGAGAGGGAGGAGTGGGGCGAGCCTGAGTGTGTAAGTGTGTGTGTGTGTTGTAACAGAACAGCCAGCTCGGTTCGAGACACGCTCTAATGTAATAAACTTAATATTCAACGGTTAAAGGAAAGGTAGAGATCAATAACTAAAATATCCAAGTCTTCAATGGTGTTGCTTTTATTCAAGGAGTTTACGGTCAAGCCACTCACCTGACCTTAAACACATCATACTGCTCCCTCATTTAGTTTCTATATTAGCAAATTTACTGTTAATTTCACATTCAACACTGAATCACTGTTTATTATTTGCTTTAAAGTCCCACTCTGATCATTTTTTTTCTCAGTGGTCTTTAAATTGTGATTCTGAAGTTTTTTTTTGTGCCAAAATCGTGTTATCTGTGTCATTTTTTAATGGCTTTTCTTCTACAGAGCTCCAGAAGCTCATTAACAATTCACCTCTAAGTCATGGGCGGAGACAGCGCTGCTCTGCACACCCCTCTTCTCGATAGCTGGTCGCCTAACATTGCCTCTGTAGTAGAAATGGCAGGTAACATAGGAGCTCTGGGACAATAATGTCTTTGGGGACATGATGAAAGTTAATTTCATAAATTCGTGTGACCATATTCTGAATCCTCAAAAAAAGAACATGACTGCAAAGGAGCAGAGTCATGGAGCAAGTTAATTTTGAGAGTTTTTCGGGTTGGATCGAGTGTTTTTTAATGCCCGTCTAACTCATTAAGTCCACGCGACACAAACTCAAAATTTCCGTACAAAACCCTGGACATTTGAAGGATGTTATAAACTTTCCTGGACAAAGCCGTAAAAGTCGGACAGCACCCAAAAAAGCAGACATGTCCGGGTAGAAGAGGACGTATGGTCACCCTATCATAATTAGCTTTGTTCTCAGCATTGCAATCCGCTATTGCACACACTTGTTCTGTGATCGTCCTCTACTTTTCTGGGTCAGACCTGCATAGCGGGGCTCTGGGGGCGGAGCTTGGATCTGTGACATACGAAATCTGACTGTGTCTGAACCTGCTCTTTGGGTCTGCCAGAGATTCACAAAAAGAGATTTGAATTCAGAAATACTCAGAAATGCATTTTTGCGCTTATTTTTCTCATGATACGTCCTGTAGCCTCAGGAAAATGCCATATGAACATGTAGACAACAAGAAAAACATGATTTTCATTGGAGTGGGTCTTTAAACTTGCTTGAGATGTCTGCTTTGAGTGCAGAGATGGCATGTTTTTAAATTTGATGCATGAATTTGGCTGTAGAAGCTGTGTACATCTCACTGCTGTTCGTCTTGTAGTTTGCGTCACTCAGTTTTATTTGCATATTATTCGACCATCTCTGTATATTTGTGCTCAGGTGATTTGATTAAGAATAAGGCAGAAGTAGATATTTCAACATTTCTGTGTGGCCTGAATTGTCGTAGATCACTTTTCTTCTTTAAGGTTCTGTTATTAAATCCGAAACGTGACTTTGAATTTGGGACAGCCGGGGAGGTCTGTGAAGTTTGCCACTCGTTTGCAATAAAACTGGGTCAGTGTTTGAACCCACTGTAACTGCTGTGACTGACTGCATCCACTGACACCCTTTTAACTCTACAGGGGGGGGAGAGAGTCTGATCGCTGCAAACACGACCTGTAAAGGGAGTATCTATGTAAGCTAACGACTTTACACCATTATCTCTGACTTCAAAGTGTTGGAGGTGTTTGGTTTTGGACACTACATTGTTTTGATTATTCCCGCTGCAGTCTCAGACATTAGTATTTGTCTCACGTTGAAAATAAAAACCTGTTTCTTCTCTCCAAGCAGGAAAAACTTGATCAGGTTCAAAAGGGTCGTATGAGAATGAACACATGAGAATATACTGTCACAACTCCGACATTTAGAGGATAATATTTAGAGAAATGGGATGAAGACGTCGTCCGTTTCTTCACCTTTACTTTATTTACGTGTTCAGTACGAATGTCGTTGTGTTAACTTGACGCTAATGTCTGTATCTGTTTTTTCCTGACCTCCAGGCTTTATCTGCTCACCTTGCATCAGTCTTAACACCAGCCCGCCCTGCTTCTTTCTATTCTTCCACCTGTAGGTGTCAGTTCTGGTGTCTTCACTCATCAACATCACGTCTCGTTAAGTCGCTTTAAATCACAACATCACCTTTCTTTTTTCTTCACCTTCTATTTTTACAGCAGAAGAGACAAAACATCGGCTCTGTAACTGATTCAGGAAAAAAAGAGAAAGGAAGAAAAGCAGACAGTAAAATGTTTGTGAACTTATGTGAAGATGAATGTTTATGGAGGCGCTGCCGGCCTGGTGGTCTGCATATACAGAGGTTATGAATCAAGTAGTCAGGTTATGTTCAACTCCAGACTGTGATTTCTTTCCTGCTTGTCCTACTCAGTCTACTTTTATCTCTAAATGAAGACGATTAAAGCTCAAGTATAACTTAAAAAGTCACAAACTTCAGCTCTGTGCAGAAGTTCAGGGAGGCTGTTTCAAAAATGTATTTACAAGGTATTACGGTAACTAGAATGTGCTATCTGTGGCCACCAAATAAAGGGGTTCGATGTCCTGTAGGACTGCGTTATAGCACTCAAGTCCAAGACCAGGGTTCAGGACTTAGAATCAAACACCTTGAGAGAAGAAAGGTAGAGAATCCAGACTAGGGCTGGGCGATATGGCCTCAAATCAATATCACAATATATTGAGCAGTTCACCTCAATAACAATAAATGGACAATAACTACTCCACAAGCTGCTCAGCCCCTCCCACATTAACTTCGTCTACTTCAGCCGCTAGAACTTTTGAACCGTCCTCCATCTCCTCACCTGTCTTTCCCTCTTTGTTACAGACTGGATGGGGCGGAGTCACGTCTCTGATATAGGACAGCGTCTTAAAGGGACATGAGACCATAGCCTACCTAAACACATCCACACCCAACTTTTATTTATATATACACTGATATGGGCAAAATGACATCCGTTATTGTCGCAAATTTACATATCGGTAAATTTTCGGTTTAATCGCCCAGCCCTAATCCAGACTCTTCCAAACAATATCCAAACAAAAGCAGCGCAATAGGGAAACAAAACAATAAACCACCGACTCAAACTTCAGTCGGCATGTTTAGTATGCGCCCAGAAAGTCACTGAGATGCTCACAGAGTGTTTCTGTTCGCATTTAGAGTTACGTCGAGTGGGTTTTTAAGTTTGTTTTCGACATCTGCAGCAGAAAAGGTCCATTCATTTACATTATAGACAGGGTTTAACTAGCTGTCATTCTTCACACTCTGAGCTGTATCGGGGAGTGTGTTTGTGTGTTTGTGTGCATGACAGCTGAGCTTCTGATCAATGTGAGGATTCTTAAAATGCACTTTTATTTACTATAAATGCTTTTTCCAGTCACGCTGTGTTTCTGTCAGGCGCTCTGCTTCCACTGATTTGCCTGATTGGGATTCAAACATGTGGAATGCTTTCAGGCCAGAGTGGTGGGTGGCACTTATTGATTTATAGACGAGCTGAGAGGGGATGTCAGATCGGATATGTGTGTTTTTTTTCTCCTCTATGTGTGACACATGACCACATTTAAGGGTAAAACTGCTGCGGGGTCCCTGCAGCTCTCGCCTGAACGGCCTCCAGATGAAACACTTGCAGCTGAGACTGAAGCCACACACACACACACACACACAAACACATTCATGCACATATAACTAAGTGCTCCCACCCACAGCATGGGGCCAGAGGGAGAGGTCAAAGGTTAACTGAGGCAGGGTGTTGGGTCACAAAGGTTAAACTGGACACTTAAGGGCAGCAGTTGGGAGGTCAACAGGAGAGGGCGGAGGAGTCATTGTGTGGTCTAGTTACTGGTTATGTGCGCAACATGTCTCGTGTCTCGGCCCCCCCCCCGCTCGCCGCGGCCTTTCGCTCGCAGCTTTTGTGTGAGTGTGAAAACGCCGGCGCCCACGGCGTGTGCGCGTGTGAATGAGTCTTAAGCAGCTTTAGTACCTAGCCAGTCGTTGAACTTCTTAACCTCGGAGGGCAGCCCCAGCTCGGTGAAGTCGCCCATATGCAGCAGCACGTCTCCGTAGGGCATCTGGATGCCGTCTGTACGCGAGTGTGTGTCCGACACACACACAAACCTGGTGTGTCCTGCTGGCTTGGGAGTGTCATAAGGGATGGGGTCCACCCTGAAAACACAGACACAGACAGAGAGAGAGCTGGTGAGGACTCAATCCACCTCAATAACAAGTTTTCCGTCATTAATCAGCGGAGGGTGACAAACTCAGATGTGTTCATTTGTGCTGATTACAAACTGACATGTTAATGATTCTTGTTTTTCAGATAATTTTTCCTCCGACTCTTCAGTCCTGATTCAAAAACAAGCCGAGTGAAAATATGACAGCTATGATCTTCTAATGCTTTCTGACGTCTCGGGTGTTCAAGATTCAAAACTAATCAAAAAGCAATTAAAAGTATTAAAAAGTACCAAGACAAGCTTTTTGACATTTTAAATCGTACACTTTCAGAATTTTAGTGATTGTGCTCTCGTTCTGAAGAAGGAATTTGACCTGACTTTTTTTTGTTTAGCTGTTAAAAAGTTTATTTTATATTTAAAACAAAAGGTGGTTGTGGAGGTCGTGTCGCACAAATACAAATCATACAATAAAGCGTGCATTACTGAGACTTCTCATGGTGGTATCTCTGTTTTGGAATCTGGGATGGTATATCGCAGAATTTTCCTAAAACATAGGGGTAGTCGTAACACCCAAGGCTGGAAATAAAATATTACCAAAGGTGCAGTACCAGCAGTGGCCACTAGAGACTCCCAACTTAAAAGTTTCCACATCTCGTCTGTTATTAATATTAAGCAGCGTACTCTGGTGATGTAAAATAAAACAGTCCCTCCAGGAAATTGCGATGTTGCTGCAATCGCAACTATAAACGCAAATTCAATCAATCACCACGAATTTAGCGAGGCGCTGCAATTTCTTCCAATCACGGCAAATTTTTTTGCAAATTTGACAAATTAACGAAGCCCTCTTTTACCCACGCCTCTATGTAACATGTACATCATCATATTCACTTCCCAGAGCACTCTGTGTGGGATATATCATGCATTCATCTTATGGTTTATAGCTACAAACTTGCAAAAGACTTTTGTAGCTAATTTGCAATTGCCCTTGTTCCTGTGAATTCAATAAAAGAAGCATCAAATGATCGCAACTTTCACTGCAATTTTTTTAGAAAAGCTGCCACAAAATCAGGCATTTCAGGCCACAACAATCACAAAAATAAGCCAGCGAAATCCTGGTGGGACTGATAAAGCAAATGCAGAAAAATATAAATAAATAAATCAACTGCAGTTCCTCAAGCTTGATACAAAAGCGACAAAATCCCCATTAGGTCCTGTGCAGAAATGCACAATTTTACAGCAGAAATAAACCTGCTTACAGCCTGATTCAACAAGGTTTTGGTTGTGCATCAGTCTCACCTCTCTCTGTCTCCCTCTCTTCCCCTCTCTTAACCCAACTCAGTTTCAGCAGATGTCTGTCTAACATCAGTCTGGTCCTGTTCAAGGTTTCTGCCTGTCAAAGGAAGTTCTCCCCCCTCACTGTAACTTGATAAATGCTGCAAAGTGGTTGGAGATGGGATGGGAGAGGGTCCGATCTTACAGGATGGGGCCCAATCCTCACACAGAGTCTGGTCTAGACCGACTTTTTCTCATAACTTGTTGTGAATTGGCATTATATAAATAAAGATTTATTTTTTTCTCCTTAAAAAGGTATTTTAAATACTAAAAACGGACCACAACCAAAAAAGATCGTCCGCATCAACAACAATTTAAATTTAAAATTCACTGATATAAAAACACAGAGAGATACATAGGCGTATTTTCACCCCCACAAATATTTGTTCATGAGAAAATGTAAAGGGGACACAGATGGAGGGTTTCAACTCTGAACTCCTGCATCCTGATACCGTTATCAGTTACATTTAAAGTTTTACCCCAGACTTTAGTGAATAATTTCAGTCCTTGAGCTTTGTCTTTGTAATCCTGCTCATGGCTGTAAAGGGTCATGGCGTAAAAATAAAAATGATTTCTAACCCCCCCAAAAACAGGGTTACCGCTTTCACAAAAAAAATAAAACCAAACTCCACCAACATAAAAAAAGTTAAAGTTCTCTTCCTGCTAAATTATTAAACTGTCCTCTTTAACAAAAGGGAAAAAAAGCAAGAATTCAGAGAACCTCTCTGTTATTTGAAAAAAAGTGCTCCTTATTCTGAGGCATATTTGGAGGAAATGTATGCTAATTTCACACCAGACAGCAGAAGGTGAACAGCTGAAAAGTAGAAACCTCAGAAAGATCATTTGTTGTGCAAAATAAATAACACGGCCCGCAGAATAATGCATGCAGCAGAGCAAAAAGCATCGGGAAGAAAAGAGGAGACATTACAGCGCTGAGAAATGTGTGGTTCGGCCTGGAAAACAACCAGCAATCAGGTTGATTTGCGCACACGATGAGGGCAATGGATGTTTTGTGGCATCTGATTGGCTAAAGAGACGGTGAATTAAAGCATGCCATGTCCTTTCCGTCCATTATCTGAAGAAAAAACACTTAGAGCGAGTCTGGCTGGAAAGAGCTTTTTCTCCAGCCTTTTTGTTCGATGTAAGGACGTCGGTTAAAAAGGAAGAAAAACCTGTACTTCCTGCTGACTGAAAGGAACGAGAGGAGAGAGAAAAAAAATCATCTTGTCTGTAATTGAAGTCTACAATGTGCAATCTTCCAGCACTCTGCCACTACACCATTATTTCATTAGAGGGGATGTCACTCCGTCGACAACATCAGACACATAATCAACGCCGCAATCTCCAACCTGACAAGCACACACACACACACACACGCGAGAAGAGTTAACTTGCATGTGCGCACAAACAGCCGCAGACGTGGGTGAAATCAAAAGGTTCCTGACTGGAGGAGACGTCGTTAACAGAGATGGAGAAAATAAGCACCTGGAACAAAAGACGGTCTTGTTTTTTTGGGAGGAGGCAACATTTGAGGTCTGGTTTAGGAAGCTGTCTCCCTCCTTGTTTTTCTTCTTCTTTTTTCATCTATGACAGAATACAGGATGTGAAAAGGCTCCAAAACCAGAAGCTGGGATCTGTTGTTGTTCTGTTTTGCAGATGAACAGTCAGCTGGAAGGTCTTGTTAGTGGTAGCTAAACGGTGGACAAGCTGGTTGCCATCTGTAGCTTGTAGCCTCTGTGCGCATGTAGCCATCTGCAGTCACCGCCTGTGGTCACACGGATCCAGCCTGGGTGGGCGGATTTACAAACAGGTGACTAAGAATAATTATAATAATAATAATAATGAGATCTGGTGACTCTTAGTAACCTTAAGGTCTGTTAAAATCATTTCCATTTGTTTTTCTGAATAAACTTTGCAGTAAATTTAACTCCTCACAGCGAGGAAAGTTGCCATCTGTTTAACACTTCATCATATGCGGCAGGTTTTCTATTCATATCACGGATCCTTTATACTTTCCTACACACCTATTTATTTGGGACAGTAACATTGGAGCAACTCAGGACCAGAGTTTCCGTCGGGATCTACATAGTTGTCATCTCATCTACATTAAACAGGACCATCTGCTAACTGTGGGACACGTTTTCCCTGAACTTGGAAAATCCACCTTCAACTCCAGACACATGAAACATATAAATGCTTTCATTTCACCTCAGTTTGCTTTTGTTTTTTCCCCTCTGATAAGGACAGAAAACCTGAACGTCAATCTGAGTTAGGGCTGGGCAATAAACTGAAAATTTACCGATACAGAAATTTACAACAATAACCAACGTCACTTTGCCCATATCGGTATATTTGTTGTCAAAAAATTAAATAAATCAAAGTTGGTTTTGGATGTGTGTAGGTAGGCTATGGTCTCATGTCCCTTTTAAGACGCTGTCCTACGTCAGAGACGTGACTCCGCCCCATCCAGTCCGTAACAAAGAGGGAAAGACAGGTGAGGAGATGGAGGACGGTTCAAAAGTTGTAGCGGCTGAAGTAGACGAAGTTAATGTGGGAGGGGCTGAACAGCTTGTGGAGTAATTATCATCCATTTATCGTTGTAGAGGTGAACGGCTTAATATAGCGTGATATTGATTTGAGGTCAAATCGCCCAGCCCTATCCCGAGTTTAAATAAAGGTTTTAAAGCATCAACGCCAGTCTGTTGATAATCGGCTTCACTGTAAAAAAGTTTCAGAGTTGTTTCAAAGATGTTGCAGCTGTTTTGTATCCATGATCCAAAGGTTAAAAGTAGACAGGTCAGTCAGGACCACTGTTATTAAAAATTAGGACTCATTTGCATGTGGCCTGTTATATTTGGGGATACGGCTGTTTTATGTGCTGATGAGGAACGGCAGAGAAAGCCTGCGACAGGAAGAGCAAACTGGTCCTGTTTAATAAGCATATGTGAAAATCCTGCAGCAGGGAGAGCAGCAGCAAAGACCCCGCTGATAAAATTAAACGCTGTGTAAAAAAAAGAGAAGCTGGGGTGGAGGAAGGAGAAAGCAGGTTAAAATAGAAAACCTAACTGAATGAGCTGTCAGCTGATTGAAGTTGGTGTTCGGATTGAAGGCCAAAGCTTTGTGTCTACAGTGTCCAGCACGGACATTTTGTGCTTCTGATTTTTTGTCAGCTGTCTCTTTCCCCCTCTATCCCTTAAATCTCTGTTGGAGTCGAGCAGAAACCTCCTGAAACACCGGAGCAGAGCTGGCTTCTCCGTTACCCGAGCAGAGCTGGACTTTGTATCAACCACACAAGACCAAAGTGAAATACTAGCTCCAGAGATAATGATATTTACTATTGACTGTGTCCAGTAAATAAGCCTCCGTGCTCTCATATAGATGGAGAAATACACATTAGCCTAAGCCTGCGGAGAGCACATACATTACAGTGAAGCTGGTGATTAGATTTGGTGCTCTGTGGTGCCTGGACGTCATGCAGCTTTACAGGATTCGACAGTTCTCGTCACGGAGGACGGACGACAGCAGAACCACATGGGATGACAAAACACACACTGATATCCATAAATATATATGTGTGCACACACACACGAGCGTGCATATTAAAACAAAGCCCGCAGAAAAACAAGCTCCATCTCCTCCCCTCTCCTTTGAGATTTAATCCACCCTGAGAATGTAAGTAAATACCAGCAGCCCCTATCAATTAGAGCGGGCCCGGGCCAAGAAACCTTCATGATAGTGCTGCATAAGTCTCACACACACGCACAAAGAGCCAGGGCCCCTGTCTTTCCTGTTAACATACGACTGTTTAACAATCCAGAGGTTCATTAGTAATGTATACAGGAGTTCAGGAGTTCAGCAGCGCAGCACAGGCCTCTGATCTATTGTAAACGGAGACGGTGAAAATGAAAAAGTCTCACCGCGCTCCAGCAGCAGGTAAAAGAATATTCTCCAGCGGCGAAGTGAACCGTGTTAGCATGAAGGTTTGTGTTAACATGTCTGAGCTTCGGCGTGACATCAGAGGGAAGACTGTGGAGGGGAAGGAGCGGAGGAGAGAGAGAGAGAGAGAGGAGAAATGCTAATGCGCTGGAGGAGGGCGGCAGCACACTCTCAAATCCGCCATGACATTGAAGCTGACACAAAACCGAGGTCTGCGGCTGCAAAAATATCTGCTGGATGAGGAAAAGGCTGTGATCCCTCAGCAGAGAAACCTCAGCGCATTAACTTCTCCTCACCTACAGCTGCAAGAAATCACGGTGAGAAGACGCTTCAAGATGTTTGCACATTTTACACGTCTCCATTTTGGGAAACAGTCAACACGGATTCACTTTAAAAGCATCAACGCTCATTTCTCTGAATTTACTCAACACCAGCAGGACTGTTGGTTTTTACCGTCACGCTCTTCTTGTTTTCTTCACTTTAAAATTCACAGCTCACATTTTTGAACAAAGACTTTTTCTGGTTTGTTCTTTTTCACCTTCAGTTTTACTTTAAATCAGGTTTACCGAAGAGCTGGGGGAATTCATCAGTCATTTTAGATTTATTCTCAATGACAATTCGGGATAATTAAGACGCAGAACAAATACTGAGTAAAACAGCATAAACACGCACTCGAATACCATACACCAGGACACAATACAAAACAGTGTGATACGATTGGATGGTGAGCTGATACAATATGATCTGATATGAAAACAATCGAATGTGATAGGATACAATAAAAAACAGTGATACGATGCAATAGAAATCAAAACGATATAATACGATGAGAGGCAATACAACATGACACCGAAAAGTGAAACAATACGATACAAAAAAATACGATAATGAGACACGATTTAATACAATACTTAATGATATATGATACAATGAATTACAATATGATACAATTAGTTAAAATACGACGAGATACAATATAAAACAATAGGATACGAAGAGTTATACGATACTATACCATGAAAGAGGTACTTGGCATTAGGGCTGTAAAGTCCTAGTCGACTGGTCGACTTATTGGTCGATATGTGCTGAGTCCACCAAAATTCTAATTAGTAGACTCGATTTTTTTGCGTCAAATTACAGTCTATGGTTAATTTAATCAGGAGGAACGTACCAAGTGCTAATGGGGGTGTTTTCACCATTTTGGATTCGCCCAACCCACTGAAGACCGGCTGGAGATAGAAAGATTGAAGAGCGTCCACGTTAGCCTTTTGTGTTTAATTGGCGTCTTGTGCTGATATAAATATATTTTCACTGCGCTAAGCCGCACGTTGCCGAGTCGCATCGTCCCCCACCGCAGAGAGGTTTGCTGTCAGAGTCGGGACACCCCCCTCAAATGAGTTGATTTTTGGTCAAAAATTTCAGAATCTTAGTCGACTAAGAATTTCTTCGGTTAATTACAGCCCTATACAGTACATCTGATACAATAAGATATGATATATGTGAAACGGTTATACTGTATGATATGTAACTGGGATCCGATCTGATACCCAATTCATGTCTTATTTGGTATGGCTCATACAAGCGGCTAAATGATAACAATTCTGGTCTGTTAAATGACTTTTTAATATTTGGAATTTTTTAACGTAGGCCTCAAATATCATCTAAATGTTGACAGCCCAGCCAATCACAACAAGCCAGGGCTGCATCTCCAGTTTAAGACCCATCCCCGATAATGCTCGAATATCTGGACTGTAAACCAACACAGATGATGGATAGGATCTTGCAGCCCGACGTGGTTCAGCTGTATTTTGATGCAGCAAATGGAGATCATTAGTTGCATGAAGGCTGTGTCTGATTAAACTGATATAAAACCACTGATATGGAGGAATGCATAACGGGCACGGGCATGTGCACGAAAGATGGAAGGCTGGTGGTGCTAGCTCTGCAACTGTTAGATACACTTAGAAAACCAATTCAACATCACAAAGACTCTCAGCTGAGACGAACATGTGCCCTTGTACCAGCTGAAATTTAAAGTTCCACTTATATGACATGAAAATTCATGCGTTCATAAATCTGTGGATATTTGGCCCTTCCATATATACTATAAATACCGCCTATAATCAGAACAACACATGCTACAGATGCCCAAACTCTTCCAATCGCCCGTTATCCATCTTCTTTTATTAACCGTCAGTGAAGCTCAGTCTCACTCGGCTCTGCTTTAAAGTCAAAATAAGGATGTCGATTTTGGGGTTCCTTCTCAGGAGCGTTCGCAGATCAGAAATCTACAGGAGCGAGATGTGAAACAACCAAATAGTGGAAAACTGGATTAAACCCATGCGCTCGGTTATTGGTTGCATGTGTGGTATGGAAGAGGAGAACAGAGGGAGCCGTATAAATCAGCGTGGGAGAGACAGAGGGAGGGAAGGAGGAGTGCTCTGCGATGTCTGCAAGAGGATATTCGCTTTGACTGAGAACACTTGGCTCCCTGGCCTTTTGGAAAAACACACAAGTAAACAGGGTCAAAGTTCAGGCTGAGCTTGCTTCTTCAAACAAGACACTTCACCCGCAGCAGATAAGGAGGTCGCCGGCTAAGTCACTCGGACTCGCACAGCTCTTTAAGGAGGCCACATAATCATTGTGATTGATTACAACACTTCCTTTAGGTTTTTTTTTCTTTTTCTGAAATCCTGCCGAAGCTGCTGCGGGTCCAAAAACCTGTCCTGCTAATATATCACAGCGATAGTCACCTCTAACCGCTGCTTTCCATCATTATAACAGAGGGCTTCTTCACCAGGACATAAAACATGCAAACACAGCCTGACATCAGGAAGGGAAGATCGTCATTTTGGTTGATTGCGAAAGTGAGAAACACAATTTTACTGCAGAATGAAAGGACAGAAAAATCAGGAGATTATTCTGGTGTTATGATGAGTTTTTCAGCTTCATTCGATAGGCTCTTGGTTTCTTCATGTCTCTTCTTGGTTTCATTGTTTTGCTCTGGCTTTATGCTTTGTTTTTCTTATGGGAATTGTCATTATAACACCCTTTTAGCTTTTATATCATTTGAATCTATAGAAACTTTTAAAAATTGCAATCTAAGACTGTGCTCATGACATAAATACCATAAACTGGCAGGAATTTTAAACCGCAAAACAACAAGCATGTGAGCGATCGATGAGAGGGTGTAAACTCACGACTATTACACCCACATATTATTCAGAAAACCGTTAATACAGCCTTAGCTCTTCAAACAGATATTGAATCCAGCTGCAGGGATTTGCTCTCCTGCAGTCAGAGCTCATCGGTCAGATCCTGCGCTGACTTCCTTAAACTGCGACCACAAAGCTGGCAGCATACGGCCGTCTTATATCTTGTTGATCGCTGCATTTAGATTCAGCTTTCTTTAACTGGAGCGGGTCCGGAGTCGGGTATTTTCTCCGTGTACACTTGAGTTTTGGTTCCGGTCATCCTTGGCAGCCCCCTCCTCGTCCTGCCAGGGTTAATGAGGTCAACGACCCCTGAGCGTGCCACTTGTCCCAGACACAAACATGTGTCAATCAAAGTCCTGTGATGGTTTCTGTCCATTTTCTACCTGCCACCACCTGCTGCTGCTGCTGAAGGATTAGCCTCCTCCTTCTCCCCCCTACCCTGTCCTTGTTAATGAAGTCATCCTGCTAATGATTTTTCTTCAATAAGACCATCAGCACGGACCCAGCCGCCTAAAACCTTCAAGGTCAGAGGTGACACGAAGAAATAGACTGCTAATCAACTAAAGCTGCTGCCTCCATACATCAAAAACAGGATCAAGTCTTCAAGACTCTGTGATTCAAAGACGATCAAAAAGACAAAAACTACAAAAACCTTGATTACTCAGGGTCCAAGACGCCGACAAAGATCACTTTGTTTTTATATACCAGTTTAAAATGAAGAGAGGGGTGTTTTCTTGTAAAGAGCGACTGCTTTAATACACAAAGCATGATGAATACGTGAGAAATACTGTTAAGTCAATTTATCCTAAAGGTAGGGCTAACTCTTTTATGGTGCCTGCATGTCCGTGAGGTTAAAATTCACGCCTCATGTTCGTGAAGTTTGGTGAAGAACTAAAAAATCTAAATTGAAAAAAAAAATCGAGATTTTATTTTTGGCCAAAATCATGCAGCCCTACCTAAAGGTTACACTTAATTTAACCCAGGTAGTCTCAGCGAATTGGTTCTGAGTGCTCAGTGGAAACTGGGTTATAACAGATGCTACACATCTACATAAAAACTGCACATTACTGAACACAATTAAAGTCTTCATGCGGGTTATAGGTCTTTTACTTTAACTCTCCGAGTGCTCCTCTAAAAACAGACACTTTGATCCAGAGAAGTAAGAAATTGTACATTTCACCTAAAATAAAGGATAAATGTGACTTTTTGTTCACAATTTGGTAGCAGGGTTTCAACTTGCTAAACTGCGATACAAAACTAATAAAATAATTAGCCCGTCTTGCTTGTTAAATCAAACAATTCAATATTTAACTGATATAAAAACTTGACTTTGTGACTTGAGTTTGTACTGCTCTCAGAAATACCAGGAACTAAAATCACAACACAGCCATAAATGGGGCCTCTCTCTGTCTTTTATCGAACTTCTTAACAAAGACCATCAGAGAAAATTCGATGTTTGTGTGTCCGGCACTCCAAAATGGTGCATTTAAGAGATAATCACAGCTGAACTGGAGACGAAATAGCTGCTGTTCCTCCACTGAGCTCACACTGTCTTTATCGCTCTTTCAGGAAAAACATCAAAACACAATGCTCCCCATTTCCTCTGTCTATAACCTCTGCATCAGCTCCCCTCCCCCTCAAACACACACACGCGCGCTAACACACACACACCGCTCACTCATCCACGGTGCAATACCATTTCTCAGAGAGGAGCAGAGAGAGCGCCTCTCTTATCTTCTGCATTTCAGCTGTCTGCGCTAATTCAATAAACTTCAGAGGGACAAAATGAACACAGGAATAACGGGGAGGAGTGTGGCGGGGTGGGGGTGGGACTGGTGGGGTTGTTGAGGGGAGAATGAGGGAAAGGTAGGACAGAGAAGGTAAAAAAGCAGATGCAGAAGGATGGAAGAGGAGGAGGAGGAAACACACGAAGAGGAGCAGGAGCACAGTGTAAAGAATATTTAAAGCAGAATTGATTTTCAAGAACAGGAGACAATTTCCCTTTAGCCTTGATGCACCCCCTCCTCTTTCTCCCCTCTCCTCCACTCCATTTGTTCAGGCAGGATGCGTCCTCCTCATGTCTCCCATAATGGCAGAATAAGGCACACAAAGCCTGCGTTGGAATATCAGCAGCAGAGAAACCTTCCGGCGCTGCGCTGGGAAATAAATTGCTTCTGCTAATGCCCCTTTCATTACGGCACAGCCCTTAATTGTGCTGCTGACAGTCGGCCTGGCTGCAGGGCTGATGGGAGGAAGGCTGAGGAGACAGGCACGACGTGGCCCCGGGGCCAGGCACCGACCAGCAGACTGCTCAGAGAATAAACCGAGGGAGTGTAGTTCACCTGGACTGACAACACGAATCACAGCAGACGAAAATAAAGGTCCTGACGGCGAAAAGACGAGCTTCGAAGACAATTTTCTGGCTATTTTGAGTTTTTTTCTTTTTCTTTTATCAGCTTATAGAGCGGTGACTCAAAGAAGTAATTTCTGGGTTGAAATTTTTAGCTTGTGACTCTTGAGCTTGAACCATTTTCTCTGAGAAGTATTCACAGTTTCTGAAGAGACTAAACCTGGAGTTAAAAGTCAGTCACTGAGTTATAAATTAAAATACGATTTTCTTTTTAAGATCTCAAACATTCTTTCATTCATTGGCACTAAAATAAAAAAAAGTTTACAATTTTAGCAAACTTATAGGTCAGCTGTTTGTAGAAAATTATGTTTTTATACTAAAGAGAAAATGTTTATCTAATGAAGTGGTTATAAAATGCCAAATTTATCGCAGATTTTGCAACAAAAAACACTCCTGATAACCCCTGGAAGCATTGGAGAAACCTCTGGAGTGGATCTGTCCTTATTCTAGTCAAGCAAAGGTTTCACAGAAAGTGTCCGGGATTTGTTTCACGATCTGGATCAGCCTGGACGGAAACGGCATTTACCATCCAGTTAATTTCAAAATAAAACCCTGTGCGCGGATCAGATTGTAAATCTAGGAAATACTGCCGACAAATTCAAGCCAAACGGACCAAAACTGGACTTTAAGATGTTTAGTAAGTCTGGTGGTATTGGTATAGCTAGAGAAGCAAGCAGTCGGCAACATTCATCTCTTGAGGTGGTGTCTAACTCGTTGTTACGGTGTGTTTGACAATAAGTTAATTTTATTCTAAAATATCCTTTTAACTTATTAACTGTGTAAAAGCACAAAAGTCACAGAACAACATCTAACATTAGGAGTAAATCCACCACAGAGAGGCGTAACCTGCTGTTTGACTGTTTTCCTCTGTGGACTGAGTTTTAACGCTTCAGGGCTGTACTTTTATGCACGATGCTTGAAACAGGCTTCTTGTGTTGCAGGATTAAAACTGTCGGACTGAACAAAACCGTGATAATGACAGAAACTTGAACACAACTCTTTATGTCGGATCGTTTCGAAGAAGTACTAGATTTCTTATCTCGAGTAAACTGCATTCACATTTAGAATAAAACACACAATCAGTTTAAAGTTTCACAAATATAATGACTGACTGTTACAAATGATTCATGCCGACTATAAACCAAACACTGATTTCTAGTAAAGACGAACCAAACAGTCCAGAGGACTTGTCACATTGAGGACTTGCAGGCTTTGGCAGTTTTCCATCCACTCCAAGTCTAGCAGGAAGTGACATCACCGAGAGATCGCGCCCTGTGATGCCAGGCTGGAAACATCAAAAAGACTTCAATCTCCACAAACAGCGGACCTGTCCAATGTCAACCCTCACTTAACCCCCTCCTCGACCGCAACCACCGCCGCCATCGTCCCGCCGGGGCTGCAGCAGCGGGTCAGGGGTGGAGAGGGAACTTAATCAAGGGTTCTCCTGTTACAAAAGCCCCTCCACTCCTGACAGAAACAAAAGGCCACAAATGGGACCGGCTCTTTGTTCTCCTGAGAGCTGAAGCCGGACCGGCTGCTGCTCTTCTGCAAACTGTTCAGGAGGGAAACAGAATGAGAGACGACAAGGGGAGAGGTAAACCTGCAGCAGGCAGACCGCTCGGTTTTCTCTGTGCAGTCTTTAAACAACCAGAAATAGACAGATAGTCTTATTGTCATTTCACACTCCAAGCCAAACACACACTAGAGTCTGAACTTGAACTAACGATGATTTAAGTCAAATGATACAAACACCCATTCAATATTTGCTCACTTTGACCGTGCAGCGAACTCAACAGTCTAACAGAAAACATACATGGACCAGGTAGGGCTGGGACAGTATGTTTTTCTCCCGATTCAATTCTTCTATGGTTTTTTGGATGCCAATTAGATTTAACTTGCGATTCTAGGATATTGTTGATTTTCTCGATATTTAGTCTGCATTTTTAACACCATTGAAACAGTTGAATGATTATGATTGTCTACTGACTATTCCAGGAGCCATATTTGCCCCCAAAAAATACACATCACATGTAAGTCAGTTTTTAAGATTTATTCTTAAATTTGAAAAAAATATATCGATTTTGAACATGAAAATCCCATGAGTGGAGACATGGGCGTGAATCTGCTAAAAAACAAAACAAAAAGAAAATTGTAAAATAACTTATTTTTCATTTCAAATCTTTTTTTTTAACTCGTCTTAAGACCCATTTTAATTCCTTGGCTTTCAACTCTGCTCCTGTTTTGGTGTTTCATGGTTTGTTTTTAGTCGTTTCTATTGTTTTTGAATTCGTTTTTAAAAACAATGAAACAATTATTACAGTGTTTACCATCTGCTTTGCTTTATCTCTTGTCTTCTATTGTTTTAATGTCTGTTTTTTTTTCTTGTCTGTTCATGTACAGCACTTTGTTCGTTTTGGTTGTTTGAAAGTCCATTACAAAGACAGGCGAGTTAAGTCGAACTGGAGTTGCTCGTCTTCCTCTACAGCTTGCCAGTTTTCTATCTATTTCGTGACATTTTAGCAAATAAATCCTGATTCGAAGTTTTTTGTCACTGTCAGTCATTTTGATCCTAAACTTGTAAGAACGGGGTCTAAATTTATAGATAAGGGAATATCTATCAACCTGCCTCGAAACCATCAGTCTCGTGTGGTTTTCCAGCGTGCTCAATCGATTTAAAACCATAAAAAGTTTAAAGATGAGGGTGAAATTTAGAAAATCTGGATCTCTCTACTTCACATGACCATTCAGGACCATGTGACCCATTAAAACAAACCTCACACAAATATCTGTGGAAAATCAGAGTAATGAGAAACACAGAATCAGAAAAAAAAACAGATCAGTTCGAGGTTAGAGAACAAATCCTGAACATGTTTGAGCTCCTAAAAGTGGATCCGCATCTGTCATTGGGAAGATGTTTTGGTTTTCTACCAGACGACCACAAAGAAGAACAGACTTTGGGCAGAGTTTACCTTCAGGCTACAGCCGCGGCACCACAAACTAATAAAGACAGAGAAAACCTTCTGACTTGCTGAAAAAAGTGAATGTCTGAGCTCTCCAAGGTTCCTCAAAACGAGACAAATGAGTTTTATTTATAGTGGCGGTGACAATATTTGGAAAAATGAGAAACACAGCCCAGCTTTGTTGTCCTATAATGACTGGTTCAGCGGCGAAACACGCAAAAACATGAAGTGATAATAACCGATGCGCTCAAAACAAAATAAGGAACATTTTGGGCGTTTGTGTTCATGTTTGAGGTCTATTAGCTGCAGGGTGAACACGCAGCGACCCTTCTGATGTCTTCAACAGTAAATTAGACAACACAGGGAGTTCTTAAAAGTCCACATCGCCTTTTGAAAGTCACACATTTTCCACAATTAAATTGCCAATTTTCTGAGCTTTCACATCTTCAAAGCGGCCCCTGCTGCTGAAGGGTTTCAGTAAACAAGGTTGGACTTGTTTACTCCACAACATGATGCAAAAAGAAAAGAAAAAAAGACTCTGGATCTCTTTTTGGACTTTCCATTTGTGCTGAAATGGAGTCACATGTGCAGAAAAGCGACTATTTCCAACCCAGAGATAGAAATGTCCTGTTTAATTATCATCCCAGCTCCTCTCTGTCACATGCTGAGCATCCTCCCTCCTCCCGTAAAACAAATATACTCATGGAAACGGCGTAAAAATCGTTGTGTTTACAGAGTGCATGTGTAAAAGCAGCAGCTGTGAAAGTGAGGCCTCTGACTGTGCAGAAACACTTCCTATAAAATCATAACTGGGACCGTTTCCTCGACCACGTTTACAGCAGAGCCGAGCCGCACAAAGAAAAGGAAGCACGGCGCATTAAAAAAGCAGGAAGTTCATTAATAAAAAGCAGGCTGGTATTAAAACGAGTGTGAAGGTTGTGTTCCTCCTGTGCTGTTTCCTCACTTTCCAGTGTGTGTGTGTGTGTGTGTGTGTGTGAGTGTGTGTGTGGATGCAGGCGGCAGCGTCATTAAATGATTCATACTTACGAGCTCCTAAATTATGCAGAAGGCGGGAATAATTAACAAGGCATCTGGAGGAGAAGGAGTGTTTTCTTTTTCTTCTTCTCCGGTATGAGGGCTGCTGTTTAAGAGTTTCCGTTTCTAAAAGCATTACAAATGGACGGATTGAGCTCAGGTGTCTGGAGTAAATGAAGTTTTGTACAGGGAGTAAACAACAGGAGCCGGGAGAGAGGAAAACAAGAAACAGAATTTGACACAGACAGCTCGTCGGGACGCATCAAGAAAACACTCGTTTCTGATCATCTGCTGCTGAATCAGTTCACACCACAAAGTTACATCTGCTCAGAGTTAATAAACTCAGACTTTTCCTGAATGTGAAAACAAAAGATGAGGTAGAAGAAACCCAAACTTAGAAGAAGGATGCTGTAACTGCACAGTAGAAGAAACAACAAATTTAACTTAACTTAATGGGCCGGGGTCACGTCTCTGACGTAGGACAGCGTCTTAAAGGGACATGAGACCATGAGCCTACCTACACACATCCAAAACCAACTTTTATTAATTTATTTATTTATTTGACACTGAATATACCGACATGGGCAAAATGACGTCGGTTATTGTTTTAAATTTCGGTATCAGTAAATTTTCAGTTTATCGTCCAGCCCTACTTTATACTTGAAGTTTTAAACCTTATATAAACTGTTTCCAAGTCGCCTCAAAGTCATTGCTGTGACCTTTCACCTTTAAATCAAATAATTGCATATGCTTTCCTAAACATCTACAATGTCTATAAAACTAGATCGCACCGACTAAAGAGCAGATTTCATGAGGAAGTCTGATATGTCTCAGCCGTAGTGTCATGTCAAATTTAAGACTTCTTACATGCAGATTTTTGCAATAAATGGATAAAATATTTTTTAAGACTTGAGGGTCAAACTCTGCCAACAAATGAAAGGAAAGGACCGTCTGTTTGATCGAGGAAGGAGAGGCATCCTCTCTGTGAATCTCTGGACAGTAGTGGACTCTGAAATTATATATAATATTTTCAAGTTAAAGTGTCCCTTACAGTATAATCTTGATATCACTGCCTGTGTTTAAATCTGAAAACAACAAAATAAAAAGTGGAAAAACTATTTCATGTTTAAAGACATTTTATGACTTTATGAGTTTTTTTTCACTTTTTTCAGACTTTTGCAGGGTCATACTTTGCAACAAACGAGTTTCCAGAGCCATTATTTGGTTTTCCTCTAAACGTTTAGGTTGTACATGAAAATTCAGGGCTGAGCATAAATAATTCACCGATGTTTTTCTGTCGAGCAGGGATAGAGGCTTAAATGCAAACCATCTGCAGAATTAATACACAACTTTTTAACCCTCTCTTGTCCAAGAAGGCCAAAAAAAATGAAGATAGGACTGGTTTATTTCAGTGTTTGATCGTCCAGTCTCAAAAATATACCTGCAGCAAAAGGTTCCATGAAGAAAAGACACATCTTATTTCTTAAATCTGCTCTGTAGATCACAGTTATTATTCGGCTTTTTGTATTTTATTCTTGTGCATTTATTTTGTTTAATGTCAGAGTCAAAAAGAGGCACTTGTACCTTAAAATGAGAGGCTAACATGTATCTGGTATCGAGTGTTGATTTAAGAGGCCTCAGATCCCGCGGTTCGATCATTCATTTGTTAAATTAGCTGATTTAAAAGCGCGGTCTTCGGACGCTCTGCCATCACTGATCCTCGCAGCGGCGTCCTCCTCTGACTCTGCTGTGCTGCAGCGCCCGTCCATCCGGTTGAGACTAAATAAATTAACACTCTTAAAGGCGTTAATGTCGTAACGCAGTTAAGTCACCGAGTGACAAATGTCAACACATCTGCGATCAAGATTAGCCACAAACAACATCATCCCTGCACGGGCTAGCACGGTGCATCTAATTAGCTCGGAGTTATTTAGGGGTTTGGATTAGCTTTCTCGCTCTGATGCTTCATGCAGCCATTTTATTCCAGGATACGTTCAAGTCCCACTGCAGACTCAGAGACATTATTTCATCTTATTTTTGGCATAAATCGCAAAGATTGGTGTGCAGAAGCTGAACACACAGTTTCCTCGTCTTTGTCGAGAAAATACAGAGAAGATTTTGCACTTTCCAGCTTCTTTAACGTGAAGATCTGATGCCTCGTGAGGTGAACGTCTCTTAATTTTGGAGTTCTGCAAGGAGGAACAGCTCATGTAAAAACTTTTACCAGGGCTGTGACTGTGGCTCTAAACAACGAGAGCTCACAAGAATTTACTTCCAGGGGTAAAATCTCAAAAACCTTGAAAGCTGATTTCAGGGTAAAACTGCAGGGAGCAATTATTTTACAACAAAACGATTCCTCGAGTTCAACGACAGTATGAGCAACATTTTAATACGTCTTTTCAGGCTAACTAAGGACTCAAATGTCCAAAAAAAAAAACCCTCCAGATCTCCAGTCTGCAGCGCTTTTAGTTTCAACTCTCTGTCCGTTTGTCTGTCTGTCTGCGTCTGTGCGTCAGGCTCTCCCTGCAGTCTGGCCCAGATCCTGCTGCTCAAATTGGATTTGAAGCCATTAGTGTCCCAACTCGAAGCATATGTTCCAAGTTGCTGAGCATTTCATTTCAGGAGACGAAGAAGAAGAGGGAGAGAAGGAACGAAAGAGAGAAAGAGAGAGAGAGAAAAAACACAGACGGCACAGAAAAATAAACCAGACACAAACATGGCTGGAGTGAGTCTGTCGCTCGCTCACAGACAAACAGACGGAGAGAGGGAGAGAGAGAGAGAGAGAGAGAGGAGACGTCCCATGCTCTGGAGAAAACACACTTTGACTTCAGGGTCACGTTCCTGAGCATTAGCCTGTAACTGCCACTGTGTGTGTGTGTGTGTCTGTCAGTCTGAGTGTGTACACGCTTCACACACATGTTTTCATACGTGATTCAGAGAGCGATACCTTCCACGCCACACAAAAGGCGCTGCTGTACTCCATCACAGAAATCTAAATATTCTGTCTGAAGGTGGGGGTAGTGGTGGGGGGGTCGGACATTAGAGCAGGGATTATATTTCAAAAGCCAGACGAGCCCTTCGTGTTTCTCCTCCTTGTTCTGCTCTCAGAGAAGCAACAACGTTATTTATGTCAAAATATTGCGTGGATGCAGCGAGAGAGAGAGAGAAACCCCAAAGCGAGTGGGATCGTTATCTCTCGAATCTAAACAAGCCTTTACTTTCCCAGAACAGAGCTGGTATTCTATAAGCACTTAAACATAGCGGCGGACGGGGGGGATGGGCTTATAAGAGCGTGTGTGTGTGATCCCGGGGTTCCCAGTCTGAGTTTAAGAATGGCAGAGTAAAACACTGCAGGCTCTGTGGAAGCCAGGAAACAGCCTAATGTATTTATCCAAACACATATCTGCTGAGAGGCCCCACAGCTTCGACACATCCCCGTCCTGCAGGGGCTTCACCTCCACAAACAACCACGGAGAAACCAGCAGGTCAGACTGAGCCAGATTTCAGATTTCACTCATATTAACACAGTGATTATTTACTCTCCGCTACCATTTGATTTCAGCTAAATCTCGTCAATTACAACCTTTGTAACGGATCGACCTCATAAACAGCTTTTCTGTTTTACAAGGAAAAAACATCCTCCGCAGTCTGTTCCTGTTTGGCATTAGCTGAAATAAAAAGTAAACTGCCTCCAGATGGGTGACGAATACTGATTTTTAAGATTCTCTCTTTAAAATTGAGCAGAGCGATTAAATCCCCTCTCTCGGTTTATAACAAGTTTGTAGATTTTCTTCTGGTTAAGTGTGGCGCATAACTGCTGAAATGAACAACAGGTGACTAAAACAAAGACCAAACCACACAAGAGCGTGAGATGATAGTAAAGCTGAGCGTAGGGATGGGCGATATGGACTAAAATATTTATCAAGATAAGATTAACCATTCTGGTGATGATGATAAAAGTCTCGATAAAAAATATTATAACTCCAATCTATATTTTTGACTCATTTTGTCTTGAGAACACCAGTTGGAGTCGTCAAATAAGATACTTAACCACAAGTTTGAGTGGTAGGTTATGGAGAAAACTAGTGACGTCATTGCACTGAGTGGATCCTCATTCAGTAACGAGCTGCTCAGAAACTTCTTCTTCATTACCTTTGGCCATGTTTGTTTGTTACTCTGCGCTGTGTGGGATATGGCTGCGAGTCCGTTGCTCACACTTACGTCATGAACTTGCATTTATCGTATTTATCATGAGGTGGTAAATATTTACCATAGAGGATTTTTCTGAAAACTTATCATGAAGGATAATTTATCGCCCATCCCTAGCTGAGAGTGGGCGTTGAAATTGAGCAGAAGAACGACCTTTTACACCTGATTTTTAGTTGTTAACATCGGGCTGCACAGTATGCGGAAAAACTGCCTTTTATTTTGAGAATATAAAGAAGTAAATGAGAGGATTGTATAGTTGTACATAGCCTTTTATACTTTATATATTTCTTGCATGCTCTTATTAGTTTTTATTCTAGTATTTTATATTACTCTCTGTTTATTGTTGCACCATCATGCCGAAAAAGAATTCCTAGTCTGTGAATCCTGTTCATTGACAATGGCAATAAAACCCCTTCTGAGTTCTGGGATAAGACAAACATTTCACGCTCATTGAGTAATTTTTTGCAGTAAGACACAGAGCTAACGTACTCATCTCCAAAAGGTGACATAAAGTGCACGCTGCGCCTCATGAGAAGCTTTTTTTTTTGCACTCAGTCAGTATCAGTTAAACCGCAGAGAGAGCTCATTCAGCCACTAAATCAGAGTGAAAGAGAGGCCGGTCCGCTCAGGCCTTGATCCAACTGTTATCACATTAGAGCGAGAAAGCCCTGATTGATCATTTAGGTTTTGAAATACATTCTGACTTTTGTTCTGCGTTAATTGAAAATACTCGTGCTGCATCACGCGGCGGCCCTCGAGGCGGCCTCTTCAAACGTGAGTCAAGCTTCCGTTTTGGTCAAATTCTCTGCTGTCTGGCATGTGTCCACCTTGATTCATGCTGAAGCATCTGCCCTGTTTTATTGCCTCCCTTTTCCAACTAATAAAACGAACTGACGTAACACAAACTGCGAGGTGACCTCGTCTGCTGTTTCCACCACCGCTTGTTTTGTGCTGGCAGCTCGGCTCACAGCTGAGGAATCCCAAAACAAAAACTGTGACACAATAATGAGAACGCTGCCAACACACAGAGAGAGAGGTAAGAGTCCAATCTAGCTGTTCACACAAATCCATTATTTGGCTGTCTCCCCCCAAATAATCCGGCCTCTATGAATATGATTATGCAGACAGAATTGTGGGTGTGTGTTTGTTTTTTGTCTGAAAACAAAACGAAGAATTTTCTCCTCACAGTGAAGAGGAGGGACGCTAACAGGTTGACTTTTGCTTTCTGCACAACCCACTTTCTCCAGCTCGGATTCATCAGAAATTGGTGCCGAAAAAAAAGAGAAAAAGGATCATTTAAGATGTTTGCAAACCTGCAGAATCTCAGCGTCTCGCTTGTCATGTTGCATCACACTGTCGCATGAATATAACTTGAAAACTCTGACGGCATTAAAGACCTTATGAACTGCTCAGTCTCAGCTTTCTCACGTTAACGTGTGAAAACAAGGAGCAGTATGAAGTTCAGTGTAACAGCTGACACACACACACTCCCTTGTTAAAGTCTCCTCTTCTCTGCAGCTTTAAAACACTGAAGTTTGTAAAAAGCAGCAGATTTATTTCAGCTTCTCCACTAAAAAAAACAAACATCTGCACGTCTAAGACCGGCCAAATCAAACTGTGAGTTTCCCCAGAAAAATGTACAAATTTATTTAGATTCATCCTGCAGATGATTCAGTTTCTATTCATGGGATTATGTTTATTTATCTGGGGAATAAAAAGGGTGAAAAAGTTCTTTCATAATATTTGCAAACCTGCATCTTTCTCCTGCATGTAGAGTCACATTTCAATGCATTTAACATTATCTAAAGACAAAAGAATTAAACGACTGTGAGTGCAAAGTGTAAGGGTGGGCTCTACTATCTTGCATTAATGCCTTGATGGTTAGAGATCACAAAACATTCTTCTAAAGCATAAAATAAACAACATTTTTCTTAATTTGTCAAAGTAATCCATCTGCTTTTGCTGCAAATCAAATACAGTAAATATATGAGTAGAACTGATCAAGGATAAAGCCATTTTTCATTGACTTTTCTGCAACTACAAATCAAAAAACAGCCAAATCAAACCAAAGCAGTCCAAGAAAAAGAAAAAAAAAACAGTTTTGCATGAATCTCCTGTTTCCTTTTGTATTTCTGTTTTATCTGAAACCTTTTAGCAATAAGAATAAAAGGAGTGTCAGCTGTTCACGTCTGCATCATTCTGCATGTTGAGTACCTGTGCATTGTTGTAATAAAGCTTTAAAACTGTCTAGTGCAAAAGAACACGACTGCACTTCTTTGCATAAATACACGGTGTTAGGATACACTCTTACTTTGTCACCTTTTTGCCTGGCTGCTCGGTGTGTGACAAGAAGTAAGTTAGAAAGTGTAAAAATTCACACCGACTTCTCTGCTTTTAAATTATTTTAGGAAAACGATCCTTCTGCTCCTGTTTCGTGAAACTTTAAAGTGAATAATAATTAAACAAGAAACTGGAAACGGCTGAAGGGATTTGTGTCAGTCTCTGTGTAAAAAAGCCAAATGAAACCAAAAGTACTCGATAAAAAACAGAGAATGTATAAGAATGTAAAGTGAGACACCTCTCCAAATAAGTCTGTTTGTGATAATGGGACGATGCAGAAAGAAATGGGAGTTTTAGAGCTGAATTTAGAGCTGTGGCTCGAATTTATCTCAAACCTTTAAGGGAACATCAGCCGCACAAATCTGCATCATCATGCAATAATGCAATGCTGTATAATCAAAGCTTTATCAAAGACTGCTTTTACACTTTGGAGTTTGGATGTCTGACGCCACTGCCTCCTATTTAAAAACTTCTGCGAGATACTCTTTCTGCTTTTGCTTTTTGCGACTTCTAAAAAAAGTAAATAAAATGAAAAAGGCAGTTGAAGTTGTGTCCAATTAAAACCATCAAAACCACTGTCCATTTAAAAAAAAAAAAGCCGAAATTAACGAACAAAAGTCGAGTTCAGTCAAAAGAAGGTGAAACACAACAGTGTGACCCGCAAGTCAACCACAGCCACAACAACCAGCCCTCTGTTGCTCCTCTTCAGCGACATCCTGCAGGTTATCTTTTTACACAACGCTCTCAGTGATTCAAAAATACCTCGAGCACACTGTTCATATAACCGCATCCAATAATCATTCACAACCTCTTTCATAAAAGCTAAAAAAGCTGCTGGAGACAAAGCATGCAAACACTCAGCTGTGTGTTAAACTCTGTCCACAGATAAAACACACACACACACAAACACACACACACACAGCACGCTCTGATGAGTGTGTGTGTGTGGTGAGGACTGACGGGTCACAGCGCCCTGACCCACTAATGAGAGGCAGAGAGTAACTACATCAGACAAGAGCTACGCTAAGTAACTGGTCTGATAAATAAATGACGAGAGAGCCCTAATGCGAACAAAGTGTGCATGCACCGCGATGGCAACATGGCACAAAAGATAACAGTCTCACAGAGCGAGCTCAGCGAAAAGGGACATACGTCAGTGGTGGTGGTGGTGGAGGGGGGGAGAAAACTCCTGAGTCAGAAAAGCTTTTACTCCAAACACAGGGAGCGTTCACTTCGTCTGCAGGGCTCCAGATTTGAGAAAGTCACCTGCTGCAATCACGACAAATTCAATCCCCAAGTTTTTTGGCTCATCTCACAATTTGTCCCAACCTGGCCACCGTACTCCCTCTGAGCTCGAGCCAATTAAATCAAAGAATAAACAAAGACTCTGTATCAAACAAAGCTCCCGATTGGCCTCCTGAAACAAACTCAAGCTGTGGACTTTTCAGCTTTTTCTTCAACAAACATTTTTAATTATTTCCTCTAAAATCGTAAAAACTTGTTTAAAGCATCACACAAAGCCAGCCCGACATCACTAAAGCATCAAATTTAAAATTAAATGGTCAAAAAATGAAAAACTTCGAACAAAAATGACCAAATCTGGTGTGTGATTGAAGCTGCATGTCTTGGATTTTATCTGTTTTCTGCCTAAAATCAGTTAAGACGACATAGCAGCGAAAAAAATGCGCCTCTCTCTATTCATATTTGTTTATTTCAGCAGCTGAAGTGTGAGTCTGGTACTTACATGTGGACGTGTGGAGGTTGGAAGCGGCTCTGGTTGATGTTGTAGTGTGTGAAGGCCTGCGTGGGGTTGGAGCTGTACTCGTCCACCGTGATGGTCGTTTTGCCATGAGCCATCCTTCCACCGTTTGGACATGAGACGCCGTTCGTTCACCGGGATTCAGCAGCGAGCCGTGCAGCGGTCATCCTTCAGAGCCGCTTTAAGAAGCCCAGGAAGTCTCTCCCAGCAGCAGCAGCAGCAGCAGCAGCAGCAGCGGTGGGAGCAGGAGGAGCAGCGACCCAGCCGACCGACTCGACCCTGACACGCTGCAGTCTGCACCGACAGGAACAAAAAAAAACACACCAGCTGAAGAAAAAACTGCAAATGAATGCATGCATGTTTCTACTCTGAAGGATAAAACACACACAGGCAAAAACAGGTGGCTTTAAGAGTTCAAACACCCCTCCTTTTAGACACTACAACAGTCAAAATGCTCACACATGTTCAATACTGTAACTACATTTTCCCTTTGGTTTCCAACAGCACAAATTGCATCGATAAATCCCCTAAACAGGTCTTAAAAATTCCTAATTAGACAAACACTTGAAGATAATGAGCAAAATAACTTGTCCCTTTCAAACAACATGGCGTTTTGTGCAGTCTTTCCCCTCAAAAAAAAAAAAAAAACTAAACTAAACGCTGGACTATCGAGGCAACAATTTACAATCTGGAAGGCTCAATTTTAATTGCTACTCTGCTCATCGTGACCCAGTTAATTATAATTCACACTCGTACATTCAGATGTAAAAACTGCTGCAGGCACAGCCTCAAAGGCATGAATGAGCCTGTTAAAATTAAAGCAAAATTTAAAAAGCTGTAGGTGTAATCTCAGCTGAAACTCCACAAAACAGGACGAGTCAAACAAATAATCAAAAATATTATTTTGTAGTTCCAGGCCTGAACAGACAAATTAGGGGGGAAAATCGCACACCTTCCGCTCCTCGTATCCTGCAGCCAAATTCTAGCACAACAAGTGAGTGAGCGAGGTTCCTGCACCTCCAGAGTCACTCACCAGGCTCGAGCTTCCCTCCTCTCTGACCTCCCTGACTGACAGTACAGTGGCCACTGACAAGCTTTTATACCAGACCTTCCCGATGCAGACACGAGCACCAGAAGAAGAAGAAGAAAAGGGTAAAAAAAAAAAAAAAAAAAGCCCTCAATTTTACAAGCCTGTCATCTTTTTTTTATGTAGGGTAATCATCTGCAGCTCCAGAGTTCACTTGATGGTTAAGTCCTGTGATGCAGCGAGGAGAAGGAGGAGAAGGAGGAGAAGTAGGAGGAGGAGGAGGAGTTGAATATCTTTGACCAAACAACCTTAAATTTAAAGCATTGATTCGTGTTTACCGGGTCAGCCCCTTTTATTCGCAGTGAATTTAAGTCTACAAAAATCAAAATGATAAAGCTGTTAAATTTGAGTCATTTCTTTCTGCAGAGGAGTTTATTGAATTTCCAGGGCCTTTTAAAATAAAATAATTCCCTTTTAATTAAAAGCCTCCCTGCTTTGCACACACTTCACCTCTGCTATCATCCCCCTGAGGTAAAATCTTTCATCTCAAGTACTACTTCTCCTGCTGCTTCCCTCCGAAAATCTCTACAAATGTAGGCCGAGAAACTGTGGACTTGTGTGCAGCATGCTTCTCGGTCTCCTCGCCGTGTGCAGTATAAGTGTGTGTTAAGTGTGTGTGTGGGGTTGTCTGTGTCTACCTTGTGGCTACAGTAGCAGCGACTAGCTCTGTAGCTTAGCCTGCTAAACCTGCCCTGGCAGAGGATTTTTTATTATTATGCTGCTGCTGCTGCACTGAGCTGCTTTTCTATCACGGCTGTGCACACATAAGCACATTTGTAAGTGCCGTGCTCGAGCCCGGATGCACACCGTATAGCTAACTTCACGAGGGGGGGAAATCACTCCGGTAAGCAAAAAAGGGGCGAATATATTGACCCTTTCTGATACCATGCATGTACACGATGAGGAGCTGTGTTATAACGCTGCCGCCGGTGGAAATGTACATACAAAAAGAGAGAGAAAGGTCCGTGCGATCCTGAACTCTGCTCCCGGAATAATAAAAAACAGCCAAAGGTGGTGAGTGTCAACACCGCCGCGCTAACCTCTCGCTCGTCCCCGTAAATGACAAGCCACCTTTCAACCGTCGGCTTTGTGTCAGGAATTTCTCCTCTTTCCCCTCTCTCCCCTCCCTCCCTCTCCGGTTCTCAAAGCAAAGCTAAAAAAAAAGGTTGCTCTACCTTCGTCGTGTGAGGCTTTTTTGTGCGTTTTTTTTTTAAATCCTGGCCGGAGGAAGAGTGGTCGGGTCAGGGTCGCCCTCTACGCGGCGGCGGCGGCGGCAGAAGCAGCGGCGGCGGCGGCGGCGAAGAGACGCGGGTCCATGCGGCAGCAACAGGGGAGCAAGGCGGGCAAGGTTTGAACGCGGCCGTCCGGGAGGTTGCGGCAGTCTGGGGCGGATAGGGCAGAACCTTCGACCCGGCGGGACCTCTCGGCTGGCTCCTGTGGAAAGAAACCAGACAAGAGAGCGAAGAGGGGGAGAGAGAGAGAGCTGGAGAGGAGGGCGAGAGACACTGACAGACAACAGGCAGGGAGAGAGAGCAGCCTCGGTGTGACGGAGGGGGAGCCGGAGTGCAGTGAGTCGGAGCTGCCACTGGGGTCAGAGAGCAGAGAGAGCAGGAGCGAGCACAACCCCCCGCCACCTCCCGTGTGCGCGCCCTCACCGGCGGGCACACGCACGGTGAGGCGCGAGAGGGAGGAGGAGGACGACGGGGAGGAGGTAGGCGCTCGCGCAGTCCTGCTCTACCCCCGTGATGCGTTCACTTGCTGTCGGAAACGGTGGATCCCTGTCAAATATAACACTTTATGGTCGGTTTAGTGGGAACTTAAAGCAAAAATGATTAGATTCATCTATTTTTTCTTTAACTTATTTACTTTTTGGGGTCAAACTACTAACACCTGTTTGCATTTGATAAAAAAAATCACACACCTCATAAATAAAATACGTTTTTCAAGTTCAGACGCAAAATACTTTAAAGAGATATTCTGGCGTAAAAATTAAATTAGGGTCAAACACACCGTAACACCGAGTTAGATTCCCCATTGAGAGATTAATATTGCCAACTGCCTGCTTCTCTAGTTTAACAAACTTTGGTAACGACCTCAGATAGCAATACAGAGAACCATGCGCTCAACCAAAACGCCACTCTATAGCCACAAATAATGTTCAGAACAGCACCTAACTTCATCAACAGTACATATAGGGTCCCAAAGTTAAAAAGATGTTTGGTGGCTGGTGCTATGGCTGGGACCCTATATGTACTGTTGATGAAGTTAGGTGCTGTTCTGAGCATTATTTGTGACTATAGAGTGGCGGTTTGGTTGAGGCTTGTTTATGGCTCCTCAGACCGCTGTGTATTGCTACTGTGCGGTCATTACTAAAGTTGGTATAACTAGAGAAGCAAGCGGCCTGCAACATTTATCTCTCGAGGGGGTGTCTAACTTGGTGTTACAGTGTGTTTGACCATAAGTTAATTTTACGCTTGAATATCCCTTTAAATTGAAATCAATAGCTTACAGAGTTAAATGGCAATGTCAAATCAGTTTATTCATTTCTATGACTTTTAACCCTTGATTTCCTGAGATAGATGTTTGAAAAAATTAAGTGAAGTTGCCACACATTCTTTGATTTTCAATAACACAAAAGTGCCATTTAATTATAGAATATGCTCACTTTGATAAAGACTTGAAATTGCCAATTTAGTTAAAGCTAATACACCATCCAATCAATTTAAGGTGACTTGCAAGTGACAATAGTTTTGGTGACCTCATGTCTTAAGAACTACAGCCAGTGAGGAAGTGCTAAAAAGTGCAGTTCCTCTGGTGTCCACTAGAAGCTAGCTCCAAAAGTCAAGAAGCTAAACACACACTCATTCTGAAAAGCCCATTTTAATATGAAAATAAACATAATTACAGAAAATGAATAAAGTAAAGGCATTTGGTGGCCAAGACTTGTCTTTGAGAAACTATAAACTGCAGAAGAGTTCAGTTGTTTTTCTTTTTTATAACTTCACAAGGGTGAGTAGGTCAGAAACAATATTGTTTCTCAATCCACAGGACAAGGAACAGTGTTTCTAATTATGGGTCACTTGGATCAGTGGTTCTCAAATGCGCTTTGCTGAGATGCCTTCCAAGAGAATAAAATGATTTAATTCAGGTTGCAGTTTTTATTCAATGTGTTGAAAATATTTACAAAACTAGAAAATGTATCTTTAGATAAATGAAAATAAATATTGGGGTATACTTTTTTGTTGCCACGTGACCGATGACAAGATCAGAGCAGATTAATGACAGCAACAGGTGCACATCAGCGAGTATTTTGCAGACCAACAAAATGAAGCACCCTTGGCTTTGCATGGGCATGAAACTCAAAGACACACACAGGCTCACCTGTGGGTTTGATTATTAATATTGTATGATAGTAACTATCAAATATAGTCAGTCTTTTTTTGTTGTTGTTTTTGCTTTATTGTCCATTTTAGTGTGCAACTGTGGGCAATATTTTACCACCTTAAGGGCCAACACAGTAGGGCTCACCTGTCCCTGGAACTGTCATTTTGGGATTGTAGGTTAACTCAGTTGACTAGTAGACTAGAAAAAAACAATTTTCGATGTTTGTTTACCTGTTTATTCACATCTTTATTTTCCATTGTGATATGTCTTGTACTCTAAGTTCAGTATTTGGTTGTTCAGTCAAAATAAAATCATGCATAGCATTTTTAATTGTGGACGTGAGAGTTGGCTGTTGAGTTTAAAATCATAAATGATATTTCTGATGGAGCATAAACACAGATCAGAGGTCCACAACCTTGCAAACACTAGACTCCATCTTAATGACTAAAAACTAATTGAAATAGAATTTAAAAATAATGAATTGCATTTTAAACAAATGAGTTAGAACTTATTGACCCTATATAATAACTGGGTTATATCTCTATGTGTGTTTTTCAGCTCTAAAGAAAGCTCTTACTGTTGTAGCTTTACTTCAGGCACTGAGGCTTTGTCGGGGCCGTCATTAACAAGAAGGTTATTGATTCTTTTCTGTGATATTTAATGCAGACTTCGATATGGTTTGTGGCTGCACCTTGAACTCAGCACACACCGCCTCATTTGCAAACCATCACATCTGCTGAGACCAATCGATTACCTTGGTGATGATGGACAGTAACAGTGAAATGCAGGAACAATGGATGCATTATTAAATTAAACGACACAGATTTGAGATTACAGTTTGTATGAGCATCGACTAATAAGCCTCTTTCCATACTGGAGCAGTGTTTATTAATTTCCTGCAAACACTGACCTGAAATATTCCTCTATGAGATCACAGATGTGTGTGAAAGCCGTGCCAGACTCTAGAAGGTGTTGTAAAAAATCCATGATTAGAAGACAACATGGCTCCTTTGGGTTCAAACGTAAACAATACTAATGAGTACCTGTGGGAGTCCTTCACACAACCTGAAATGGGGCAGCACAGTTTCCAAACTGAGGAAACTCTGCAACTTTGAGGACTCGGTGCGGAAACAGCTTCCTCATCATCAAGGTTTCGATCCTTTATTAAAGTCACTATATCATATATTAAGCTCAGGAGAGAGGGTGGTATTGATAGTGCTGCAAATATGTGGAAAACTTTGCTGAACAAACCTTTTTCATCAATTACATTGCTGAGTTTTTTCTTCATACTTCGTTTTGTAGTTTGGTGGATTCCTGTTGATATGAGTTCCCATTTTTGCAACAGCTGTCAAGCACCAGGTATTTTGCACCAGGGTTGTGTCCAGACTTTTTTTGTTAAATGAGGTGGTCCAGTTGGGGCATTAACTCATGCAACATAATCAACTCTTGTAGGAATCAACATTGTTTCTTTTCCCTTTCTATCTCAAGTAATCACATCCACCCTAAAGCTCCTGAAGAACTTCTGGTGTTTCTCAACTTTGGCGCCTCCTGTGGACAAAGAAGTCTTTGCTTATCTTGTTCTCTACATAATGAAAAAGGGGAACTTCAGTATTTTTCAACCTGGGTTCTATTTTCCCATGTGTTTGTGTGCCTGACTGATGGGGAGAACAGTTTCTCAAATTGATTCAGTATTGAGGTAGAAAGAAGCAGCTGGCAGCCATAAACACAAGATAAAACTAAAAGTGCTTTATTTCACCTCTGACATAGTTTCCCTTGAGCTGCTCTGTGTACAACCAAATTTCGTCGCTGGAAAAGTGTCGTTCTGACATCATGCGAGATCTCACTTCTTGCAGGAAGACATCGAAGGACAAATCAGTGAGTGACATCAGTAGAGTTAAGGCTCATTTATGCTCAACGTTACATATGGATCCAGATACGGATGGAGCTCTCCGTCCGTGCTTTGCGTTCTTTTCATCCGTATTTCTGTACGTATCCTTGAAGTTTACGGATACGGGCCAGACGGAGCAATACCACTGGAAACTGTTGGGGCAGTGTTGCTGCTGGAGAGAAACGATGAAGACAATAGCGGCGGACATCCTGAAGTACTGAAAATGGTGATCGATTTCTTCACTGATACAACTAGAGAAAAGAATTCTCCGTCCTCCAACTGCAAGGCCATGTTTCTTTTTTTTTGTTGTTGTCACAAACTTTTGACTCCGGCCTGCCCCCTGGTGGATGTAATGGTTAACATCCATGCCAACGTAAAGGACCCACAGAAAATTTTGCGGGCAGTGACGGAACTATTGTTTGAAACGGACGCGTACATTTTCATACGCATGGCGAGCAGGAATGGGCCTTGAGAGAACACCAGGACTGGACTATTTATATGAGTCAGAAGAGCTCCTACAAGCTGATGAGCAAACGACGAGAGAGAGGGTCAACAGGCAGAGAGGAGGGCGAACCAGCTTCTGCAAGACCACGAAGCTTAGGAGACCAGTGGTGTTCCTGCTCCCTCTTTATGATATTAATGACTGAACCACGGTAGCTGTACGTCATTTTCCAGTCCAACAGAATAGGTCCATCTATTAGTCCTTCAATAGTTCATGATGCATCATATCTGGAGCAGATCCACAGCTGTACTCCACGTGTGTATCACATATGCAGAGGAGAATAAAACGCAGCTTTGAACTGCAGTGTGGACACCGCTGTTCATGATGACGGAGCTAAAATTAACTTTTCATGAGCTGATATTGATGCTTCATGGTTTATAACAGTACAGTTGTCATACACGGTGTGCAGCTCCATTTTCCTACAACTGCTAAGAGCTTAATCTTGGGAAAATTATGTTGAGTATGAGCTTCAGTCTCATTGATTGTCTTCCGGGTTTATGCTGCGTTAGCGTCTTCAGTGCAACGATTTCTGAAAGTTGTGTGCAAAGCTTTAACTGCTGCTGTCTTTGTGATAGATGAAACCCAATAACAGCAAGACGCAGACAACTCTGGGGTCAAAGAGGAGGCTAAAAGTGGTCTATATCACCTCAAAGGATGTCTCTCGTACATTTAACAGCTTTATTTGAGAGTCAAGTGCTGGAAAGTCAGAGTGCAAAGGAAACTCTCATCTCTGCTTTTGAATAAATAAGAGAGGTTTGACAACTCTCTGGATGAAACAATCAGCATTGAAATATGGATCAAGCTGAAACAGGACATTGAAATTCTGGATAATGGCTCAAATGCTGCTTCTTTCTCCCTTTGCAAAGTGACCACTGCACAAGTTTGATATTGGACTCTGACACAGATAACAGTTTCTTAGGAGAAACCTGCTCCAAATGCTCAAAGAGTGCAAACTCACAACTGTCAGATAAAGCGCCCTACAGGCCCGTAGCGCTCTGGTTAAAAATCCTGATTTGCAGCATTTACTGTCGGCGCGTGTTTTATGATCTTGTGTTTTTTTTTTTGCTTTGCATCGTCTGTGTATTTTCAGAGCAGCTGTTTCAGCTTTTTGCTTTAGCACTTTTCTGCTGTTGTTTTTGTTTTGGACTTTGCATGTGGTTTTGACTTTGCATAATCTGAGTGTTTGTATCTCTTTCAGTGCGTTGCGGATCACCAGTCCTTGTCAACAACTGTAGAAAACACTGTAAACTTGCTCACTCTGATATGAAAATGTACCTGGTTCAGTAGTTTACAACTATACATCCACAATAGTTCACTGTAACATGATTTTTTTTTTTTAAATTTTCAAGTTTGTTTTTTGGGTAGGGGGGTGGGTGCGATGACAGCCTCTGTACGCGGAGCATTTGCTTCAACCACCAGGCCAGTGACACCTTAGTCATGTGAAAGTCCTGAGTGCTGCATCAGACCTTTGCTGATCAAATTGGAAAACAACATCAGATATTTGGAGTGAAACAATAAAGTAAAGATGAGAATATTTAACAACACTCCCTTGCTTACCCCTCCTTTCAGTAAAAGGACGGTGGCTTTTAAGGACAAGAAACAGAAAAATGTGTAGGCCTAGGTTATTTAAAGCTCCTGTGAGGGACTCTTTGGACAAAGCTGTACCTCTCCTATCTTTGCAGAACTCACTCTGTACGTGTTGATGGCTCTTAAGATGCATTTCTGTTCATTTCAGACCGTTTAAAAAAATCATCACAGGAGCTTTAAACATGATTATGAACATTTTTCTCCATTTCCGCCTGTTCTGTTGTGCTAAAACTACATACTGCACCTTTAAAAGTGTTTTTTTACTGGTCGTTCTTGTACCACATGAGCAGAGTAGATGTTATTCACATTTTATTATATAGCTGATATTTTCAAATAATGTTCCCTCTCTTATCTGTGTAATATTTCTTAATATCACTGGTTTGGAAAACACAATTCTATTACAATAAACATTTTTCCCTGTTTGAGGTTTGTCTGTGGAGCACAGATGAAGATAATATTGAACTGCTGCCCATCACTGAGTTCAGCACTGATTCAAATCAGTCGGGGAAAAAGAGCGAAAGAAAGAATTAATTTGTCAGTGCCAGGGCTATACCTTTTAATACACTGATGGGATTTTTGATGAGAAAAGGCTGCGTGGGACGGTCTATAATGGACTCATCTGAGGGGCTCTGCCACATTTACATGTCTGCCAGTGGAGGCAGAGCTGCCGCTTTCTAATTTTACTGACATGCTTCAATTTCCCGACCCATCAGCCCGCTCCCCGCCGCCACAACAGCCCTGCGAGTCATTTCCATTTGACTTTTCTCTTATCTGCGCAAAAAAAAGCATTTCCATCTACTAGCCAGCGGGTGTTAATGTGAAAGCAGGGGTTTGAATTTTATGTGGAGAGGCCACATTTAAACATTTGACCGGCGTTTGTTCTCCGCGCTGCATATAGAAAACTGATGATAGATAGGGGACCAAATGTCACAGAAGAAATGGCTTTTGCCATGAATGTTTTATTCAGCTCTGTGTCGCTGCGATCACATTTATACAATAGAAAATGTAAATGTTATGCAGAGGGTTAAAAACACTATATATTTTATGACCTTCTATAAAAGAGGGTAAAATGACTTTCCATCCAAATAAGGCAGAAATGAAACACATATTTAATGGGAGTGGGAAATAAGAGTTTCAGGAGGCCGAGGGTGATATTCACTTAACCCGCCGGCCCAGGCAGTTCAGCGGCTCTAACCTGCTCAGATTTATGCCTGTCTGTGGCCCAGCCTGTCTATTCTGGATAAATAAAATGGAGGCCTGCCTTCCTGTCTGTCTGAGAGGCCCATCCACAGACAGGCAGGAGGGGTTTTTAAATGTTAATGTCATTCAGATTTATGGGAGGCAGATACATGGTTGCTGAGGGTATGGTGGGCTAGATACTGTTTATGTCATTGAAATGCACACAGACTGAAATGTTTACCCCCGAGCCTCTGCTGCTGCAGGATCGGAAAAAAAGAAAACACCCAACAATCTCAAGATTTTCCCACTTTTTTTCCTTTTTTTTACTCAATTTGGTAGTTCTCGGCTTGAAAACGAAGCGAGATACAAGTTAATTTTATTAGCACACAGAGTGCTTTTGTCCAGCCGAGCTTGAAGAGAAAGAGAGAGCAGGAGATGAGAGAGAGAGAGGGAGAGGGAGGGAGCACACACTGGCATGAAAGCCAAGTGTATTAATTCTCCTCCCATTCTCCTGCTGTGTTGTGATAGACTGAGTAATATGCAGGCTCACTTTCTATGCCAAAGGCTAGATGAAGGCTCACAGGAGAGGACGCTCTGAGTCAGTCTCTCTCTGCCTGGCTTCCTCTCCGCCTCTTTCTTTCCAGCTCTTTAAACTTCAGCAATGTTAAACTGTAAAAAATAAAACAATCACTTTATTTTCCCCCGAGATCCACATTTACCCGCAACCATTCAACTCCATCTGCCTGCTGTCCCCCCCTCTTGTCTGTGTGTGTGTGTGTGTGTCCGAGGGTCGATACAGTATAAATTAGGAGTACACTGAGCCACGCCGGTCTCCATGTGGAGTGACTGTGTATTAAATCACGTTAATTGATTATCTGGAGTTCAGGAGAGGACAACATGAGATTGCACTCGGCCCCCGGCTGCTCTGTTGAAGTGGCTCAGGTGACGACCTGAACACCTACACTCACAATTAACGCGCTGATGACTTTTTATCGCCGTGATGAGTTTGCAATAAAATCCTGTGTGCAAAACAGCTTCTCAAAACCTGGATGTGCAACTGTTGTCAGTTTTCCAACACGAGTTTCGGATATAAAAGTAAAGGGTAATTCTGTATATTTCGTGTGCCACTCACGACCTCTGCACTTCACTTTGAATGTAGGAGACTTGGGTAACATTTAGCCACATTAAGCAGAACAGACAGACTTTGAATTACCACTGCTCAGTGGTGCAAGCAAGAAGGTCTGCATGTTGCACTCGTGCGTGTGCAGGTGTGACTGTGTGCATGTCTCTATACGTCAGCTCTGTGATAGAGTAACCCTGGCTCTCGCCCAGTGACAGCTGGGATAGGCTCCAGGCCCCTCTGCAACTCCCACTGGGATAAGCCCTGAAGAAATGGATAGATGCTTAAATCACACGACGATCACCTGAGAATACAAACTGTTTAGTTTATTGCCCTTTAGCGACTGCAATATAACTCTACATTTTGTCATTTCTACATCCTGCATCTTCAACTGTGGAGTCAGTTTACATTCAAGGTTTGGATTTCTTTCTGTATTTGATCTCTACAGAGTCTAGCCAGTTTTATAACAGTTTTTCCTTCGTCAAAGCTCCTGTTTGAAAGGATTTGAACAAAACAGTACCTCTTATCTCTGTGCTGCTTTCTTAATAAGTATTTCACAACAAAAACTCTAACTGTCTCCACACACCAAGCACGAGTAAAATCATTCGTGCGACTCAATTGCATGTTAGGTCAATGCAAATATGCGATAAGACGCTCGTACTACTCTGGCGTCGCGAAGGACATGAATTGGGCGGGAGATGAAAATGTGTCGACTTGAGCGGATATTCGCGTTGCGATAACTAATCAGCACGAAGGTTGCTGGGTGATGTACGAAAACGGACGGTTGTTCACTGGTATCTAAAATGGAGGCCAAACTGATCATGTTGGTGTGTGGGTGACCGTCCTGGAGGCAAGTGAGTGAGGAGGTCGAATTACCTGGTAAATTGTAAGAAACGTTTGTCTACCACTTGATCCTGTCAGTTGAATTGGCAGGGGTTACCGTTGACGCATGACTGAAGCGAGTAGATGATTCTACTTGCACTCGGTGTGAGCCCCCCATTATCGTGTTGTCTTAAAATCACCAAACATAATACAATACAAGAACTTTATTGATCCCCAAAGGGATTTCTTTTTGTCTGAGTCTCATCTCATCGACTATTTATAGAAGAAATAAGAAGTCTAATGGCTGTGGGTACAAAAGTTTGTCTGACAAGAGAGGAGCCGTCTACTTTTTTTTTTTTTTTTTGGTCCATCAAGGTGTTATAAAGTAGATGATCTATATTTTTTGTGTGCATCTCTCCACCACATCCTCCAGTGAGTCCAACTTGATTCCAACCACAGAGCCAGCTTTTTTCACCAGTTTGTCGAGTCTGTTTTCTAGCAACGGTATCATGGAGAACGTCACACAGAACTTCAGCCGTTGCCTGGGGTGGGACATAAACAAGTGCTGTTATGATATAACCGCACACATAACATCTCCTTGACAGTTATGTGTGAAGAGTTACACCATCTCTGGTTAATGCGTCACCCACTGTAAATCTATGCCAAGGGGATTGTAAAAAAACAGGCTGCAAGATGCTACAATCTGCCTCATCTGACATCTACCTGACTACGGCATTTACAGACTTCAACATTTTTAGTTAATCTCATCTTTTTTGCTTTTGAGTCTAATGAAGAGGCATTAATATAAAAATCAGCAACCTTTAAAACTTAATAAAACCTCCACACTTGAATTTTAATGTAAAAGAATCCAGCTTATTTGAGCTCTTGTTCAGGTCAGGGTTTGGACAAGTTTTCCTTCAGTATTGAGAACAAAAGTTTACCCGGATAAACTGCTCAAACTGCTAATCAGAAAATGCCTCTTTTGTCATTGTGATTGTTTGAATACTTAATGCACGTACATGAGTTCGACTAAATGTTAAAAAGGCCTCTGAACGAGAGCTTTCAATAAATGCATGACCCTGTGTGTGTGCGGTTCAGTATCACACTTGTCTCACACTTGATAGTCTGACATGAGAAGAGAGGAAGAGGAAGGAGAAGAGGAGAGAATAACAAGGGGATAAAAGGATGTCAGCAGGTCAGCCGGTCGAGCGGCGAGGGATCAACTCCCAAACGCTGAGACTCACCCTGAAAACAGAGCGACAGAAAGAGGGCAGGGACGCCGGATGAAACACACAGAAACAGAGAGATGAGGCAAAATAACAGACCGAACAGAAAGACTAGATGGAAAAATTCACCCTGACACTTTGTTAAATCTGGTTTGTGCAGTTCTAAAGCTGGTGGCTTTGTCTCTTTTTCCATGTGTTGATATTTCCTCCAAACTCAGTGCAGCCTTGAGATCTTGTATCTGGAGCCTTTGAGTCTTATCAGAGCCGTGCTTTGTCTGGAATTAGTCCCATGGTTGCACAAGTACAACTGCGTGCATAAAAAAGCACACAACAGTTTGATCCATCAAGAGTAATAAAAATGATATTTCAGACACTACTGAATCACCATTAACAGATGTGCCTTCACATGGCTGCGTCTAACAAAGGAAAAGCTTTTAGATTCAGACCAGAAATCTGTGTTTTTAAGGATGTTGTTGGTGCCTTAGCGACAGACAAAGAGGTGACACTGAAATAAATTGCAGTTTAATAAATTTAGCACTCCGAATAGAAAATAAAGAGTGATTTAATCCACTACATCCCACCACATCATGTGTCACTGACTGACAAAGCCAACTCTGTCTCCTAAAAAATGATGTTTTCATGGAACTAATTTGCAACAACAAAATAATACACTCTGAATTAAACATAATGCTGCATGGATTAGGTTCTCTATTCAAATAATGAGAAAGAGTTGATAATTAAAATAGCTGGAAAGTGGCAAAAATTGTTGACCCTGAACAAACACATTAGTGAAATGTTCCCAGACAAAAGATTATTTTGTTATTTTCATTAAAAAAATGTAATCTTACAAGACGAAATCTTCTCTTTATGACAGCAGCATCATCAAACTTTCTTATGTTTCAGCGTCTCAACTTTCTGAAGTTGAGGGGAAGATTGTAGTTATGGTTAAATACACAAAAAAGAGGGTTTTTTTTCTATAAAACAGACCACGGAGTCCAACATAACTTTTCAAGCCACTGCCTGCGAACACTCATAAATGTTGCAGACTGAAGCCTCGTGTGAACTGCTGGTTTGTTCGGATTCCCAAAGATCCAGAGGTGATGTTGTTCACAAGTCTCACACTCAACATCAAGTACTTTTCTCTGTTCGAGGGCATTAGCTCACAGTTTGCACCCCTGCACCATCAGGTAACTTGGGATCTCTCCTGTTGTGCATCGAATCGCCCTTTATTCTCCTTAAACCCCCCCAGTCCATTAAGGTGTCCATGATAGAGCTCAGGGACTCTCAAAGTAGAGTGTGTATTAGTTAGCCTCGAACCTTGGAGAGCTACACCATCAGTGCCCTACAAGTCACAACTTTGAACACTGTTGCTATTCCTTACGCTTGAAGTTTCTTTGTGGCCTTCGGTAGCTCAAAAATTTGCTGGACACAGTCGAGGTAAACATGTTAAGGAAGCATGCTAACCACATCATGTGTCACTATCTGACAAACCCCCAATTTCCACTGCATCCAGAACGGCTGTGCTGCAGAACGACGGCATTTTTCGCCGTCCGCCAATTCCTACCGGATGCGTTTGTGAGGCAAATTTCTTTTTGGATTTCGGACAGTGGGAATCGCCAGAACTCAATGCAGTTGCATGATAACAAGTTCCTTTCCAGCATGGGCTAATCTGTGCTGAATTTATGCGGCACGCTGAGGCATCCAGAAAAAATAGAACCCTGGTGATCGGCGGCGGAGCCCGCTGAACCACAGCGAGACGAAGGGTAGCCGGTGGAAATTGACACATTAACTCCAATGGAAATGATCAGCTGTGAGCCGCGCAAACAGCCTTTCCGCCGCTGTTCCGAATGTGGTGGAAATTGGGGGTAATGGAAGCTTCACAGTTTTGTCACAGTGTCAACAAGCAGGAGTAAAAGATGCCGATGTGGTCTGGTTGTCTCTGTTGTTGCTTTTGTTATGCAGAAGTATTGATCATTGTCAGGGGGGTTTGACAAATCAGGATCAAGTAATCAACACAGCCAGCTGAAATGTAAGAAAACTGGGTAACAGATAATTTTAATAGATGCATTATTATAGAGTGATCTATCAAACCAAACCTTGTTGAACCAGGCTGTGAGCAGGTTTAATTCTGCTGTATAAAGGTGCATTTCTACATGGAAACTAATGGGGATTTCTTAACGTTTAAAACTGGCCTCAAGTGGACACTTGAGGAACTACAGTTTTTCACATTTCTGCATTTGCTTCATTTTTCAAAACCAGAGAATACAGCTTGATATTATTGTCAGACTTAATGGGGATACTTTTAAGTTGGGAGTCAGCCTCTAGTGGCCACTGCTGGTACTGCCCTTTTGATACTTAAGTAGAAGTGATAGGTAGGGTTAGGTTTAGGTTTTAGGAGATTACTTCTTTGTTGTTTTATCACAGTTTACCCCTTTTACAAGTTGTGAGGAAGACTGGCTGTATCCAGTTTTCCTCTCTTTATTTTCAAAAGAAATACTCAACACTTAATTTGAGAAAAACTCGAACCAGAAAAACTACTTCTGCATGCTTCATAAAAAGTAAACATGCTGCCTCTTTGTCCGACTGAAATCTTTCCAGGAAAAACTCGACTCAGAAGCAGCATTTCCTCAGGAAAGTGGTTCCATTTCTCACCATACATTAATTTGTGGTTTCGACAGGATGCAGAGGAACAAACAGCACCATTATCTGAGTGTAAAACAGCTACTTAAGAGACGAGTCGGTGCATAAAACAAACTGAGCATCACATGGGAAAGGCGTAAGCATGGTGTGAGTGAGTTTATTTCACAGCATATTAATACAAAGTGTGCGTCCAGTCGCTGCTATCAGAGGCGATCTGAATGAGCGTTAGCAGAGGGAGACTTTAGTTCTCCTTTTTCGGGATCTTCAAAATGCAAAAAGCTTCAGCTCCCTGCAGCATGCATCCCTGTGTGGCATGCATGAATGTAGCCACCATGTTGGATTCTGATAACCTATCTCTATCTCTGAGTAAATGTATCCGCAGTGTGTGTGTTTGTGTGTGTAGACCAGGCAGGTACACCAGCCCAGGATGTGTTTCATTGCTCTGGTCCCTGCTGTGAAAGTTGATGGGGTTTCCCACAGAGGACGTGCGAAATGATCCAGGCAAGTGATTTGAACATGTGTATGTGTGTGTGTGAGAGAAAAATAGAGGTGGACTTTGCTGTGTAATGCGGCATTCAGTGTGTGTTCTGTGTGTCTGAGTGTGTGTTATCATTACACTTGAACAGGTGAGATAGGAAGCGAGTCTGATTGAAAAACCTGGGCGATGCGGTTTCACGCTGCGGCTCTCATTTTACCTCACAACTGCTGCCTGATTGTTGCTGTGTGACTTATTTCAATGTCGGCCAATCTTCTGAACTCTTCTTCTCCTGTTTCAGCGCCTCCCTGTCAGAAGGTGGTCAGAACAGTCGGACACAGCGCAGCATAACCAAACTTATGCAAATGAGTGAAATACAAGAAAATGTCAGCAGCACTTTGACTCCAAATCCATTCAGTATGTAAAACTAAGGAAAAAGGTGGGAGGCATAAATTAAAGTAGACCTATATGTTATAACGTTGGATGTCTACACTTAAGAGTCAGAGAAGAAGCCCACCCAGCAGCTCTGTTGAAGACATGTTTACACAGAATATAAGACAATTATATCATATTGTATAGTATTGTATCATACTGTATGGTATCACATACTGTTGTATCATGTTATATTATCTTGTATCATATTATGTTGTTTCTTATCATATGGTAGTGTATTATGTTATTGTATCTCATTGTTTCATATCCTATAGATAGAAGGTAGGTTATTAGATCATATCTTATATTATATCAAACCAGTTGTATGGTATTAAACTGCATCATATCATATCATATTGGATCCTATCATCACTCATTTTATTGTTTCATATCAGATGGTATAGTTTGGTATTGTATGGTATGAAGTTGTATCAAATAGTATTATATTAAATTGTATCACATTAAATCATGTCATAGTTCATTGTATTGTTTCAAATCATATGGTGTGTTATGGTATTATACATATAACTGTATCACAAAGTATCCTACTGTATCGCATATTTTCATACCATGTGTTATGGTATCATATTTTATTGAATCCAATTGTATGGTACCAAATAATATTGTATTATATCAATTATATCCTAATATATCATATTGTATCTTATCTAATCGTATCATATCATCTTGTGTTGTATCATCTTGTACTGTATCATATCATAATCTTTGAATTGTATTATTTGTATTGTATTGTATTATTTTGCCTCATATCATACCGTATCATATTGTACTGTATTATATCATATTTTATGTATTGTATAGAATAGTAGTATTGTATTGTATCACTTTGTATAGTATTTCAATGTACAGATTGTATCATCTTGAATTGTATCATCTTCTTTGGTATAGTTTTGTATCACATTGTATTATGTCATGAAGTATCATATCATATTTATTGTATTGCAATGGTTGTATTGTATCATATTGTTTTGTTTGGAATTGTATTGTATCTGTTTTATTGTATCAAATTAATTGATATTGTATCATATTGTGTTGTATTTTATTGTGTTGCATGTGTCATATTGTGTTGAATCGTCTTGTTTGGTTTAGCTTTGTATTACTTTATACTGTATACTGCACTGGTTGTAATGTATCATATTATATTGTTTGGAATGTTATTGTATGTGTTCTGTTGTATCATATTATTTAATATTGTATCGCACGTATCATATTGCGCTATATCGTCTTGTTTAGTTTTGTATCACTTTGTATTGTATCATGAAGCATCCCATTGTATTGTATGTTTTTTTTTTTGTATCATATAATTTCCTATTATGTTTCTTTTTTCATCTGGTATTGAGTCCACCTGCCAATATCTGAGCACATAGTTAAAATAAAAATAAAACAGCTCTACTCTGGTACCTGGTCAACTCTGACATTAGTGGACTTTGCAACAATGACAGTCTAGTTCATTTCCTTCCTGCACACACCTGCATCCTTTTTCCCACCTTCACACCTTTAAGATGTCTGTTTGAGGTGATGAATGTGTGAATGAAACTGTCTGCTCTCTCTCTGCGTCTCTCCGTGGAGTGGATGCTGCTTCCTGGAGGAGGTGTGCAGAGAGTCGGCCTGCCGCTGCATGTTTTATCTTCTGTCACTGAGCTTTCAGCACAGCGCTCCGCCTTTCAATGATTTACTGTCTCACAGCAGCCTCACCGCTGCACTGAGGAAGTGTGTGTATCAGTGTGTGTGTGTCACAGCGGTGATGGAAATTGATGGTGTGAGAGATATATGAGAAAATATGACGCAAGGAATATCTATTAAGGGACAAATAATGTCCAGAAAAGTTAAGATAAGTGACACGTTTCTGAAATTAACTACCAAGATTTAGCTTCTTTAGTTTGAGTTTGATTAAGACTGTTTCAGGCAAACTTCCCCTCAGTTAGTAGTCTAATCTCATCCCTATGATAAAGCACAACTCATTTATTGTGGTTAATAAATTTGGACCGATCTTTTGCGAAACTGAAGGACAGAGAGATGAACAATGAAGTCATCCAGAGACAAAAAGCTGGCAGCTCCTCCATGTTCAGTGAATAATGAAAGAACAGGAAGGACACGGTGACAGCAGCCTCGGTGGTTTTACTGGGGTGGGCTCTCCATTCAAATAAAACTCACTTGGATGGAATAATGTAGAGAAGTGTGTGTGGGCGGGTTGTACCCGACAGCGTCAGGAAGTAAGAGAAAAGAAAAATATCAAACCCAACCTACAACCCATCTAAAAGGTAATCTGTGTACATTGTTAATAAAGACGCTGCAAGCAATTATTTTTAATGCCATTATCTCAAGATCACAACTTCATTATTTTGCTATCTCAACACAAGATAATCAGACCATTTTCCAGGAGAAAACAAAAGGTCGTTTTCCTCATTAATTATGTTTATCAGGAGATCAGGAGTGCCGTGTCAACATTCATTGATTCCACTTTACAGCGAACAACTTCAGCTGAAAACTTCAGAGGAAAAAAACATGCATTATTCACAAACCCGGCTATAGTGTTTTTATAGCTCATGCATGTGCTTTATGAACAGACAGCACTGTATGGAAGCAGCCTGGGGGGCAATCAGAGTTAGTTTAGAGTTTAAAAAAGGCTGAAACTTGAATAATTGAGCATCTGTCTTAAAGGAATATTCCGGTGTAAATTTAAGTTATGGTCAAACACACCATAACACTAAGTTAGACACCCCCTCGAGAGATGAATGTTGCTGACTGCTTGCATCTGTCGTAATACCAAATTCAGAAACGACCGCACAATCGCAATACACAGCGGTCTACATCTCCACGCGCAAATATTGACCAAAAAGCCACTCTATAGCCACAAATAATTCTCAGAACAGCACCCAACTTCATCAACAGTACATATATTCAACCACTGAGTGCAGCGGATCATTTCCATAAAGTAATAATCATCATAATAATCATTTTGCGATTTCTGCGAAACTCGGTGATCGACTCGTCAGGGCTCCCCCACAAACAAGCGGCTGCTGAAGGGGAGTGGGTGAGTTTTGTCATTAAACTGTCATTTGTACCTGTTAAAAAGAAAGAGCAGTCTTTATTTTGAGCAGAATCGATGGACAAACAGTTATCAAAGTTGAGTAAGTTAAGTTTTTTGACGAACTGTACCCACCTCAGCTACTTATACAGATGTTCAAGCTTCAGTGAGGAACTTTCAGTTTGTGTCAGTTTTGGCGCCCCCTCTTTGCCAACATCCTGTCCTTTAAGTTTCTGTATTTTTTTGACAAAGAAGTTTCATCCCACCAACCTTCCAGATTGAATGTATAATTTAATATGAATATTTTTCATGGACATTGTAAAAACAGGGCTGTTCCCTCAGATCCTCAGCTGACACCTACCTCCTCGTACTGGTTTCAGGCAGTAAAAATCTCGATCTTCAGTCTTGTCTGATTCCTGGTCAAACCATCTAACTGCTACCTCTAATAAGGCAAATAGCCAATCGTAAGTCAGGACTTTGGGATGGCACAAGGGGTGGCCAAGCTCCAAAGAGGTCTTGGCCTCACTGGTCACTATTCTCGAACCGCCCCTGAAAGTTTGTAATTTTATGTGGAAACAGCTGCAAACTGGACTATGGTCATTTTTAAGAACTTAAACCATATAAAATAAATTAAAAAATGTTAAATAAGACAAAATAATTATATACTCACTGGATCAGGTAATCCAGCTATTAAACATTAAGACTTATCAATTAGGAGGAAACAAGTTAAAAGAGACTGTACATTTTTTAAAACAGCTGCTTCTTCTGAATACCGTAAAAATATTTTTATATGAATAGTAAAAGTTTTAAAACAGTACCTTAAAAACAAAAGTATACAAAGTGCTTTAAATAATAAAGCAAATGGGACAGGCAGGACATAACCAAAGGCAGAAAAAATGACATTTTTATAACAGCACTTAACTGCCATTTTAATGTTTAATTTAAAATTAGTATTATTTTAGTTTATTTTACATGTAATTTTAAAAGGAAAATATCCCCCCACACTGTATATCCTTTTTTTAGCCATGCAGGAATTAAGGTATGCGGCTGCGTTCCTTCACACATGTTGCGTGTAAAGCATGTTGCATGTGATACTGTAACTAACAGTGTTAAGGTTTCTGTTTCCACACAACATGCATGACTGGTGTGCACACACACACATGAACACACACATGAACACACTTACAGCCGACACCAACTCCTCCACTCTGCTTCCCAGTGAGTGCATCAGATAGCCCGCCCAGCCCCCATGAAGGAGATTACACAAATTTATGCAAAGCCTGTAAATGATTTATACTGCAGAGCACAACAAAGGGCTTTTTTTACAACACCACGGACAAGATCAGGAGAGAGAGAGAGAGGGCGAGAGACACTGACACCTGGAGTAATCCCCACATACATCACCACCTACAGCTTATGGTGTCAACACTCATAAAACATGGAGGAATTTGCGCACTTTTGTTTTGATGTAACAAAAAATGGCACATTGAGAGCATCCCCAGCTGTTTGTGATATTCCAGAAAGTAAGGAGGTCCATAACGCCTCTTTCTCCTGCGCACAGAAGCAGCTTTTGTGGCTTGACGCTGCTGCCGTACGGGCACCAGAGTGCAGCGATGGTGGAGCTCCATTCAGGACCACAGCACTCACTGTTGGCCTTGGGTCTATGTTTAGATGAAGCTTTTAAGCACTCTGATGTCTTGTAGAAAAAAGAAAAGCCCGTACGAGTGCATGTGTGTGTTTCTACGTGCGTCCGTGTAAGTGGGAGTTCTTTATAAGGGAGGATAAAAGGCAGAAATATGTTTGAGCTCTTCCCTTCTCCCATGGTAGTGTCACCCCTCCCTCACCCGCCCCCCTCCCCCAAGGATCCAACGCGTGGCCGGGTTTATACACTATTCATAAAGACCTCTGTGTGGGAGAAAAATGGGCCCATTATTTCCAAACAGTAATGGGATATATTTGTTTTGCGGCCCTGAGTGTAGTGCGGAGTTGGCGAGTTTGTATGCACGCATGCATGTGT